ATTTATTGTAATATGAATGGCAAAAGTGTATTAATCAATTGGGAAAATATTGATTTTTGGTTTATCCCGTTTTAAAAAAATCACAACACTATTATTGTAATATTTATAACAAAGCAATAATGATAATTTCTGCTTTCTCTTAACCCTATAAACTTTACATTTGGTGTTCTTTGGTGCAAGATCGTAAAAGAAATGGGATTTTCACCCCGAGGACGGCACCAAATATTGCCTTATTCGGAAGGAAATGCAGTTCCCCGGTTGCTATAATGTTCACTCGGGCGGACGATTTACTGCCCCCAACTTTTTTTCGGTTCCCCGGGGTTGGTGGTCGTAGCTAGACCGTCTTCACCCCCAGGGAGGCTTCGGTTGTATTCGGCCCGGGCGATAATTCATCCCCCAGCCGGAAAATCTAACTTTACCCTCGACTGGTAAGTAATTGAAAAACTTCACCGGCAAAATGCCGCTCTCGTTTCTCTCCGATTAGACACCGGATTTTCCAGACAAAGTCGAATTTTGGAAAAGGGTCGTTTCGATAAATGTTAATTCCTTGATTTAGACACATTCTTCCTTTGGTGTAAACAATTGGGACTAAGAATCTATATTTTAATGTCAACGCCACTGCCATTTTACACTGGCACTTATCTCTTCAATACTTTTGATGAGGTATGAAAAAAACCAACAGTTCTGGATGAAACAGGAGAACTAGAACTGAAAGAAACTATAAGACAATAGTTGCCACCTACGCAGAAACAGGCTAAATTGCGTTGACCACCCTTGAACGTATTGGGTTGTCCGGAAAATAATGCAGGATTTTGGTATTAAACAAAAAAAAAGAAACTAGTTACTTTAAAGCAATGTTCTTTAATCAAAATAATTTCGTTGGTAACTTATTAATTCCGTCTGAGTAGAATTCAGAATTTTTAGAATTGATAAAGTCAATAAATGCATTTTCCAGTTCCGTTTGATTTTTGAATATTATGTGTTGTAAGTAGTGGTCCAGGTGTCTAAAAAAATGGTAGTCAGTAGGCGAGAGGTCCGGAGAGTAGGGTGGGTGAGGCAAAGTTTCATAGCCAAGCTCCAATAATTTTTGTGACGTTACACGTGACACATGTGGTCGAGCGTTGTCATGCAACAAAATGGGCCCTTTCCGATTGACCAAAGAGGGCTTCATTACTGCCAATTTCTGATGCATGGTATTAATTTGGTTACAGTATGATTCAGCATTGATGGTTTCGCCAGGATTTAAGAAGCTGTAGTGTATTAAACCAAATGAAGCCCACCATACCGTAACCATTACCTTTTTTTGATGAGTTGGGGGCTTTGGAGCTTCTCCTTTGTCGAGCCACTGTCCAGAACGTCTAGTGTTATCGTAGAGAATCCACTTTTCGTCACATGTAACAATTCTGGCCAGAAATGGGTCATTTTTGTTTCGACAAAGAAGTGATGCACAAACATCAAAGCGCTGATTTTTTTGGCGATCGTTTAATGAGTGTGGAACCCAATTTTCGAGTTTTTTCACTTTTCCAATCGCCTTGAGGTGGTCAGCGACGGTCGTTTTACTGACTTTGAGTTGCTCTGCAAGTTCTCGAACAGTTGTTTTGGGGTTTTCTTCCACCACTGATCGCAGAACATCATCATTAAGAGAGGAAGGCCTTCCACGACCTTCTTCATCTTCAAGGCTGAAATCTCCCTCCCGAAATTTTTTAAACCACCTTTGCACAGTGCACTCATTAACACAACCCTCGCCCCAGACTTGGTTAATGTTTCTAGCCGTTTGGGCTCCGCTTCGGCCGAGTTTAAACTCGTAAAAGAAAATCGTACGAAATTCTCGCTTTGACATTATAAGGATGACTGAATTATTTCCAAGAAGCGGAATGCTACAGAGGTAAACAAACAATATCATTTGGAAGAGGATTAATAAGTGTTGACATTCATACAAATGAGTAATCCTGTAAACGTAAACAGAATATTTTATATAGATTTTTTTTAATGAAAACTTAAAATCCTGCATTATTTTCCGGACAACCCAATAGTTGTAGAAAAAGCACTGGTAAATACATATATCTGACTTCGAGAAATTGATCAACACAATGATGTCTTGAATTTCAAATTTTTTGCCACCAGGCGTCTCCACTACTTCATGCTTCAGTTTTCTACATGTCAGCTAGTGAACGTGCATCACCTCTTAATTGTTGTCAAGCTTAACCGACTTTAATCAGACTCATCAATGAGACGAGTTATCACTAATAGAACAAGCAACCAACCCGATCACCAGTCATCTCAACAGCACTAATTGCTCACTCGACAGCCGATGCGGCTGGCAGACTCTGTTTTATCCACCGACCATCATCTGGCTCATCGACACCCATGTGGGCTCTAACTACGGCGTACGGCAGATTGGTCAGCACTCAGTCGCGTCGCCTGCCCGTGATTCCTCGTCGCTCAACTGCACCACAATTTTTTGGTGTTGACACTTCTTCTCAAGTCCACTACACGACCCCAACTTTATCGTGTGCGAACGCTCGTAGTTCACCGTTTCCGCACTGAGTAAGCAATGCACCAACAGATGACCAACTTTTTTGTTGGAAGGCATTCCGACAGCCTATCCAACAGTCTAGTCGGACAGGAGTCAGCCGGTAGTGAGGGTTTGCGTCGTTCGCAAGAAAAGCCAACCTCGCTGTTGCAATTCCCTGCTAGACCACGACCACCCACCTATCGCCAGGGCAGAAGGATTTTGTCCTCTGAACTGCCCAGAGGATCTGTACGACTCTACGCCCAGAACCTATTAGTTTGATAATAAGATCAACGATGAGTCCAAACAAAACAAATGAACAAACAATAGAGGTCCCAGATTAAAATTCTAAACAAATATAATAGAAGTAGTGTTTTAATAATGCTTATTTTTTAAACTGTCCCAACTAAATCATTTCAATTATAAATAAACCAGTAAACCTGGTTTTATTTAAATTTAACAAGTTTGACTGTTAAATAAACCTTATGACAGTTTGGGGTATTTTACGTTTTCTGTTTCAACCTGTTAGCAATTCGGAAAAGGAATGAGTACATTTAAAATGTATTTCACTACTAATGGGACCACATTGGCCGAGTAGTTATGGCATCTGACTAACATTTGCTTAGCAGTTCTGGATTCGAATCCCAGCAGAGCACATGGCTTTTTACGAACCATGAGTCCAAACAAAACAAATAAACGAACAATAGAGGTCCCAGAGATAATAAATTCGTAATTAAAGAATTCTCTCTAAATCTGGCAAACACATTGCTGTAGGCTGATAGTAAAAGCCAGGAAGTGATAGGGCTCTATACTGATGACAGTCATCTGAGAAAACGCAACAAACCATATCCAATGATGGCCCCTATTCGTAGGTTATGCCATGTGGAGGAAGGAACTGCCCGATTAAAATGTGTATCAACCATCAATGGAGACCTAACTTACGGTACGAATAAAATCCGGGAAAAAGAATTACAGCAATGACAGTCAATGACCTACTACTCTTGAAAGAAGGATCAAGTCAATTAAACTGAACTAAGGAACTAGGAACAATACAATACGCCAAAAGTCTACAGGGTTTGGGGAACGCCAAAACCGCCGCTTCTTAGTATGCTCCTCATCATCAACATCATAGATAAGTATTACTATTACATAGCCAGAACCTTCTCATTTTAGGAGTACAATTTATAATGGGAGCCATTCAACACGTGGAAAACCTGATCTGAGAAGATAACCTTTTTCAACTATTTATGATTGACGTAAATGCATACTTATAATCAAATAAAGACGGTAAATGTTATCTTACATAGACATAGAAGATATTTTCTAAGGAAGTGACAGTTATCATAGAGTCAACCGCTATCCTGACAAAGTCAAAAAGCTACTAATTAAATTGATTGAAACATCAAATACTTTAACTTCTCTTAATTTGGGTAGTTACTCAGGAAAATGAGATTGTTTTGTGCGAACTTGTGAATTTTAAACTTTTCTAGAAAAACCGTACAATGCTTACAATTAATATTCGCCGTGCCAACAAATTGTAAAGCTTTCAATTAAATCGTGTTCCTTAAGTATCTTTCATTCGATAAATTAATTTTTCGAGTTGAAATTTATTGTCCGCCTCGGAATGGGATCGCGTAATGTGTCGGATCACGCAATTATTTCAGGAATAGAAATGCGATTTCCTCCGTCATGATATCGTGCAATTTGGCGTCGAAAGAAAAGCCATTTTTCTAACGCAAGGCAAACTTTTGAACAAACAAAGAAAAATGAATCAACACTCCACACAGCTCCATACCCCTTTAACACTATTTCTCTTTAACGTTCGAAATCGTCTCAGCGTTTATTTTCCCACGCTTTGAGTTACTGTTGTACCAACGATTGCAGTTTGTGGCAGTTTAACGATTAATTTTTATAAAACTGATCATATTAAAAACGAACTCGTTGACAGTGTGAGTGTGATCAGATATTGCCAAGATTTAACCTATGAACGCTTTGAGTTCCAGTTGTACCAACGATTGCAGTTTGTGGCAGTTTAACGATCAATTTTTATAAAACTGATCATATTACAAATGAACTCGTTGACAGAGTGAGTGTGATCAGATATTGTCGGAATTTAACCTATGGCTTATTTCTCCAGTTTGAAAAACAACAAATCACTCGACGTCCTCAGTTTCAACGTCAATCCAGATAAAAGCGATTGGACTTTTTGACGTTGAGAAGTTTTGAAAAGAATCTATTAACTTATGAACTAATGTATTACGTAACTTCTTATATTTTACACATTATATATTATTAATGATTATATTATAATTACATACATTGTACTAATTCTTTTTTAATATGCGGTGCCGGTGACAGACCTGCTTAATATATGGTGAGGTTAAGCTTGGTGTCTTATGTCGTTTCAAACTGAGCCCTAATTTGTTTATGTAATTACTTATTTAAAAAGAAAACATTCTAAAACTACAATAAATTTGAAATTGCTTACTGAATAGTGTGTCTTGATTGTTTTTAATGAAAATAATTTCCACTTAGCGTCTCCCATTATGTCTGCAGTGCTGTAACATTTTTCAAAAACAGACAAAGAAAATTAGTGGATGATTAATGGTAGGTTATCCGGTTTAACAATATTATTAAGGTGCTGAAAATACGATACAAACAGTTTAAAGATTTTAGTGGATAAAACCATGAACCAGAGTCTAGATGTGAATAATATTAAAACAATCCCAATATCAGAGTTGCTGTAGTAGGAGTGGGCCAGTTTTGGGACGTAGGGTATGTTGAGTTCGGTAGAGTAGAGCATCAACTATTGTGCGACTAATTTTGGATTAACATTGGAACTGTTAAACAATCGAACTGTTAAACAACCCGAACAATCCAAGTCCGTAGGTCCAAATTGGGGGGAAATGTCAAATTGAGCCCACCACATGGAATTAACCAAAGTAGGTATGTAAAATGAGCCGGTTATGGTTTCACTACCTTACCAGGAGATGTAAAATGAGCCGGTTATCGTTTTACTACCTAACCAGGAGATGTAAAATGAGCCGGTTACATTTTTACTGCTTGTACCAGGAGATGTAAAATGAACCGATGGCATAAGGAAGACGTTAGAGTCATAAGTACATAATGTAGGTGTAAATGCTATCAAAAGCACATCCGTCGATAAAACAAATCATGAACTAGTAGTACATTAAGTAGGTGCAAAGTCGTCAAAAACACATCGGTCAATTTTAAACAAATTATTGATTAGTCATTTAGGGTGAACTTTACTGTTCACAGCTCTGAGCCTGTCAAAGAGCTGAATGCTGTTGATTTCGTGATTCTCGTATATTGATAACTGTGACCTGATGGAATCCTGTTTTGTAATACCTACCTCATGTATAATTGCATAACTTACAACACATCCCTATTGGATCTCTCCTGATTTTGTGTATTGTGTACGATATATTTGCGATATTTGAAGTTACCAGTTGCAAACACCCACGCTGCCCGGTGACCACTTCCACGTTTTTTTTCCTGCGCTCCCTACATAACTGAATCGGTCATTTTGAAAAAGGGGCCATCTCCAACTTTTCAAATTTTAAAGGAGAAACAAAAAACGTATTATATAGTTTAAATTTTGTAGAATTGTTACCAATCTTTTTTTTCTATTAGCAAAGGATCTTATGGTATATAAACTCGTTGTTTTGGATAATTTTAACCCGTTGTTGTGCATAGGAAAATTAATTTTCCACGAGAACCTATTTACAAAATGAACTTGGGTTTTCTAAAGCACAATACAAGTATTTTTTTTTTTTAATCCACAAATATATATTTCGCCCTCACACTATTTTTTTTCTTTATTGTTTTTTCTTATAAATACAAATATCACGTTGTTTTTGTAATAAATACATATAAGTTAAAAGATCGAACATCGATGGTTTGACGTCGTTGTCCTATCCTTAGGCTCAGCCGGGTGTATTTACCCGCTGGCTCTTTTTACATCAGGGATTAAGGTTGGCGGGCATTCCCACCACAGGTAGCGGTGAGATCGGCTCAATTTGCCATCGTCCAAATTAGGGATTAGGGTAGTGTATAATAGTTTTTTTTTTTTTTTTATTAAGTAATGTCAGCTTGTTTCTTAGTCTCTTAGGCATCTAAGGTTACAGCCAAACTGAAAACTATGTATTTATTTATTTTTTACCTTGAACAATAAAACACAAAGGGAGCAAGCGTGCTTCCCTGAGGGACGCCGCCTAAAATTAGAAAAATAGGTGAGGCCTTAAGTTACTTCGAAGTAAAGGTTTGTCAGGAAGGATTTGAGGATAAAGTTGTATGTAAATGGAAGAACACTAAATTGCAAAAATAAACAAGACAGATTAGGTATGCAAAATAAAGACATCTTCTACGGGGTCCCAGGACATGTGGGAGTGGAAGGCAAAGGGAAAGCGACGCCTTTGCAGGTAGGTTTGCTATACCGCTGATAGGTCCTGAGCCCTTTTGTGACATAGGGATTCACACTATCAATGAGTACCTTAGAAAATGAGAAAACATTGGGCACAAACTATCCAAGAACTTTCTATCAAGTTTTGAAAGGGAAGAAGTAAGAGAATAGATTAAAGGAAGCAAGGAAAAAACTTCAAATCCTAACAGCATTGTTAATAGGACACTGCAGACCAAATGGGCATTTGAAGAAGATTGGTATATCACAGCCTGGTACGTGCAGATTTTCCAAAGAAATAGAGGAAACACCTTCACACCAACTAACAAACTGTAGTGCCACATTTGCCCGAAGAAGTGTTTTGGGATGGACAGTGTACCGTAGAGGAAGTGCAACCACTGAGGCCGGACCTACTAGTCAAGTTCGTTGATGAATTAAGACTCACCGGTGTGCTATAAGCACAGATTTCAAGGGGTGAGTATGCTATACATTCTGATTTATTACATCTACATTTAACTGGAAGGATACCCTTCCACAACAAGCCCTCATGCCATACCCGACCAAAGGCATCGGAAGATCAAGGAAAACAACGAACTATTGCACTGCTTAAGACATAGAAATTCAGCATTAAGGGCCTAAAACCAGTCTATGAAACATGCACCCAATTTAATCAAGTTAACAGAAAACATAAGAAGCAGTAATGTTGTTTTCTCTTCAGTAACTCTGGGAAAGTACCTACTACACAGAAGTCTATACACCAACAGAAATTTATTTACTCTACTTTTAAATAAGTGTTAATAGAATTAAAAAAATTCTCAAGGCTGCAAATCATCGTAACGCCAGCCATCGTAAATTTATTACATCCATAACCGAGGTAGATACGCGCACGCAATACGGGCAACGCCCATACTGTTAATTTAATGAAACTTATTCTCTTATGTATTGGAAAAAAGGGAATTTTTGTGAGATGAAGTCAATTGAATTTGACGCTTCGTTTCTTTATTTGACAATATTTAGAAATATACAGATTTAATTGATGAATATACAAGATGGCCCGGATGAATTTCTCTTCAATGACGCTATCAAAAAAACAAAAAATAAGTCTAATATTTTTCAGTCTAGTTTCGAATTCTTCCTCGTGTTTTGGAGAACACTTGTACAGAGTACCTCAGGCCCAGTTCAACTTCAAAATTTCAAATACAACCCTGTACATCACGACTCATCATTTTAAAGGATTTTTTACGCCGAAAACAATGGTGCAATCGGATTTGAAATTGGTCAAAAGATGACACAGTGATGGCAAAAAGAAACCAGCAGCATAATTTCGACGAGGAGCTGTATGTTACTTTAATGTATGTTATTTTACTGTATGTTAGTGAAAATCCGAATTCCTCTCTCCGAAATGTTGAAAAGGTTTTAGGTTTTTCAAAAAATAAAATTAGAGATGTCCTCCGGACTTATAATTTTAAGCCGTATCACTCCCATCTTGTCCAGGCACTTCGGGACTTATTATGACATGCGTCTAACGTTCCTTGCAAAAATGTCGATTTGGAAAACTGAAGAAAACGTTGTTCCATACATCCTATGGACTGATGAATCCAAGTTCACCTCTAATGGCATACTAAACTGTTGCAATTTAAGAAGGTGGGCAGAGGAAAATCCGAGAATTTCTTACTCTTATCATCATCAGGTGGATCATAGTATCCTTTGGTGTGGACCTCTCGGCAATAAATTAATAGGGCCTTATTTCTACAAAAATGATTTAAATGGTGCTCAGTTCAGGTTTTATCAACATTATTACATGATATTCCTCCGCAACAAAGACAAAGAATGATACTCCAGCTTGATGGATGCCCCGCACATAATTCTTTGCAGGTGAGACGTTATTTGAGTCATCACTTCCGGGATAGATGGATAAAACCTCATTTGCCGAACTGTTGACCTCCTCAGTCACCCGATTTAACTCTACTTGATTATTTTCTGTGGGGCCATTTACAAAACTGTGTCTACGCCAACCATAACCCAGCAACCTTAGTTGAAGAACTGCGGCAAAGGATAGAAAATCCTTGTCAACCCATCTCAAGCTCAAGCTGTTAGAAATGATCATACCTGATGTGGTCTTTGTCAGCCAAACACTCCTAAAGTTCAACGGTTGACTACAGATCTACAGATGCACTTTAATTTGGTGACTTGCAAGTTCACATCATTCAAGGGTTAAGTCTTCCCTCATGCAAAGATCGTCAAACAACAAAGACGTTGAAACCAAATATCAACCGATTTCGGTCTCGATCGAGTAACAGTGTTTACAATCAAACCGCTATGTTATTGTGGTGACTGCTTGAGGCTTACTAAATTTCCACCTGGCGTCATCTCTACATCAATGTATGCGGTAATGAGCATTCAGTAATTTAAGTAGAGGCTCAATCGACTTAAATCACACTCGTCGACTAGTTCCCATCAATAATGGAGTTAGAAAGTATCAAAAGAAAACAGTCTTCTCAATAGTTCGAATTCATCGCACTGCCCAAGACCTTCGCTCTGTACCGTCGACCAACATTTGACGAATGGGCACCCACGACGGGCCGTAACACTGGTTCTAATCACACGATCCCCGCTAAATTAATAACGTTTATGGGATTTAAAACATTTCTTAAATGGAGGGGAAAATTTTGGATCTCTAGATGGTCTGGTCGACAACGGATTGCGTTCTATCGGTTTTTTTGTAAATTTTAATTTATGAGGTATTTAGGTATGATTTGGATTCTTCTATGTGTAATTATTAAAATTTGCAATAGTAATATCGAAAGAAAATACAAAGGCATTCACTGCTGACAACCGACACGAACCGTGAGAAAGGCTGGCCATGGTGCCAATGGATGATCAAACTGGGAACAACGCCTCCCCAAAAACTCGTTCACATTTGAAATTGCAAACTTCTCCTATTATGCTAGACAAGTTTTGTGCGCACGAAAGTTTTTCGTTTCTTCGTCTATAAAATTATTTTTACTTAAATAAATGTTTCGATTTCTTAAAATTCTTTTTTAACTGTTTTTAATTCGACCGTAAATGAGGGAGTTTTCAATCATGTCATCCCTTTCGACATACCCAAGGATATATCAGGTCGATTTGTCCAATTTGAGTAACCGACCGATGATTTAGCGTCTTAGGTCAGTTTAATCAGCAAAGAGCTAATATATTTTGGGTGCACACTTTTTTACATGTGGGCCTGGGTCTAACCGTGTCACATTTTCTAGAGAAAGCCCGAGAAAAAGTTTTTAAAAGATTCATGCGTTACCTGCGCTGAAATGCAGATTTATCGTTCCCTTGTGCGGTCAGATCACTTATTCATGCAAGGACGGGACCTTTTCCCGATCCGGCCACATCCGAAAATGGCTCCCTTGCGAAGGAAAAGTTCGAAGTTTACTTTAGGTGTTAAATCTTGTGGAAATTACTAAGATAAATTTACCCCGTTGTAAAATGTTGCATTTTAAATGAACCACGGCTAATTGAAAAATGGATATGTACCGTTTTGGACATAAAGAATGGGTCAGTCATTTTCAATTTTGGTGTCAACGTCCGGCTTACGTAATTTCCATTTTCGTTATTTCTTGACGATTGGGCCTAACATTTTTGATATATACATATTTTGGACCATATTGATCGGAAAGGACTACACATGTTCATCATCCTGCAAACCCCATGAAGAAATATCAAACTTTCTACTATGAAGTATGAGTCAAGATCCTAGCAGTTCTGAAGAGGGACTTGTGTAAAACCTGTTGGGTGTCGCGGACGAAAAGGTTAGAACCACACCACAATGCTTTCTCCAAATTATTCACCATTAAAACTCCATGGGTATGCTGGGATTGGAACCTAGGACATCTAGTGTGGCTATACGAGTCGGACATCCCCACTCGGTCAACGCGTGAACCCAGCCGAAGACGAAAAATCCATTATAATTTTATTGAATACAGTATTAACTTCAAATAACAAATTGCCAATTTGCGGCCTCAGTGAAATACGTCGGACATGCTAAGTTAGCAGAACAAGTTGATACTTAACTTACAATCCTATGCTCCTGCACCCTTTAAAAAGGACACCAAGTGTTTTCGAAGCTTGTTGCTTAATATCGGAAGCAAAAATTAGATAATCATTGAGATTTTAGGATCGAATTTTATAATGGCTACTGACAACATCCAACATTTCCAGTTAAACAGTAAGCAAAGAACACTGTCATTTTCTTTGAAAACATTTCCAAAACACACGAGTTAGTGCTGTGGTGTAGCATTGGTTCATAAACACAGGTTTACAGTCGACGTGGTTTAAGGAAGAAAAAACCAGCTGTGTAATTGAGAAACTTTAATTAATGATAGTACACATGCAAGCACTGGGTGGGGCTGGCAGTCGGGTCCAATTTCATTAGCTGACCGGATACACCTTTGTCAGCGAGCGCAAGATTGATGTGCGGTTTCCATCGAGGAAAAACCCGAGAGACAACGCCTACCGGAGAAATATGATAACTCTTCATCGCGATGACGGGTTTATTAAAAAATATTAATCCGTCTCCAGTTAATTATCCGGCAAGTCCGGGAGTAATTTGAAGGTTAAATTAATTTAGGAGGTAATGGGAGGATGCCACGCGCATCGCAATTGGATGGAGTGACGCTCGAAATAGGAACGTAAAACAGGTTCGAGGGCTCTCCTCATGATTCCATGTCATCGCGAAAAGATATTTTTTTAGGAATCAACTCATACTTACACTCAGGATGCACACTGTATGACGTCCTTACAACAAAATTAATTTTTTTATTTACGCTTTTTCAGATTTATGTACCAAGTATTGAGGTGTTTAGATTGTTAGCTAGGAACTTCGAAAACACTAGTTGACATCTTTAAAGTGTCTAGGTTAGGGAGCTTATCCTGAGGCATTCGTTTATCCGGAGGTCTTATAGCCCCGTGTATTCTTCTACCGTTCTGGCACAATATCCAGGAATTTGTATCGAAAGTTAATCCATACTTGTTCTGCTAACCTATGCAACTCTCGAGGTTTCACGAGGTTTAGATATGCGCGTGTGACATCCCGAAACTTCTACTATTGTTTTTGCTGATGAAGTGACTACATTAGTCCTCTCCTCTCATATAACAGAGCAATGCTGTAGAACAGAAAGAATTTAAGTTAACACCGAAAAATCAAAGACTTTCATAACTCCATCTACTCCTACAAGCTAGATGTGATGCCTGTGGATGTTCCTAAAAAAGCAACCAACCTGGAATAATTATTACTCAAACATATGACTAACAAACAACAGACTGGAATTTTTTGAGTTCTGCCAAGTTTACCAACATATAACGATTCAAAATATCCCAATCCAAACCCAGAATTTCCCCAAATTTTATGTATTCGGTGAAACATAATAACCTTTACGCTTCGTACGTGACATAAATCAATCCCAATCCTTAATCCGCCATTCAACACCCTATGAAGGCCGAAGAATCAATGGCTTATACGAAGATAGTAAAAGGGAATGCAGTGAAATTTAGCTGTATAATTTGAAGTGCCATGTTCATTCTAATTTTGTGGTTTTTTTACTTGTCAACTATAAATTGTGCTATAGTATTGGATTAAAAATTATGTTATCTTTCGTTCTATTGTTTGCCTGTACCTTTTGTTTCTTCTAAGGTATTTTCAGTGTATCCGTTGTTACTGAAGGCTACCTTCAAGAATTTTATTATCAAATTATATCAAGAAAGTTACATTACGTCAATTAGCGTTTTTTCCCTTATATTTTGAGACAGTTCGTCTTGCTAGGTTAAATGTAGAATGTCTAAAAGTGAAGGGTGTTTTAAAACTTGTTAACTTGGTGTATTAGTATTTGGTTTTTTCATTTAATTTTCTCTATTGGATCATAGAAAAGGTCACAAATTGTATCTTTCTAATGCCATATTGTCATTTTCAGTGACTTCATGGAGGATTATTTAAAGTTTTTTATGTTTATGTGGACTTCTGTTTTGTTCTCTCAGAGAGTTAAGTCCAAGGCATCCGGCACTTGTGTTGGTTGAGTGAATTCAAGCTCTTCTCGTCACTTCTTTCAGGAGAATTCTGCTGGTTTATGGGGTGGTTTTTATCTTTCCTGGTTTAACATGGAATATAAAGAAAGAATAAAGGCTAGTTTTGACTTGTTAATTTCCCAATTTAGTGTGCTAGTTGTCCGAATAGATTCAGATTTGATCGATATTTACTACGATACTCATAATTAGCATATTGAGATAAGAACTGGTGCGTTTTGTGAAAAAAAACTTTTTATGTTACAAACAGGTTGAAATATATCCGTTAAAACGTGGAAATGTAATAAACATAACCCGATATATTAGGAAAAACCCAGGACTTCGTTTTCTTTCAAGAACAGGTTTATAAAATGCCAGAATTTCTAAAAATCGGTTTTGTTTTAATAATTATTTCACTTAAAATTGTCAAAATAATTTCAAATACAGTTGTTCCCCTGCTGGTTGCATAAAATGGTATATGATTCGTTCTCATTTTTCTTTTTTTTTTTAATTTCATAAAATCTTCAATGTAATTTGAAATCTCAAAGTTGCACTCTTTACTGACAAAGTTCTGCCTACAAAGTGCTGTGTGGAAGTGAGAGATCGATTGAGAGAAAACGTTTCTTGTATCGGGTTTAAAAAGTCTTACCCATTTTAAAAGTAAAAACTTTTATTTACAAAATTGCTTATAACAACAATTTTTTACGTTTTAATCCAAAAGTTTTCATTTAAATCCATTATGTCCTTTAAATTTTTTTGGAACTGATTATTTATGTATCATCAGTTTATCCAATAAATTGTGCACTTGAGAAGTAGATGTTTTAACTTCATTCTGACCACAGTTGTCGTTGGAAAGGATGGATATACTTTTTACGATTGGAGTTTTATTTTACTTATTATTTTTTATATCTGGCAAGAAGGTGTGAGCATAACTTACGCATGTGTATAAGTGAAAATTGTAATCTAGTAGTGTTAAGTCTTTATAAGTTCAACAAGTAACTGTTAAGGAATGCGACTGATTACCTTTATGTTTCCTGGACGAGTCTTGCAAAATCAAAAGTTTGTTTCGTGTTTTTACTATTAACTAACAGATGAACAGAAGAAAAACATGTGTTAACGTATAAAAATTGGGGGGAAAAATATTTGAAAGCAAATTTGAACTACAGGTGCTGGGGTGGTGCCAATTTACATTATTCCGTTTTTTCATTTTAATCTGTTAGCCAAGATTTTGGTTTTGTTTATCGTTCGGACGAACGGAGGCTGAAGGGGCAAAGCTAAGTGCCCGCAGTACTACTACACAGTGCGCCACTACATAATTCCTTACCTTCCCCTGATATCCAGCCAAAGGTTTCTAAGGAAAAGGGATACGGGGAAAATCGAGATAAAGGGTTTTTCGTGGCTGGGATGTCGGTCGAGGGATGTTCTACCTGTTCTAGAAGCTGCTTGAGAACTGTGGACCCCTCACGGCTCGCCCGATCAATATGGACGGGGGTGGGTGCAGGGTGGGGCCCCACTCTACATGATTGCCGGGTCTTATCATATTGAAGCCTATCTATCACATTTATCGGGGACACTTCCAAGCAAAGATGCAATTTTCCTTTTCCTTTTCGACAAAAATTTCGACATTTAGCATTGATCGTGCCAGAAAAGTTGATTTTAAATGCAGCCGTTACAAACTCATCGTCAATTTACGACAGATCGAGCAGAAGCTAACACATGAGCAATCGAAATGTATTTGAAAATTCCAATGATGTGATAATTTAATGAAGTTATCATACAGTGGGGGAAAGAATGGTCATAGTACTCATTTTGACAATATCAGGCCGAAGGAAATTAATTCAATGAAAATTGAAGACAATTTTTTTGAAAAGACGTAACCTATGATACTACGAAAAGACGGGAAAAATAATGCAATGGTAGTAAAAGGCTACTTAAGAAAAGGATCGAGTCAGTTGAACTGAGCAACAAACAAGGAAAAGTAAAATAGCCCAGAAGGTTGCAGGTCTTGGTGAATGCAAACCCCCGCTTCCAAGCAGTCCATTATCAACATCATCCATAGTTTTGTCACCATCAAAATGACAAATTGCAAACCAACAATATTGTGTTGTCACTGGACAGTGTCCTGGACTTGTTAGGTGAGGATCGCAGTAGCCTAACGGTTGGAACGAACCTCACTCATAGATCATACCGGTTCATCAACATCCATATTATTTTACCAAATATTGACTGCATTCACCATGCCCCACCACCGTATGGAACAGCTTGGCTGATCTTATGAGGGATTTTTTTGTCACTGTTCCTTCTTTTAAGACTTCCTATGACATAAGAGTTGAAAAACCGAAGTGTACTTCCCTCAGGGGTTTGAATTGGAATTCGCGCTCGTGTTTTGGAATCGCGCAGAAAACACCTTACTAGGCTTTGGAGATAGATTATAGTAAGAGCCGGCCTCTTTATTGGTAGTAGTTTGTTAGTATTGGTCCATTGTGCATCTACATTGTTGAATAGAGTTCCACATCAAGGCTTTTTACCAGAACCCAAAACTTTCTCAAGGACTCACGTATGTACTCTTTAGACCCGGCTGTTCCTCTCCTAGGAGTAGAAATCTCAAACTAAATAAACTTTCGCACCGACAGAAGACATGTTCCGCTGTCACTTCTTCTTGGCAATATCTACTAGCAGTCCAACTACTATTCTAGTCCTAGCATATCCTAGATTTAGTAATTCTCCTGTTAGTTTCACGATGGTCTTTCACGCTTTTTCGCATGCCTCTGCCCTGAGCTACATTACCATTCAACGGAGGACTTATTTTTAATCTTTGTCTGATGGATCCACGTTTTTGGGAGTTTGGTATGCCACAAAAGGGTTCAGGACCAACAGGTCATGTCTGTAAAAGTTCAATCCGGTTTTCAGATGACCCCTAACTGTCCTTCAGTACATTCATTGGCCAATATTCTACGAATTCTGGCGCAGACAGAAGCTTTTCCAACCTCCTGATACAACTTCTTCCAATTTTTTTGTCCTTTCTTATTTCTTCTTGTTCTGAGCCTTCTTACATGTCCTCTCATTTTTTCCAGGTTCTTGCTCCACCATACGGTTTTTGTTCTTTTCTTCTTGTCTTTTCAGAGAAAAAAAAAGCTTGGAATATTTATTAGTTTACCTCCTGAACTGCTAGAACAAGTCCTCGCTAATCTTGATTTTTACATTAGTGTGTTTGAGGAACTTCACATATCCTACCCAATCCGTTTCTCTAGGATTAAGGTATTTTGCAAGCATTGGGGGGGGGAGTAGTAAAAGCCTAATGTGTCTATGATCAGAAAAATACGACTCTTTTGATACATGCCAATACGTAACGTATTCGAAACTACGTAAACAGGCTCCTGCTAGGGTGATGAAGGTACGTACGCCGCTATTGGCTATTTCTGAACCCTCTTCAGTAATGAAGACTAAGAGAAACTCACCTCTAGTGCTGATGTTCGTGCTGCCTCACCTTATCGTGCTGCGTCACATCCAACCACATTCCTGGACCTTCTTCCACTAGGTTACACGGTGTCGTTCACCAACTACGGTGGACTAGCCAAGAGCCAACTATCCTGCTCTTTGTTCTGCCCTCCGTTTTTGCGGTTAGGACAACTGAAATAATATCGCCGGAGCAGAATCCCGGGATTAGTTTGCAGCTTACTTGTTATTAATAACAATACGTGTTAGCGAGGATTTGTGGTACAATTGTCAGTAACTTGACAATTCTTCTGAGGAGTTTTGATTGGAAGATCCAGGATGAACTGGATATCATTTATCATCCCACAGTTCCAATCTGTATGTCTTGATGACGGTCAAAATAGATTTCAATCTAAACTTATTCGTAATTATCCAATTCTTCCGTTAAGTTAAGGACGGCAGTCAGCTGTATAGGTACAGTCCTAAGCATCTAATGACTGTAAGTACTGGACAAGACTGTTTTTCAATGTACGCTGTGTACATTTTTTCTGCCTTGTCCTTCTCACCGCAGTATTTGATAAACTCAAGTCGATCGTGGATATTGCCCTTTGCTTGGAAATGTTCGGGTGGAATTGAACTAAATTGGGGTATCCATCCGCGTTGGTAGTAATGATAGTGTAGGAATGTATAGGGAAGTCTACATTTCTAAATAATATACAAGACCAAGAACGTACCCTTGTGGACGGCGGCTTGCATTCATCTAATATATGAGTAATTTTTGCCCCAATAGGATTACAGGATAATGTAGTAAAGAGTTGGTAGGAAGCAATTAAGTTTAGGATGCCTGGTTGCCAGGCCATGTCCAGGAGTGCGCCCAATTTTTGTATGTTGTGTTAATACTCTATGTTCTATAGAACGGACGAATTGTCAACGCTGAAATTTTGCTGGTTGGTGGAGTGGTAAACACGCTTCATTTGTGAGAAGGAATGATCGGTATTAAACGTTTTAAGAGGAGTGTCCATTGGATTCCAATCGCCTCCGAGACCTATTTTATTTCGTGATTGCGTATGGCGTAGGATTCATGCTTAAATGACCTCTTACCTCTAATCATATTCAGTACTCCTTACTCTAAACATAATACCACTTACTAAACCCAAACAACCTATTCTTTTGCATACCAGAGTTAACTGAAAACTTTCTTAAGAAACCTAAACCTAAGGAACTTTACCAACAAGGTAGGAGATGCAGTTTTGACTACTTACCATCACCATTCAGCAATTCTCATCCTCACTTAAAAACTTACTATTTACCCCCTGAAAAGACCATACAAACCATATCCGCTTCCGCTTAAATACCAAACTTCTAGACTCAAGGACGTAAGCCAGAAATCTTTAGCAACATCTTTTTATCCTGCCGACAAAAGAAACTTCAATCGATATTTCTGCCAGCTCAACTCTCGTCCTAGTTCCTACTGCCCAGTGCTCTGTTTTTCTCGCTACAGCAAATGCCTTAGATCCCTTCCCATTCGTGACAAGAAACTTTACCTTTACTACGCCTACTACACGAATCAAACCAGTGTAAGCGGGATTTTTCCCTATTTCCCAGAAAAAGGCGAACTAACTAAGAGAGAGCCCTCTGCAGTCAGCTTAATATAAAAATAAATAAAACATATTTCCTTTTTTATGAACTCATCTCACATGAAGGGCCCATAAATACGTTTAGAGTACTCCTAACCCCATTTATAATTTTTAATACAAATAATTTGGCCGTAGTCCTCACTCAGGAATGGCAGGGAGTGGACAAAAATCCAACTCACTCTTCATTCAGATATAAATGATGCACGTCATACACAACCTTGACATCTCGCCCTCAAACCTTTCCATCCTTCTGAAAATAAGTACTACTTTCACAAACCCCAAGTACAAAATCCTCTGGACATGACCTAATGCCCAATATACTTTGAAACCTTCCTACCTGTGTGCTTAGCTAAGCTTTTTCTAAGAATATGCTTTGTATATACATGTATTCTATGTATGCTGTAAGTTTTGGTAGCTATTTTTGCTGAGCTTTTGATGACCACCAGATGATAACTTATTACAGCCAAGTGTAGCCAATAGACCGTTTTCTGTTTTGGCAGAAATCTTAGAAGGAATTTTGTTAGGCTGGACAATGATTATGACCGAAAGATGAGCAAGGCCTTTGGGCAAAACTGTCAACTGCAACGAAAATTTGTAAATATTGCCCTTAAAGAATCGTAAAAAGTAAAAAATTGCAGAGTAGACTACTGTTAAAAAAGTTAAGTTATACTTGGCTTAACGTCCAACTACCCGTTGGTTGTTGCGGACGAGGAGTCAAAATCACTTTACAATACTTCTTTCAAGGGATGTCGGTGGCCGCAACGGTTTAAGCGTTGACACGGCGCTCATCACTGTAAGGTAAAGGTCCCGAGTTCGAATCCAGCGGCCCTGCATTCAAACCCGACATACATACAAATGGGCTTTTTTCAAAAACACCGGCACCCTGAGGGCTTATATGGCCTCTGCTGTTGCGAACCCAAGTAAAAAAAATATTTAAAAAATACTACTTTCATATGCTATCCTCAATTAAAAAGCCATGGGTTATGGCGGGATTCGAACCCAGAACCGCTTAGTGTGGCAAATACAAATCGGAAATCTTTTTATATTTTTAAACAATTATGACAGTTCGCCTAGTTGGACTAGTTCACCATTTTCTTACTGGCCTAAAATTTACTTTTCACCGCTGGCCTTTTTAACTTAAAGTTTCATTAATTGCTAAGACGGTGAAAAGCATCCCGTGAGGTGGAAAAGTCATGAAAAACGGAATAAAAGATAAAACTTTAAAATGGGTTAATTAGATTTATGTAGATAGTTGTAGTACACAGATAGTTGTTAACACACAAAGCGAAATTTCAAATACATATAAAACAATCATGTTTTTGGTTTGAAATTTTCTATTTCAGAAAAGTGAAAGCAATTGATAATAATAACAGTAATGTTAGATTGATGTTTTCTTGTTGTGAATATTATCTGAACACATTGGTATTTACATCAACTTATTTTAGTGGTGCACGACAAAAACCGAAGGGCAACATCACACTAACTCGTCCACTGAATAAATTAATACTCTGCTATTATCGTATTGGTGAGAAAAGACATAATTATGAAAATAGCACAAAATCAAAAACCAAGTAGGTACTATTATAATATTTAATTCATTGGCTCTTGCCAAGTACCTTCTTGACAATTATTCTTCACTGTTAGGAATAGATTATTAAAAAAGTTCTTCAAACTTAGCTAAATGCTTCTAACAATTTTTGCAAAGTTCATTTTTGCTTATGGCCGGGAACAAAGCTTATTTGTTGAAATAGTTCAATAAATATATATCAAAAAATGATATTTAAACCAGAATTATCATCCATTGTTAGCCTAATGAAATTGGCCAGTATAAGGAACGACAAGTCTGACAAACCCATAATAAGATTTTTAATAATGTTTAGGCATATATTTGAAGTTGTACTCACCATCGGCACCGCAATCTCTTGCTACGTGGCTGGATGGAAAAACAACATAGGTTTGGTGATGTTCTACTCTATCATCGGGACTATCGCCTGTGTGCAGTCAATTTACTTTTTGTACAACTATGAAACAGGCAAGTTGATCTTTCATGATCTTAAGATGCTGATGAAAATACAGGAATTGGACAGGACGCAAGACATGCTCCACAATGAGACAGATTTCACCTGGAAATGGATTCAGATGTACAGCTTCAACTTGATAGCTTTCATGATTTTGTATTCGTCCTCACCAATTTTGGTTGAATTCATTCTCTTCATTTTAAAAATCGAAGTGGCTCCATTTTTACCACCGTTGCCATTGAATGGATTCATTGTTGGAACAGAACGGCACACAATATTGTATTTTTGTGTTTGCTTTGCAAGTATATATTGGAGCGTGTCCGGAATGCTGGCTGCCATAGGGAACCAATCAGTTCCTGCCATCTACTTGTCGTATCATTCATTGGGGATTACTGTACTGCTAGAGAAAATGAAAAAACTAAAGAGAAAGATCGACTTGAGATCTATGCATTTTAGAGACACAGTTGATGAAAAAGTTGCTGTAAGAGAATTAATTCACTTAATACAAGAGCATAAGCTACTATTGAGGTAAATATATGTTTAAAAAAAAAGTGCTTTTTTTATGGTTTTCTTCTTATATTTTAGATTAACTCACAATATTAATTTGTACTGTGGATTTCCATTGGCAGTGCAGAATATAATGATATCAGGCTGTGTCTGTCTTCTTGCGTATGCATTTTTAACGGTAAAACATTTTTTTTTTACAACTTTATTTGTATAAAAAGATAACATTTACAATTTGTCAAAATTTAAGAAAGCAATTAAATTGAGTGTAAAACACGAATATGGCAAAGTACCAACTCTACATTGGCATTCCTCTCATTTTTTGTAGTGTTTACTGGCATTGTTGATTATAAAAAAAACCTGATAATATAAATTTAACACAAGAAATTTTAAATTATTAGTGTCTTTAGCTACTTAAAGAAAGAAATGATGCCATTTTTCCCCAAACTAGGTAATATAAACACAAAGGTTTTTCTTAGCGTGGATCCCTTTACCACAAAAATGGCACTAGGAAGATTTAAGCCACTTGTTCTAAATGGAACTGTAATTCCCTTCCCAAAGAGTGAAAATTGCATTGGTAGAAGTAATCACCTTTGTGGGAAAAGTCAGGGACAAAATCCAAAGGTCATACACACAGTTGTTTGACCAAAATAACCTATCGTGGTTTGGTGGATGAAGATATTACAGCTAAAGACAGTCAGGATCCTCAGTACTGCTTAGAGTCAGTGGGCATAACTGAGGCAATAACAATGACCTCTAGTGCTGCCTTGGGTGTCCTACTGAATCTGCCATTACAATATATCTTCTCAAGATATACACAATATATCTTCGTACAAGGACAGGCTAAAGCCAAATTTACAAGTTAATTTTAGAATCCAATTACATACAAGGAGCAAATAAAGCTTTGGGAGGAATTTCAGGTAGAAAAAGTTCCGGGACAGCCAGATGACGCTAAAGACATCTACCACCTCATTAGTAGTCAAGTCCAGAGCCATTTGGGATTGCATCAAGGTGCTGTCAGACATTGTACACAACAATAAAATTATCCATGTTTGGGTACCAAATTAAGCAAGGAAAGTTCGATGAAGACATATATCCTGAACCCTTTAGCACCATACAAAATTGCCAAAACCATAGATCTATCAGACAATTGGTTAAAAATAAGTCCTTCGTTCCATGCGATTGTATTCCAAAGAGAGGCATGCAAAATGTTTATAACTTTTTAAGTTTAGAAACTAACAGAAGAACTACTAAAAACTACTTAGTTGGACACTAGAGTAGCTAACTGGACACTACAGACTCCAGAGGCATAGTATAGACTCGGATCAGCAGAAACAAACCTGTGCAGATATTAACAGGGAGAAGAAGAAATAGCAGAATATGTCCTCAGTTGGTGTGAAGGCCAATGCAGGTTAAGTTTCCTACATGTAGAAAAGGAAAACCAAGGCCTAAGGATAAAACAGTAGTTTTTAACAAAGCTTTGAGATCTGATAAAAAGCATTAAGCTTAACAAAGAGCTCTAGATAATATCAAGATTGCACAGTATACCAATATTCGTCATGGTGTGCAAGGTGGCTCAAGAGACCAACTCCTTTTAACCATTCTGAAACCATGTTCCAGTAGTCTTTAAGAGTGACCAATACTACAGGTAACAGCAATATATCTCGGACCTCGAGAAGAAGTTCACATGGAAAAAACATGTAAGTGACCTCCTCAAAAGGATGACCTATTAGTTCCAACATCTCTACTTGAATGGAAGATATTAGTATATGTGGTAATCATTAGATCCATATGGATGTATTCCTATGGAATCTAGAGATCAGAATCAAACAAATTAGCAAAATTCAAATGTCAATATGTTTATCCAGGAAAATTTCAAATTCTCCCTGGTACATTAGAGACACACATATATTCAAGGACTGAAGTATATGACCATTTTAAGAAACAATGTATAATTTTCTTACAATAAGCTGTGTGCATCTTTTGAAAGCGAACAAACACACACACACAATACACAGTAAACAGAGATTACTTGCAGAGATTCATAATTACCCCCCCAAAAAAAAAAAATCCATTTACTGAAACCAGTTTTTTTTTATTGTGATCATCTATTTTTATGTACATTCCTGTATATTTTACAATCATGGATTGTAGACTTAAATAAAATACATGTAATTATCGTATTGGTGAGTAAAGTACCTTAACTTATGCAAATTAGCTATGAAATCAGAAAACAAAAGAACGGCTTTCTCACTTTTTGTTCATTGTTAATTCATTGATTACTTTCTGTAATTATCTTTCTCCTTAGGACTAATATTTAAAAAAAACTTCTTGTTCTTTATTTCTTATAATTTTGGTAGTCTATGAATAAGTTCAGCCAGGTGCTAACTACTCTTTACAAATATCCCCTTTCAGAACTGATTTTGAATATTCAGTGTTAGACAAAAATGATATTTAAAGAAGATTTGTCATCGGTGATGACCATAATGAGGCTGGCCGGAATGAGGAATGATAGCAGCGACCGTTTAATAATTAGATATTTAATATTGTTCAGGCACTTGATGGAAACCTTAGGCACTATTGGGACGATAATCTCCTGCTACGTTGCAGGATTGAAAAAAAGCCTCGGGATTGTGATGTTCTTCTCTGTCATCGGAACAATCACAAACGTCCAATCCATCTACACTTTTTTCTATTATGAAACGGGTTTGTCGGTCCTGCATGACCTACAAGAGTTGATGAAAAAGCAGGAGCTCAATAGACCAGCCAGCATGCTGCATGAAGTGACAAATTTCACCTGGAAATGGATCCAGATTTATAGCTTCAATATGATCAGTTTTATGATCTTTTACTCATCCTTGCCAATCGTGGTCGATTTCTTCTTCTTCATTTTAGAAATTGAAATGACTCCATATCTTCCTGGCAAACCTTTTGAAGGATTCATCAGTATTACAGAAATGCACAGTCTTGAATATTTCTCCCTTTGCTTGACTAGCATAATTTGGACCAGTTCTTCGATTTTCTCGAGCATGGGCCACCAAATTCTTATATTGATTTTCTCCATGTATCATATGCTGTGTATTACAGTGCTTTTGGAAAGAATGAAAAAATTAGGCAGAACAATCAATGACAGATCGGTACACGAAAGGGATACAGCCGAGGAAAAAATGGCTGAAAAAGAACTCATTGAAATCATACAAGAACACAACCAATTGTTGAGGTATTCGATGACCATGTATTTTCTGTATAATTAATATATTCAGATAATTACACTTTCTGATGTTATAGAATTGGCAAGAATATAAATTTGTACTTTGGATTTCCATTCGCCATGCAGAATACAATGGCATCGGGCTGCGTATGTCTACTTATGTATGCTAGTGTTATGGTAAAATAGTACCACTTTCAAACCTATATATTTTGGTTGTGTATACTGTGTCATAAATTAAAATTCTGTTAATATCAATTTACAATGCATTCAGATTTCAATAGATACTTTACTCACGAGCAATATTCAGAATATGTTTATCAAAATTGTTTAAATGTATTTAAAGCGAAATGCTCAATATTGGCTTGTTTGTGCATCTCCTTAAATTTCCTATTACATTTCTCGATTCAGTTTTCATTTTTATTCCTCTCTTTATCATTCAATTTTCCAGGAAATCAACACTGACATCAGTGCCATGCTAGTCAACGCATTCTGCCTTGTCCTTATGTTCCTCATAGCTGGAATTCCTTGCATTTTGGGTCAAAGGGTTGAGACCCTGGTAATTGAAGACTGTTCTTTGCTTTAAAACAGTTTATACTATATTCGATTAAATTTCAGAGCTACCAACTATGTGACGGTTTGTATGATTTGCCTTGGTACAAGCAAAGCCCGCATTTGAGAAAATATCTCAATATGGCACTTAGACAGGCAAACAAAGGTATGAAGATACACTATCATGGACGGTCGCCGCTCAACCATAACACATTGATTAATGTATGTTACTAATTATAATTTAAAAAAAAATTAAATGTTAATGTTTGATTTTGTTTCTAGATATTAAATACATCTTACTCTTATTTCATGGTTTTACAATCAAGTTTGTAAGGAGATTGAGACACTTGCATTATTTATGGAACACTGAGATTAAATAATAATAGCTCACAAATTACACCATCAAATACGGTGTTTTTGTAACACACTTTATATTTTTGGTTCTGATGATTTTCAGTTTATGAGTGTTTAACAAAACTTAAATTATATGAATTTACCGAAATTTAGCTCTGTTATTTTCAGGACTTGTCAATAAAATTATTACCAGTCTTTTTCTTAATTGATTTTTTTTTTATAAGAAGAATAGTTTGTAGTGTACCAATAAAGAAAAACAGTTTTTTTCTACTTTTGGAACCGCAAGGAATGTACAAATAAATACTTTATGTACCGTTTCTACCAGTAGGTTGTAAGAAACATTCAAAATGTTTTATGAAGTAAGTGCTTGGAGAAAGTTAACCATTTTTTATAAATGCGGTGAAAGCGTTTATTTTGGCAGTAGGCTCAAATTCTTTATTCTAAGCATTCAATTCTTCATGTCTCTTGAATTCACAGATGCAGCTCGAGGAAGTATAGTAAGTTGATATTTAAATAATACTATGAAACATTAAAATATATTAGAAATGGATTTTTATTCTGTTTTGTTATAAATTGGTTTAAGAAGTGAACAGATGTTTCTTCAAAATACATTTAAAAACTGTCATCAGTCAATTCATCCATTATTATAAGTATGGTTTTTGTTTACTTTTAGATATAAAAATTTGATTTTTTTCTAATAAGTAATAAAAGTTAGTAGTAGTTGTTATAATGAAATGTAAACTTTAAATATTTTACTTTTTTCCACAATTGTTTGATAATATGGTGAAATTCCTTGGCTCCATATAGAGGGTGTGCAGGAATACCACCTGATATGAGAATTGTGTTTGAACAAGGCAGCCCCTGTTTTGTTCCCTATTCTGATTCTTACAGGAAACAGGGATATTTTATTTTATCTAGTACTAATAATTTTATGTGCCCAGTGGATATTGATTTGGATTTGGATTTATATAGACTCAAATCCACACATGTACATACATACAAACAAGTACCGAGTTGAGCCTATTTGTTTCTTGTAGACCACCAGCAATTCCCGGTTTTGCTATTTACAGTTCACTACCGGCAGACTCAAAAATCACCCCCCCCCCATAGGTGTTGGCAGTCCAGGGGCAGACCTCAATTTTAACCGTCCATCTACCGAGGTTGGGCTCTGGGGGTGGGAGGTGCTGTCAACAGTCAATAATTGAGGGTCGATATGGTACTTGATATTCCACTATCAACATTTACACATATTATGCAACTAACCTAACTGAGGGTCAATGTTGTACTCGATATTCTACCATCAATCTTTACACACATTATACAACTAATCTAATTGAGGGTCAATGTTGTACTCGATATTCCACCATCAACCTTTACACATATTATACAACTAACCTAACTGAGGGTCAATGTTGTACTCGATATTCCACCATCAACCTTTACACATATTATACAACTAACCTAACTGAGGGTCAATGTTGTACTCGATATTCCACCATCAACCTTTACACATATTATACAACTAACCTAATTGAGGGTCGATGTTGTACTCAACATTCCACCATCAACATTTACACATATTATACAATTAACCTAACTGAGGGTCGATGTTGTACTCGACATTCCACCATCAACATTTACACATATTATACAATTAACCTAACTGAGGGTCGATGTTGTACTCGACATTCCACCATCAACATTTACACATATTATACAATTAACCTAACTGAGGGTCGATGTTGTACTCGACATTCCACCATCAACATTTACACATATTATACAACTAACCTAATTGAGGTTCGGTGGGTACTTGGTACGCTAGACAACTATGAACCTTCTCACATTATACATTCATGCTAATAAATTCATTCAATCTCAACACAAAGTAGTTATACACAACTATTATTACTATATACAATAGAACAACCCCGTTTCCTCCAAGAATCAGAACAGGGACAGCACATTTCTCAAATTGTGTGGCATTCTTGCACATTCTGTATGGAGCCAGGGAATTGCATCCTTCAATCAAGTGGGACACATCGAGCAACCTTTCTCTGCATGCCGGATACATACATGGGCTTTGGCCCAGTTTTGTCGAGAATGAATGCATTTATTGATACAAATGTGTAGTGTGAGAAGGCAGATGGCGCAATATTGAATGCGCCATTGACACCCAATTAAGTTAGTTGTTACACAATAAGTGTAAAGGGTGATAGGAATATTTAGGATTTAGGAAATTATTGAATTGAGGGCTGAAATGGCCCAGCTGTCGGTGGCCCCTGGAATCCAATCTCAGCGGCTGGATGGATATATCCAACCCCAGACAGCCAACCCAACACCTGAGAACAGCTGGAATTGCTTGTGAACTGGGAGAAGTAATAAGTTCAACTTTGTACAATTTGAGCTTATACATCTCTGTATCAATATAGAAATCAGTTTGATACTACAGAACAACCTGATAACAACAAAACCCAATCGGTTCAGTAGTCAACTAGAGATTCACAAATATATTAACAAACGTACTTTAGTCAGTACCTATAAAAAATAGATATTTTAATAAGTTTGAATTCGTTTAGAATTGAGACTATTGAGATCAGATATGTGAAACTATAATTTTCTTGGTCTGCCCCACTGATGGGCAGCATGATGAAATGATCCAGCTTGATAATAATAAATGTAAAAATTGTTAAACTTTAGAAAAAGTATTAGCTTAAACATGCATACTTAATGATCTTAATTACTCAAAGTTTAATTTTGAAAAATATTTTTAGCTGAACTATTTGATTTTTTTTCCAGAAAAGATCATCCTCAAATTTTAATTTAGACAGTAATCCTATTGCAAGTTATTCTCTACACCAAATACAAGGTCCACATGGAATAAAAAGGTTGATTCACAATGAGCTTGAAACACAGAATAAACACCCACACAAATGGCGTTTTTCCAGTCAAAAGTCATCAAAAAACAATACCAAAACAGAAAAGAATAAAACCAATTCATTTTTTAATAGATTTTACAGTCATACAAAGCCAGGAGGGGTACAAAATAAAAAATATGATTTGAACTGCAGTGAATGTTACAATTGCCAGCCGAGAATCAATGAAGGGAAACCAGCTTTGAATAGCATCTATTCAAGCACGGAGAGAAGCAATACTGAAACAAAACCGATATATTTGCAAGTTAATATTTACATGCGTAATACATCAACCGATTCACAGAGATTTAAAGAAGCAAAGCCTGTACATTTTGATAATCTTGAAAAGTTCTTTTTAATACCAGTACAGATATATGAGAACAGAAAGCAAAATGATTATTTGTCACAACCGCCATTGAGTGAATATTATGCTTTTGTAAGAAATAACGAAGGAAATTCACAAAATGTTGGGCCAGAATATCAACGATATAGTCTAGATACTTTCCAAGGAAAGCCAACAAAAAACTCGCAAATTCCTGCTGAACCAAGATACCCACCAATTTCAACTTTCGGTATGAATGTTGAAAAAAAGAATTTTGTAACAAAACAAAACCAATTTATACCACCATATTTTAGCATAAATTACTTCAATGGCAAAAGGAAAAATGAAGATATATTCAAGGCTAATGAATGGCTATCACAATTGAACACAAACAGCAAAAATAATGTCCAAAGAAAACAAATATTTGCTTTTCAACCCAATACTGAGAACGAATTACAAAAACATTTACTATCCTCATTGTATTTTAGAAACAACCTTCCAAAATACAACAAACAGTATTATACAACTGTGGATATTAATAAAAACTAATAATTAAACCAGTGAATATATTTTAGCTATTTTACTTTACAGCCAGCACACATTCATAAAATTGAAAATTCCTAAGGAGTGCTCTTCAACATTGTGCCTGAGGCTGACAAGCTAAATCAATAAAATTGTACATCTAAACTTCACAATTGTGTATAATGTACAACATCTTTGCTAGTACAACATAGTTTCTACATCTTTGCAAATTGGAGGTTTATCTTAAAAGGACAATTGGCAAAAATTAAACATAATCTAATCTGTAAAATTTCTCTGTATAAAATAAACTTGGATTTTCATTATTACCAACCATATTCCAAATCTAACATTGCAGTGAGGATAGGCAGACCAGAGTGATCAGTAACAACCAAATTTTCACGATTAAAGTCGTTAAATGATTTTTAGGCAAATACTTTTACTTCTGCACCTTAGGGCAAAATTGGACAAGTCTAATTTTGGCCAAATAAGTTAAATCCATATTCCAATAGTCTTTAGACCTGACAGACTGTATAAATTATTAAATCAAGAAGGATACCATTTTTAAAAAAAATGCAATGAGTCTATATATGTATATCGAAAAGTTACATCAAAATGTTGATAATTTTACTTGTCTATTTGTATGCTGCTTTTATACTGCAATAAAGTAAGTGTATTTATCTATGCCCTAATGAAAGTTTAGATGCAATAAAAATATGTTTTTTACTACCTATTTGTTTAATGGTCTGTCTTGTTATTTCCACTGATATATTTCTAAAAGTTTACTTGTACTCGATATTTAAATCCATGTTAAAAATTAGATAACCCTTGGTGCATAATGTCATAAACATTAAAAAGTCATGATAAAATTAAATAAATTTAAAAAAACCTCTTCATAATGAAATCTACATTGGATTTGATGAAATATAACCACAATAAAAAAAAAAAAAGTTACTACAAAAATTGAATTTGTATCAAAGGTCTAACTTTAAAATTGTAATCCAAAAAGTTGTTTTTTAAGTTATCCAGTTTTGCCCCCAAGAGCATAAAAACTATTTTTTATCAGAATGAATTAAAACAGTAAAATCGATTAATCGGGAATACTATTTCTAAACAATTTCTTAATTTTCATTAATATTTTTGAGATTTCCTATATGATGCGTCAGATCTGGAAAAAAATGACAAAGCAATGGATTACAACAGTCTGCCGGAAACGTATTAATTGTACATAGACTTAAGGGAATTCTTAATAAATTGACTTAATCGGACTGATAAAGCTTTTTTCAAAATATAATTTTAGTCACAATTAAATTATTATTTTGGTGTATTAATTGCATTATTGATTAACACAAAAACAAAAAAATGTTCTTCGACGTAGAATATTCTAATTTGATTTCAATTAATTATACTCTTTATCTAAGGTCTTAGTTGACATGGAAAAGAGAGGAAAAATTTGAAAGGTTGTAGGTTGAGAGGAAGAGTTGGTGTCCGGGTGTATCAAAGTCACGATAGCTCAAGTGCTTAGAGCAGCGGCGAATTTAGCTGAAGGTCGTGGGTTCGAATCCCACTCGTGACACTAGCTTTTTCATCTTAACCAAGACCTTAGATAAAAAGTATAATTAATTGAAATAATTAATACAGTTACATACATGGATTAATATTTTTAATTTGGTATAATTTAAAAATATAAATCAACAAAATACTGCTTTTTTTTGCACTTAACATTATGTAAGCAAAGTAGGTCAGAAAATGGTCAAAATGACCTCATTGTAAGATTCGTGATTCTAGCATTATAAAATCCTTAATGTCACTCTAGAAATGCGGTATTCCCTGAATGACGATTACCACAGAATATTTTCCAAGTCTCAAGATGCTCGTGTGCAATAGTGTGCTTATGTATACTATTTTTTTATACACACATGCAGGGTTCGTACAACCAACCAGTTTGTACAGAAACAGTAACAAATACGTATTTGCCAAGTGTCGTGCGAGTCTTCAACTTAGTACCAAACGTGATGGACAACAGCGAAGCTAATGCGGTTACCGTTTTGTATAACGGCTACAAACTCAGTCACAGACTACTGTTGCCTCTTTTACTTTTGATCCGTTTCCAAGAACTGAAAACCTCATTCCGAATGTTGTGATTCGGAAGAGAAGCATTCGAAATTGTTAGTTCAGCTTGGTACAGATCGAGGAACTCCAATACTATTACATTGAGCCAATCCATTCCTAACCGACGGAAACTTCTTTTCTCTTTCATTAATACATCTATATTAGATAGAATTGTTTAATATTGAAAAAATTAATGGCCTTGTTGATTGATAATTACAGTTGATATCCATACAGTACAGTTGATTAACGAATGTGCTTTGAGTTTGACTACTCCACGAATATTCATGCAATTTGAAGCCCAAGGAAACCGACAATAGCCAAGCAAGTGCGACCGAGCACTCATCCCCACTAATCGGGATTCGGCGAACCTTTGCTCAGCATTTGGCGAACCCCGCATATCTGGAGCATCCTTTAGATACCGATTTTAGTGGACTACATTAATTTTATGACTGATAATTTTGTCTGCATGGCTGACATTCCTACTCCAAATTTTAACGTAATTTTTCTTAAAAGCTAGTGGACCGATTTTCATGGTCGATAATTTGTTTTAAAGAAATTGTCAAGTGTGTTTTATAAATGTTTCAAAAATTTAAATCTGACAGTTAGTTCCATTAAAAAATCAAAAACAATTAATAAAAAAAGGTTAATTTCTGACAAATAATTTTGTGTATTTTTTTATAGAAATGTTTTATATATTTTGTGATACATACTTGGTTAAAAAGCTACGTTCCTCTTCTTTCAAATGGTCTGACTGCCTTTAAAATCCTTTCAGCCGTTTTTGAATTGTAGCTCAAAAATTTTAGGAGTCAAAAATCTATCAATTTAATTCAGTTAGTTATTTTTTTTATCTGACGTCTTGAAATGAAAGGAATAATTAATGCGGTCAATTATGACCGCTAAACATATATGGTCTATCAATTTAAATTCAAATAACAATTTATATTTAGGGGTCTTCTAGAGGTACTAAAATGAAAAATATTTTGAGTTTGTTTACTTGAAAACTATTCAGGGTTTAGAAATTTTTTGGTCATTTAAAAAAAAAAAGTGCTGCAAAATAATATCGCAAGTAGAAAGGTGAAATAAAAATATTTAAAAAAAATAACTTAAAAATTTTTTTTTTAAACCTGGGCCAATACAAGAAGTGGCGGATACATTTCCGATATTTTGGAGTGTAGAATCACACAAAAAAAAAGTTTGTTCCAATTACGTAACACACCAACCAAGTAAGCTTGTAACATCAGGCTTTTATGCAAAATGTATGGAAAATGTTTTTTGCCTCTAAAAAAAAAACTTTTTGATTTGATTTGACTTGAGAGGAACTGAGTTTATCCTCTCTAATTGGTCTCTTAGCTGATTAATTTGTTTATAATAAAACAAATATATATAACGATATAAGGTTGATGGCTGCTCCGAATTATTTTGCATTTGCGTTTCTCTGCAGCTAATTTTTTTTTTTTTTAATCATAACATTGTTTTCAAAATTGAAAGCTTGTCTAAACGTGTTTGTGAAGTGGCACAAATGTCAAAGGGATTGGTTGCCTTGAATTTTTTTGCTCATAAAAAAAAGATGTCTTGGGGCCAATTTTAATTCCATGGCGGAAGTAGTAGATATTTGGTGTATTAACGAGAATAGAATTTTCTTTAAGGTCTTTACTAGGTGAAAGAAAGACAAAAATGTCGGGATAACCAAGCTTTCAGCAACATTGTTGCCATCATCAGGGCCTATTTATTAAGAAAAAATATACATAATTAATATAAATTTAACAATCAACAATTAAAATAACAATGCATACTTTCCCGAGAGAAGAAAAAAAAAAATTCTCATCGGAAAAAAACTAATGTAAAAGTGCTTTGGTTTAGGTTATGAAGCCCATGGCCAGCATTCAGTTATATATGGTGCTTCATAACCTAAACCAAAGCACTTTTACATTATTTTTTTCCGATGAGAATTTTTTTCTCTTCTCTCTTGGGAAAGTATGCATTATTGTTTTAATTGTTGATTGTTAAATTTATATTAATTATGTATATTTTTTCTTAATAAATAGGCCCTGATGATGGCAACATAATGTTGCCGAAAGCTTGGTGATCCCGACACTTTTGTCTTTCTTTCACCTAGTAAAGACCTTAAAGAAGATTTGAACTCTACATTGATTATCTGCAGGTCGATCTACAAACATCATTTCTTGAGAATAGAATGGGTAAGAATTACAGTTAATTTTTGAGGGTATAGAAAGGCGAAAAGTGATTTAAAAAAAGAAAATGCCCAGTTTTGTCGTGTCAGAAGGAGAGGACAACTGTTTTAATAATTACCTTCCAGGCCCTGGCAGTACGAATTTGGCGGGTCACCATAAGTTCATGACGTTAGCTGCATCCAAGGATCAAAGATGGCGTCAGCGGCCGTCAAGGAGAGAGTTCTCTAAAGCGTTTCCTGGCATCAAAAGAGATTTTCAACAAGAAAGAAAACGATTTGTAAGTGAAAACGTGAATCTTTTCAATCCCTGATGCTTTTGATGTTTTTGAGAAATGGGTCTGTGTCCGCGTTGTCCATTTTCGACAATTCGCCCGTAGTTTTTCGAATCGTGCCTCGAGGGGCGGTTTTTTTTCGGCGGGCCTTCGGGAAAAAGTCGGTCCGAGCGCCGAGCACAGGTCGGCCGTGGCGAGGACTAGGCCGCGACCGCTTCTTGTTGATTCTCATTCTGATTTTTGACTCGCCCTTTTTTTTGATTTTTTGTTTATTGTCAACCCGTTCCCGTCCGGCACCCTTTTCCCCCGAGAACGCGCCCAGGACGGCCAATTAGCCGCCAAGCGTTTTCACCGCTTTTCTTTTTTTCCAGTTGGCGAGATGTCGTCGGTCGCCGGAGATTCGCCAGTCGCGAGCCCAGCTCCTTCTGATGTGTCACAAGGTAAATCGGCGGAGTAGTGAGACGAGCCCCGGAGGCGGTTTCGACTATTGATTTCCCCGGCCGTCCCGCTGCTCCCATCGATTAAAATCCATTTTCAACCCAGGGCCGACGCCGTCCCAGAATCAGACGATGGCACTTCATCCCGTAATTTTATTACAGATCTCGGGGAGGCCGTCGCAACGATGGGTCCAGACAAAGGAAACGAAAAGGCGAAGGACAAAAGAATACCGGTCACAGAGGCTGAAATGAAACTCAGGAAAAAACTGTACCCAGGTACGTTTTTCTCATTTACACAATCATTCCCTGATAAAAACATTTCTCTGGGAAGAATTGACCATCTCTGGTTTGTTTATTTTCATGACATCTGCTACACCTCCGTGTCATACGTTATAGCAGAGTAGTCATGGCATCTATCCAAAAATGTCCAAAACATTGTCCTCATTATAAATACATGCAACCATATCAGTTGTTTACACATATACTAAATTGTATAAAAACATACACTAGGATCATCACAACCGATGATCTGAAATAAAAAGTAGATTGTATATTAATTACAGCATTCACAGTGATACTTTTTGTAAACAAAGCACATTTTACAGCTACTTTAAGATCTAATGGAAAGACTTTTTCAAATAGTTTTATTCTATTTTGTGTTCTTTCTTCTCCTGTCCTCCTCCATATCATAAATATCAATAATATTCATGACAATTTATTCATTTTATCGCTGTTCAAAAGGGGTCACAGACCCAAAATTGAGAAGTCCGTTGTGCAAAAACATACATAACAATATATAATTAAAAACTTAACATTACATAAAAAGAATAGATTACGACTAGATAATAATTGCAATAGATAAAAATAAAAACTTGTTGCAAAGAGGGAAAAAATACCCGTCACAGATGCTAAAATGAAATTGAGCAAAATCCTGTACCCAGTACGTTTTAACTTTTGAGAAATTTTCATGCTTACATCTGCTATACCTCTGTGCTATTCATACTCATGAGAATGTCCAAAACATTGTCCTCATTATAAATACATGCAACCATATCAATTGTTTACACATATACTAAATTGTGCAAAAACATACACCAAGAGCATCACAACCGATGATCTGAAATAAAAAACTAGATTGTATATTAATTACAGCATTCACAGTGATACTTTTTGTAAACAAATCACATTTTACAGCTCCTTCAAGATCTAATTGAAAGACTTTTTCAAATAGTTTTATTCTGTTTTTTCTTTCTTCTCCTGTCCTTATCCCCCATGTCATATCATAAATATCAATAATATTCATGACAATTTATTCATTTTATCACTGTTCAAACGGGTCACATGACCCAAAATGGAGTAGTCCATTGTACAAAAACATACATAAAAATATATAATTAAAAACTTAACTTTAGATAAAAAGAATAGATTATAACTATATAATAATTGCAATAGATAAAAATAAAAACTTGTTACAAAGGAGGGGGGGGAAATACCCGTCACAGATGCTACAATGAAATTGCTCAAAATCCTGTACCCAGTACATTTTAACTTTTGAAAAATTTTCATGTTTACATCTGCTAAACCTCTGTGTTATTCATTATAGCAGGTACTCATGAGAATGTCCAAAACATTGTCCTTATTTTAAATATATGCAACCCAAATGTTTATACATATATTAAATTGTGTAAAAACACATTAAGATCATCATCACAACCGATGATCTGAATTAAAAAAATTAGATTGTCTTTTAATTGTAGTATTCGCAATAATATTTTTTTTTTTTGTAAAGAAATAACATTTTACAGCTCCTTCAAGATCTAATGGAAAGACTTTTTCAAATGTTTATTCTATTTTGTGTTCTTTCTTCTCCTGTCCTTATCCTCCACATCATATCATAAATATCAATAATATTCATGAAAATTGATTCATTTTATCGGTGTTCAAACGGGTCACATGACCCAAAATTGAGTAGTCCATTTTACAAAAATATACATAAAAATATATAATTAAAAACTTAACTTTAGATAAAAAGAATAGATTACAATTAGATAATAATTGCAATAGATAAAAATAAACACTTGTTGCAAAGGGGGAAAAAAAATACTCGTCACAAATGCTAAAAAGAAATTGAGCAAAACCCTGTACCCAGTATGTTTTTAACTTTAGAAAAATTTTAAAGCTTACATCTGCTAAACCTCTGTGTTATTCATTATAGCAGAGTACTTATGAGAATGAAAAAAAAAAAAGTCACAGATGCTAAAATGAAATTAAGCAAAATCCTGTACCCAGTACGTTTTAAACTTTTGAAAAATTGTCATGCTTACCTCTGCTAAACCTCTATGTTATTCATTATAGCAGAGTACTTATGAGAATGAAAAAAAAAAAAAAAAAAAAACGTCACAGATGCTAAAATGAAATTAAGTAAAATCCTGTACCCAGTACGTTTTTAACTTTTGAAAAATTTTCATGCTTACCTCTGCTAAACCTCTATGTTATTCATTATAGCAGATTACTTATGAAAATGTCCAAAAAGTCCAAAACATTGTCCTCATTATAAATGAATACAACCTTATCAATTGTTTACCTGTATACTAAATTGTGTAAAAACATACACTAAGAATGATCCATCATCATCACAACCCATGATGATATAAAATAAAAATTAAATTGCACTTTAATTATTGTGTTCACAATATTTTTTGTAAACATGTAACATTTTACAGCTCCTTTAAGATCTACTGAGAAGACATTTTCAAATTGTTTTATTATATTCTTTGTTCTATATCTGAGACATCATTTGTTTGTTTATTTATTTACGAGCAAGAGCCTATTTTATTGCAACAATAATGTATTTAATCCACTATATTTCGATTGACCAAATGACTTCTTTCAATTAATTAATCTTTTTATGTAAGGTATTGGTGGAAATGAAAAAGTTAGTGTCACGAGCGGGATGACACTAACTTTCTCATTTCGACCAATACCTTACATAAAAAGATTAATTAATTGAAAGAATATATTTAATATTATTAATTTAAGAATAATTATAAGAAAGACAAAGAACATGTAAAAGTTGAAAAACATTGAGATATTAAACATTGACAATAATAAAATAATATCATACAGTATAATTTAGATACCAATATGCAAATACTATATACATACACATATTTGCATTCACCAGATATACAAATTGACTGTTGTACAAGTTCCTCTCAAATTCCACTGTTTGCAATTACTTTTTGCCATGTTTCTTCAGGAAGCATCTATTCATTTTGCATAATAATTCCCATCCTTTGAGTCCAGCAATGTTTGAACGGTTTCAAAAATTTTGTAATGACTGAAAAGATTAGTCACAAGGTGAAATGTCCGGAGAGTAAAGTATGGCGGGTGTGATAAAATTTACCAATTCAGATTATTTAGTAATTGTTTGGTACTCAAAGCAACGTTGGGATGGGTATTGTAGAGTTGAAAGACCACCATTTATGCTTGCTAGATCAGGTCGTTTTTAGTTTATTTGAAGGTCTAAAGGGTTAGCTGTTTACAGTACAGTTCACTATTAACCATTTGCCCTTGTGGTGACAGCTCAAAAGCAAGGGGCCGCCAGAACAACTAGGGGCTGTTGACTGAGTGGCAATAAGCATTTTTGCGGACTATGTTTTTGTGTGTGATCTAATTTTCATCACCTGCTACCATCTATGAAGAAATGGGGTCGTAAGTGTGATGATAGAGGAGTGAAGAGCAAATTGAGATCCGATCTGTCAAACTCTTTTGCTCAGTTCATGTGGGATCCACTTTTGAACAAACCTGTTGTCTTTGGATGTGGTTTCTAATTGTTGTATGGGAAAAATTCAACGTCTCTCCTAGGTCTCAGGTTGTCAAAAAGGGATTTTCTTCTAGCCTATGCCTCAATATGTCATCGTCAACCTCGAAGGACATCCACTGCATGTATCATCTTCAAGAACATAATTAAGAGACAAAGCCTTTTAATAGTTAAGCATGTGAGGAGGATTCCACCCAATGGTTGTCCTTTGAAATTTGGATTCTTTTTAAACTAACTTGTGGTGTTTAGTGGCCATTAGTTAATGATTATTTGGAGACCGTGAGATGCGATCTGGTGTGACATAGGTTTTAGAAAAACATTTTCTTTATCGGCCAATTTTGATCTTTATTGAGATCATCTCGATAAAGATAGAAATGTTGGTACGATAAAGAAAATGTATTTTAAAAACCACGGTCACACCAGACCGCATCTCACAATCTCCAAATAATTTTTAAACTAAATTTATTTACACAGCAAGATGTCTTCTTTTCAGTTTTTGAAGTTCATTTGTCAGTGATAGCAACTGGACAAAATCAGTGAAGATGTATTCAAGTGCTCAGTTATGATACAATTTCACATATGCTTCTTTCACCACTTCGGCGATGCATGGTGTATTTAGATCACAGTGAAGTACAGAATTCCAAATATAAGGCGTGTTTGTGATAATCTACAGAACTTGATTTTAATGGACTTGGGAGTGTTTTTAATTGAAAACCAGAAAAGATGATGCATACTGCCAAACGGGACGGAGAAGTGATAGGTATAACAACATTAATTTTAAGAACTCTTGTCAAGAATGGGCTTTAGAAGGCCAGGTTCATCCCAAAAGTCGTTTAATCAAATCACATATGTTTTGAATATGTTTATCTTTTATTGAGTGGGATGCCTAAATATTTGACGGAATCAACTTCAGGTGCCTAAGCTCCATGACTATCAGTGTTGTTACAAATCTTTGGGAATTTACTTTCATACGCCATTTTTCATTCGTCAACAATTTTGTTAACATGATTTTATAGTTTAGAAACTATAAGACTTTTGCCTCTAGTAAGTATAGCAAGATCATCTGGAAACATGGCTGTCATTGTCATCTTAGATGGACATAACACAAGTAAGAAATGCCCCCCCCCCCAGATGCTTCACTGCAGAAAGCCAGCTCTTTTGGTGAGCTATGATTTTGCACGATGGTAGTAGAACCCTGGCAACTACTTAATTTTCAATAGAAGTCCAGAATGCCAGACTCTGCCAAAGGCCCACTGCATGCTAACAAATAGAGCTTGATGCATTTTTGCAGTTTTTAAAATTGTGTCGATTCCTCTATGGAGAGCTGTTGTTGACATGTGTGCTATGGACAGAAACCAAATTCTTAAGAAGTGGTTGGATCCGGGTTAAGATTGTTTGATGGGTGAGCAGTTTATCATATTCTTAACCTGTCATGGACAAAAGTAGTAAAAAAAGAGGAGAGCTGGAGTGGTTGAGTTAGTCAATCCATATCAGCTTCTTGTCAAGTAATACCTATAGGTACCTTTGCAAGTGAGGATAAATTCATTGTGTAGTATCATTTTGGGAATGTAGGTGTGAAAGTGGCGCAGGGTGAAGGCAACAATTATTGATATCTGAGTGTTACCACCAGTCCGGATTTTGCACCAAATTTCCAACTTACAAATCAGGCCTGGATTGTTTGTTCTGTGGATTGGGTGATTCCGTCTGCATAAGACTGCCATTTTCGAAGTGGGATATTGAAAAAGTGTCGATTGAAGGGAAGTTGTTAATGTATAGAAGTCACTCTACTCTAGGTGTGGACTCAATATACCCTGCAGAATTCCCAAGATCGCTGAGGATTTAGATAATCGCCTTTGTCACTTAAAAGTAGACATTTGATTGGACAAATATGGCATGATAGTGGCAGGGATGGCAGATTCTTCACTTTGTGTATGAATCCGGGATACCAAACCTTGCCAAAAGCCTTTTATGTATCCAGATGTCCTTTCTTTCAGATAGTTCTATATGTTCTATCAGTCTATGCAATTACTAAGGAGTAAAATGTTTCAAAAACGAAATTGGGTATTGGATAGATAGAGGTTTCGGATCAATTTTGAAGGAGGAGGATGTCAGGGAATGATCAGTCTGTGCTCGAGGAGTCAGTTTGGGATTTATTAGACTTTTTATTAGGGAAAATGAAATTATTTATTCTAGCTGTTTGTTTTATTTTTTTGTTTTTGTTTTACAGATGTGTCTGTCATTAAAAACCAGAAGATTCTATGTACAGCCTGTTTCAATGATATAAAGCATGTAATCCTTTTAAAGGAAAATTTGTATGAACATATCTTCCTGAAGGTTGTACTTTGTAAGGTAATTAGCTTGTAATTAAGCTATTTTATACAGAATTATCCATTTCATTTGATATTTACAGCATTGCTATGAATTTTACGGGGATGGGGAGTTTTCCAACGATGAGGACGGTTTTGATAAATACTGCAGTTGGTGTGGTCAAGGGGGGCACCTATTCATGTGTTCCAAATGCCCGCACGTATTTTGCAAGGTTGTGATATCAATTGGTTGATTGATCGTTAGTAGGTTTTGCCCTCTTATTAATATTTTTTTCATTTCAGAAATGCCTTAAGGTAAATTTTGGTAGAAGTTATGCAAATAAAGTAGAAGACAATGACTGGCAGTGCCTATTTTGCAAGCCTGAAGTTTTATACGAGCTCAGGGCACTTTGCTGGGCCGTTAAAGAACATCTAAAAAACATTAAGTAACTATTTTGTTGTGGTTTGTTTTAGGAAATTTAACTGTTTTGTCTTGGTCTTTTTTAGGAGCAAGTCAAATGCTAAAATTGAGACTTCGCAGGTAAAAATTAAATTCTTTTTCTCTCTTAAAATTTACTCTTGTATTGCTTATTGACATGATAATCCTTTTTTAGAGCAAATCAAGAAAGTCAATATTAGACGTCAGTGTGTTTGATACAAACAGTGATTATACCGAGCACATTCTCAAAGCCACAGACAAGTATAATAATTACTTAACAAATTTGAGAAAGTTCTGTGATATTCTTGAAGTTGATCTTGGCAAAAAACATTCACAGTTATCTGAAATAAAATCTCTCAGTGATTTAAATGGGTTTGCTGATTCTTGTAATGACGTGTTGATTTCTTCGATACAGACTTTAAACACATTCAAGAAGTCTATGCACAGTTATATGAAGAAGTGGCAAAAGCAAGTTACAACGAATGCTAAAACTGAAAATGTAATAGCATCGGAACAAGTCATTGAATTAATCGACAGTGATGAAGAACAAGACAGTGAGAACGAAAGCAAAAAGAATGGGGTTAAAACGAAGGATGGCAGATTATTTAACATTGAAATGATTAAAAGTGGTATTAAGAGGCAAAAGGATTGCTCACAGAAGAAAACCGACGTGGTAGACTTGAGCTCGGATGATGAACCGCCATCTAACCACTTGAAAACTAATCAAAACCAGTCAAAAGACTGTGTGGTGAAGTCTGAAATTAACACTACAGAAATGTCTGCATTTGAAGAGTCGATATTAAACGATCCCCTTACCAGTACCACCAATGAAAATAAAGATACGGAACCTTTTCAAAATAATGAAATGGAAGTTAGTTGTGACTTATTTGATGGTTTAACAGATGACTTACAACTAGATTCTACTTTAGAACCCCCTCGTAGTGAATTTGAGGAATTGCAATTGTCAGAAGAGGTACAATGTTCTTCGTCCAAAACAGGTGAAAGAAAAGCTTCAAGCAGTAAAATTGGAAGTGATTCAGAATCCGAGAGGGAAGAAAAGGCAGCATTTAATGATAAAAACAAAGCTGGAAAGTTGGCAAAGAAAAAAATGGTGTCTGATTCATCAAAGGATGACTCAGACCACGATCTCAAAAATGCCTTCAGCGATTCTAGCAGTGATATTAATAAAAAGGAATTATTTCCAAAGAAATCTACAAAAAAGGAGAAAAGCAAGAAAAGAATCGCAAGATTGTCTTCCTTGGAATGTGGCTCTTCTGCTACAGATCCAGTAAATATTTGAATACTATCCATGCAAAGTTCTCTTTTATCTTAAATTTGCTTGTGTTGCAGTTGGGAACTCATTCATCGAGTGAAGAAGATTTTAAAGCAAAAAACAAAAAGAAGCCTGTTCTAAAAAAACAAAAACGCAATAAGGAGAAAACTACCCAAGAAGACAAAGAAAAATATTTCAGTTCTTCTGATGAAGACTTCAAGAAGTACTGTTTACACTTCTAGTGATCATCTTTGTTGAAAACATCAGTCTAAATATTATCTTTTACAGATTTCTTGACATATCTAGTCTCAATTATAAACAAAAAGAGTACACCAATGAATATAACAGTGGAAGTTCTTGCGGCACAAGCCCAGAACAAAAAAAAGGGACTAAGTCTGGAACAAAAAATACCAACAAAGGATTGTCATTATTGGACTGCCTGGATGAAAGTGGAGAGGAGGAAGGCAAAACAAAGGATAATGAAGGAGGGAAGGATGATGACGATGTGTCAAATGGTACGTGGTTTTACATTTTCTTTTCAGGAACCTTTCATCAACTTTATTAAACCATATAAAATAAAATGTTTAACCTTTTTATCTAATGTGAATTAAATGTTTACCTTTCCTCACTGTCACCTCTTTTTATTTTATTTTTTTATTTTATTTTATTTTTTTTTATTTTTTTAAGTATTTGATTTGAATATTGATTTGGAACCATCATTTAAAATTAAAAGAAGTGAAGATGGTCGTATTTTAAGTACACTTTTAAGTGAAGATTCAGATTCTGTAGACACAGGTATAATTTTATATTCAATTGTTTTAATTATCTTGGCTTGGCATCATTAATGTGGCGTTTTAAATTTCTAGTTGCCTCAGAAATCCAGTTGGATATATCAGATGATGAAAAACGGAATCCAAAGAAAAAAGCGCTGGAAACAAAATCCAAAGGAAATGAAAATAAGGAGGTAAACTAATAAACAAGTTAATAAAGCAGTCTGTGAAGTCTTGCAGTCATTATATTATTATTATTTCCTAATTGACTTATGATGACAAGTTTTGCTTTTGTTTTGTTTTTATTCAGTAAATTTGTCTGTAGTAATTTGGAATTAAATTTTGGTTAAATTTTGAACTCAATTTTATTTTTAGAAAAGGACAACTAATTCGAAGAAGAGGTACACGGATAAGCTCCTTTCGCAGAAGCTCAGCGATGATTCTTGTAGTGATGAAGATAAAGTTATACAGAAAAAGGAGAGAACTGAAAAGAAAATTGTGAAAGACAGCACATCTGAAAAGTAAGTCAGAAATCAACTTTAACATGTTTCAATATGTGTATACATATTTTCCGCCAGACGGTACTTACCATGATGTACAATGTTAATTTACTTTGTTTTGTATATATATTTTTTTTGTTATTATTATTAGTATTATTATTAATTTTTAAGGGCGTTTTAACGGCTAAGGTCATTTCTCGCCCTAACATCCAAACCTCTATCTTAGGTTAGCTATATCCCTTCTGAGTGCATTAATATTATTATTATTATTTTACATATTCAATATGTATTATTGTTTGAAATTCATACTTTAATTATTTATTTATACTGTTCAGTTCAGACGACGATATGATTAAGACTCCAAAAAAGGTTAAAAGGTATTATAGCCATTTCTAGCTGGAATGCTAAGCTTTGTTTTGTTTGTTTGCACTTTTCGTTGTTTGTGGATAATAATGATTTGGTTTTGTAATGTTCTAAGGAGAAAGAAAATTGGAAAGAGGAATAGACTATTTTCAAACAGCGAAGACAGCTCATCATTCCACGAACCGTCTTCTTCTTCTTCTGACGATGACGATTTTGGTTCAGAAGACAAAGAAAAAAAGCCTGCCGAAACGACAAAGTAATTTTCTCTTTACTCGAGTCAATTTGTAAAACATTCGTCAAACTGTTTTATTTATTATTTTATTGTTTCAGTAAAAAACGCAAACGGATTCAGGTTCAGACATCTTCAGATTCAGATGCTTCTGGAAGTACCCGTCGAAAAAAGTCAAATGTAATTTTTTTCAGTAATTCCTTGACAAATTTAGGTAAAAATCGTAGAGAATGCTTTTCAACTCATTCAGTAAATTCACTATTTTTCGTGGTCTGCTTGACCAATTAATAACATTCAATTAATGAAGGTTTTAAGTTGATATAAAAAAGTCAGTGTCACGAGCGGGATTCGAACCCACGACCTTCGGCTTGATACGCCGCTACTCTACCACTTGAGCGCTATCGTGACTTCGATCACCTCGGGCTCAACTTCCCATCTCAACCCCACCTTTTGAATTTTCTCTCCTTTTTGCCATTTTTCAAAATACACTTCACTAAAGCCCTCTGTGGCCATTTCATTTGTCACCGAGAATCCAATCCAATTACACATTTGAAAAATGGCAAAAAAGAGAGAAAATTCAAAAGGTGGGGTTGAGATGGGAAGTTAATGCCCGAGGTGGTAGAAGTCACGATAGCGCTCAAGTGGTAGAGTAGCGGTGTATCAAGCCGAAGGTCGTGGGTTCGAATCCCGCTCGTGACACTGACTTTTTTATCTCAACTTAAAACCTTAATTAATTGAATCATTCAGTAAATTTTTTTAACCATTTCCTATCAAGATTTTTTGTTTAATTTTTAATTTACTTAATTTTTGATTTGTTTCTTCTATTAGTTTGTGATAACTTTATTGATGAAATAGTATTCCAAGAAAAAAATTATTTTGAACATAGTAAATGTATGCATTTTATTGGGATACACCGTTATCAGTTGTCAAAGGTGGGGAAAAATTGTTATATTTCTTCTTGGAGATTGCAGGAAGAAGACATGAAGTTTGGCCATTTCCAATCGTTTTGGTCTGCCTATCCTCCTGTTTTTTGACCTGTGTGTTTTCCTATATGTATTACACGTCAACAAACGCACCACAAGATATGAGAAGCAGAAGATTCTGATTGAGGATAAGCAGATCAAAATGATCAGAAATGACTTTTTATGTACTTGTGTTGTTTGGGCAGTTAAATACATTTTGGCTTCTGGTCATCTTCAGTAGTGGGTTCTGACAGACCAAAGCAGTGTAGATAGACCAAATTGATCAGAAACTAGCCTATTAATTCATTATTTATACACAACTAACATCTTAGAAAATTACTAAATTCTTTTTGCTATAAAACTCTCCATGAAAGGAAGAATATTTTAATTTAATTAGTGTTGGACAATTAAACGTTAATTCAACTCGTACTGATTCTGAAAATTGTGAAACTTATTCCACTTATTTCAGTGTGTGTCATGCTTGTTTGAACTAGTGTTAATAATATTAATGCAAATTTATCCGTACAATTATTTTTTTAAAATTAAGTATAAATTATCAGGTGGAAGACAGTGGTGGCAAGGGCAGGAAAAACATAAGACGTGTTCTGAAAGAGGATGACCTGAAGGAATCAACTCAGGCAGCTTTAAAAGAAGAGCAAGAAAGAAAGAAACGGATTGCCGAAAAGCAAAAATTAGTAATTTTACATTGGTGCACTTTAAGCTATATTTTATTACTATTCTAAACGTAATGTTTTCAGTATAACAAATTGATGGAGATTGCAAACACAGAGGTGGAAGAACTCAAGGAGGTCGTCTTAGACTTCGATCCCGATACCAAAACACCTCTATTGTCAGTCGACCCTGATTTGGTTAAAAAATTGAAGCCCCATCAGGTGAATAGAATTTATTTCTTTGTAAGTTGTAACTAAATTTGTAATATTGTAATTTCAAGGCGAGTGGGGTCAAATTCATGTGGGATTCTTGTTTTGAATCGCTCAAAGACCTTTCAAATAAGAAAGGTTCCGGCTGTATTTTGGCTCATTGCATGGGCCTCGGAAAGACTCTTCAGGTATGAACTGTGGGGGGGGGAAAGATGAATATAGGATTAACATAAATTTTTAGGTTATAACATTGGCGCACACCATCCTCTCAAACAAGGAATGCAAAGTAAACACCATTCTTGTCGTTGCTCCCGTCTCGACAGTATTAAATTGGGTCTCAGAGTTCAACAAGTGGCTTAAGGATGTCGGCTCCGGTCAAGATATTGAAGTTTTTCACTTTTCAAAGTAGTTTATTCAATATTTGCCATGTGGATAAATAATTTAATACGTCTTTTATATGTTTAGGGTTGATGCTGCATATCGAACTCATCAACTGAAGGAATGGCACAGGTGCGGTGGTGTCATGATCATGGGCTACAACCTTTTTAGATCATTGTCAAATCCACCTGGGAAAGTTAAAAAAAGTTATAAGCAAACTTACACCGAAACACTTTTAGATCCAGGTATAATAAAAATAATTTGAAGTTTATAGATAGAAATTTTGCCAATTTCATTTTCAATCCTAGGTCCTGATGTTGTCATTTGTGATGAAGGCCATATTCTTAAAAATGAATCGACAGCAATATCCAAAGCTATGAACAAACTCAAGACGCTCAGGAGAATTGTCCTGACGGGAACACCATTGCAGAACAACTTAGTCGAATGTTAGTTTTAATTTTTGTACTTTCTCTTGTGATTCTTTAACAATATTGTACATTTCCAGATCATTGCATGGTACAGTTTGTGAAGCCCAACTTGCTCGGTACAAGAAAAGAATTCAAGAACCGATTTGTGAATCCCATTCAAAACGGTCAGTTTGAAGATTCAACGAACCACGATGTTAAGATTATGAAGCGGCGAGCTCATGTACTCCACACGATGCTTGATGGGATTGTTCAAGTACGAATATCATCTTTGTCTTAAATTCATTGACTTATTCCGGTTTTAATTCACAGAGGAAAGATTATAACGTACTTACTCCTTATTTACCGCCCAAGTTTGAGTATGTGATTCATCTAAAATTAACAGACCTCCAGTGCAAGCTTTACAGGTTTTATTTGGACAATGTAATCCAGACCAGTGACATCTTAAAGAGAAGGCTGTTCGCCGATTTTCAAAATCTAATGAGGATTTGTCTTCATCCTCGAGCGTTATTGATGAAGGCTGAAAAAGATGAAATCGCGAGAGTGGTCTGTAACCCATTTATAAAGTAATTACTATTTTATTTATTTGTCATTCTTGGTAGATGAATTGTGATGATGAGGAAGGATCTCTGAAAGACTTCATTGATGATGGTGATGGTGACTCAGAGAGTAAAAGTTCCCTCTCTGAAACGACAGAATCATCTGATTCTGATTCTAATACTTCACACCAATCAAAATCAACAAGACGAACAAGACGTATGTACATCAACTAACTTTCTATTTGGTGGTTTTCTTCTATTTTTAACAAATTTATATTTATAGAAAATAAAAACATGGTGGAGGAGGAGGAAGAAGTTGTTGAAACGAAAAAAGAATGGTGGTCAGATCTAGTTGTAGAAGACGATTGGGAGGATATAACCCGAAGTTCAAAGCTTTTCCTCTTTTTCACAATTTTAAAGTACTGTGAAGAAATTGGGGACAAAATGTAAGTTATAAATAAATTTTTCCTCTGAACAAAGTGGTTGTAATTAATTATCCTTTATTGCAGTCTCGTGTTCAGTCAATCATTGTACACATTGGACATTATTGAATATTTCTTAGAGAAATTAGACGAAAATAAAGATGGAGGAAATAATCAATTTGCAGGTTCTTGGATAAAGGGTGCTGATTATTTCAGACTTGATGGTTCCACTGGTACTGATTACCGTCATTCCTGGTGTAAAAACTTTAATAAGGAATCTAATACTAGGTATGTTATTCTTTGATTAAATTTCTTATCTTGAGAATTTTTTAAAATAAATTAATTTTAACTTCAGGGCGAGGTTGTTTCTCATTTCAACGAGGGCAGGAGGTTTAGGCATAAATTTGACTGGGGCCAATCGAGTAATCCTGTTTGATGCCTCTTGGAATCCTTCGTATGATGTACAAAGTATATTTAGAGTTTATAGGTTTGGGCAGACAAAGCCTTGTTACATTTATCGGTTTTTGTCTAAGGTAAAAAATATATAAATAATAATATTGTTTAATTTGATTAATTTTGTACTTTATAGGGCACAATGGAAGAGAAGATTTATGAAAGACAAGTTGCTAAACTTTCTACTTCACTTCGAGTTATCGACGAACACCAAATTGATCGGCATTTTTCACATTCAGCATTAGCGGAATTGTACAGCTTTGATCCCGAAGGATCGGAACTGCAAGGGGTACCAATACTGCCAAAGGTATTGTTTTATTTAAAAAAAACAGAATTTTTGTCACTGCAGTGGCTAAAAGTTTTTGAAGTACAGTGAGTCCCGCTCGTCCGTTAAATTAGCCAAATAATGCAAAAGTAAGCAGTAAAACAAGTGTGGTACAGACCAGAGCAGGTAATAGTGTACATGCAACTCAGAAGAAAGAATGTTGAAAAAATATTTATTTGAATAATCATACACACTTGAATTGTCAAAAACATTTCTTGTCATCGTGGTTTTTGCTAAATTATACTACTGATGGACAGATTCTAAATGAGTTACGAAATTTAAGACACGAATATATGTATTGATTTATCCAACGGTTCGTCTATTAAATGCCAAAATTTTTATCATTTCACGAAATTTTTAGTTCAGGTCAACCTGTTCCATCTCAATAAAACTTATCGCTCCATTAAACGGTGATTCAGTTAGGTACAAATATTGATCGAACATGTGCAAACAGAGAAAACAAGGCTTCATTGAACAAGTTTTTTTGTTTAAGGATGTTTTAAAAGCAAATAGTCTTTAGAGAAGAATAAAAGTTCATATTTCATAAATTGTTATTCAGTAACAACATTCAGTTTTTAATTTTTTTTTTTTTTTTTTTTTTTTTTTTTTTTTTTTTTTTTTTTTAATTCAAGAGGTTCAACTATGAGGTTATATGAACCCTCATGATACTGGTGTTTTTGAAAAAAAAGTCCATTTGTATGTCGGGTTTGAACTGTTAAATTTTGAACTTTTTGCAATACATTCAAATGCAGGGCTGTCAGATTCAAGCCCAGGACTTTTACTTTCAGTGATGAGCGCCACCGACTTCCCCCTTAAAATAGAAAGTTGTACTACAACAAAATGGTGTGAAGGGTGTCGGTGGCCTCAACGGTTTAAGCGTTGACACGGTGTTCATCACTGTAAGGTAAAGGTCCCGGGTTCGAATCCTGTGGCCCTGCATTCGAACCCGACATACTTACAAATGGGCTTTTTTTTTTCAAAAACACCGGCACCTTGAGGGTTTATATGACCTCTGCTTCGGAGAAATATGACCTTGGGAAAAAAAAGGTGTATCTTGCCTTAATAACTCCTTAAATATTAATCTCAGAGACATGGTAGTGTCATTTTTTTAGCTTACATGGTCAGCTCGCTGATACAACATTGAATTTGCATCACACGCTTAAGGGTTGGCAGCGAGAGTGCATAGCGCTGATTGGCCAAAACCGTCACTCTAGCATCCTTTTCATTCCCAGTAACTCATGGCTGAGATGTAGCGATGATTCGTGTGTTTGAGTGTACAGTTTGTACCCATCAATTGATTTTTATAGTAATGTGTTTTTTGGACAATATTTCTATGTAAAAACTTGAAGTAAGCGTGTAAAAAAACTAGGAAAAAAAATTAAATTTAAAAAAAAATTAAGCCTCAGCGCACACAAAAGCCTAATGAAAATTTAAATCTTGTATATTGTTGGAAAGAGGAGGCTACGACCCATGCACAAGTACATTCCAATGTCCATTGCTGAGTAAGGGAATCTCTTTACGGAGCATGGGAAAGCTGGCACAGTGAACGATTTTTGCCATTGCTGTCCCTGAAACATTTGACATACATGTAACACCCATATGTCTGCCAAAGACATCTCCGAGCTGATGGAAGTAGCATTCTACTGGCGAGCACCAGACAAATGCTTCAAAACGATATTCGAAATTTGTTTTGTCTATCTTGCAGTGTTTGTGATCGACTTTTGATCGTATCTGCTTTCAATGCTCAAAGTTTGGTGTCTGAGGAGGTATTGAGATAAAACTCCGGGACAGTGGACTTGGATGTATAGCGCGAAGTCTGTTTAGTTCAACGGCTTTGAACTAGCAAAATCAAGCAATAACACCGTAATTGAATATTGTAGAGAGGGTCCGTTTAACTTTTCCAAACCGCCATTGATAAGTTTCTGCAGTTGGTGATTGTACAATCTGCAGAAATCTATCAAGCTTCATGAGGTGTAGAGTACCCATAGTCGATGCGATCAGTCTCTGCGGCAATTCTGTCTTCAAAAAACATAACATTGGTAACAAATCCATGGTGGAAATGAAAGTCGGAGATCATACGCTGTTTATCCTCAGTGCTGTAAATCACAAAGTTTTGGCCAAAGATGTGAAGCTATGTCTTTATCAATCACTTTTGCCAAACTTGACAAAAATATTAATCGCTGACAAATATTAGCCGAAATAAATATCATGTACCATTCAGTGCGTGCTTTATGTTAGAATAAAATTTGATACACATTCAATGCTTCGTTTTCATTTCAATCAAATAAGATAAAAGCAACTTTTCCAAATAAACGTTTCACATTTTTTAAAATTAATAATTGGTTAAAATTCACCAACGAAGATGGTGACAAGTTGAAACGCGTCTGACAGACCAAAACAACACTAATGTGCAGACTAAATCATTTACAAATGGGGGGGGGGAATGGCTATGCAGTTTGGAGTAAGAAAAGTAAAAATAACTGCCATTAAAACTACTCAAAAGAAAACTATATTTATTATGTAAAAAAAATTAAAAAAAAAAAAAAAAAAACTATTTCCTCTCTTACTGATCGAAAAATCTTTGGATTAGACAGATATTTAGATTAGCAGGACTCCACTGGTATAAGCAGTCTGAAGAAATACATTATTTCTTACATGGTACTGTCAGAATAAAGGTAAATTTGTACCTTTCAATTAATTAAGGTTTTTAGTTGAGATAAAATAGTCAGTGTCACGAGTGGGATTTGACCCCACTACCTTTGGCTAGATACGCCGCTGCTCTACCACTTGAGCTATATAAGAGATATTAATTGGTCAAACAGACCACGAAAACTAGTGAATTTGTACGTTTTGCTTAACTGTAAACAATTTTAAATGTTACACATACATATTTATGCAGTGTCTGAAGTTGTGAAAAAACATCTTTTTTAGGACCGTTTGATGGCTGAGCTTCTTCAAAACCATAAAGATATAATTCTTTCTTATCATCAGCACGATTCTTTGCTCGAAAACAAAGAGGATCAAGAACTTACAGAGGAGGAGAGAAAAGCCGCTTGGGATGAATATGAAAATGAAAAGAATCCACCTGCATTTACACAGCAGATGACAATGGACCAATCTCAACAAAAAAGTAAGTCTCGTCTCTCAAATTTACAAACTTTAAAAATTCATTGTTCTTTTTTTTTCTTAAAAAAACAACATAGTTTATGGCCAATTATTAGTTCTGCACAATATTCAAGACAAGTTAAAGAAACAGGTAAATATTGAGGTTTGATGTATTTTATTAGCATGTTTATGAGTTTTCTTGAATTCCAGAATCCATCTCTGACGAAGGAACAACTGTACGAGAAGTGCTATACAGTATTGATGTCATTCCCAGAATTTCAAATGACGGTAAGATAGAAAACATTTTCTCCTTGGGCTCAATAATAAGATTAGCTATATGTTTTCTAGAAAGAAAAATATGCGCAGCTTGATGCGCAGTTGATCCAGCTGCAAGCCATGAATCTCCCGCAGTTTAGTGTGAGTAATAATATTCCACAGAATCTACCACAGCAGAGCTTCCAGTACAGGGCTCCCCAGCCAATGATGAACTACTACAACGTCAAAACATTTCCCACCCCACAAAACATAGTTGTGAACAGGCCTGGAGGGCTGCGAGGTCCAAATGTGCAATCGACAATTTTAGCCAACAGTTCGAATAGCCAGAACAGAATGAATTTGCAGAACAGTGCTGCGAACAGTGAGTTTGTTAATTTTGAATAATTTATCCTTTTTTTTTTTTTTTTAATTTGAATTCAACGTGGAGCTGCTTTGGGAAGCGTTTGGTGATACAGACCCTTCGTAAAGGTAAAATGAATCAATTTAATTTTTTTAGATCAATGGTACAGGCAAACGATGGTCAATACATTACCCCGGAATAAAAGGCCTCAAACAAATTCAGTAGTGTTGGTGGATGACTCGGTTGTGCATGATATAGATTGATTTAAAAGCTAAATCAAACTTTAAGGTGATTTTATTATATTTTGGTTATTTTATTTTAATTTATTATTATTGGGTTGGTGCAAAATTAATGCAGGTTTTGAAAATTGATTTTAGTTTTGCAGATGCTTGTCATGTAAACAAAGCTAAATCTTCAAATTTAATTTATAGATTGCTTTAAATACTTTTAACTGTTATTTTTCATACAAAACTTTTTAGTTTATATTGAATTTTAAAAGAGAAAGGGTCTGCGAAATTAAATGTCCAAACTAAATTTTCATCATATTTATTTGTTTGAATTTAAACTTAGGTGAAGTGAGGATAGTTAAGCCCAAACCGCATGTAACACAACATGTTTGAGGGGAGGGAAGCATTAGCAAATGCAGTGCAGCGATGGTTTTAGTATTTTGTCTTGGAGATTTCAATCTCGAAGACAGGGAAGGTCACCATTGTGGACGATGATTAACTCAAAACGTTGATTGAAGAAAATTCATGAACGAAAACATGGGAAATTGCAGAAGAGCTTAGCATTGATCACTCAACCGTTCACCATCTGGAGCAAATTGGCAAAGTAAAGAAGGTTGACAAGTGGGTACTGCATGAATTAACCAAAGCCCAAAGAAATCGACACTGCAATTTGCACATCTCTTCTATTCCTCCACTAAAATGATCCGTTTCTTTATTAAATCATCATGTGCGATGAGAAATATATTCTGTACAATAACAGGAGGCATACAAGTCAATTGTTGGACAAGGATGAAGTGCCAAAACTTTCCGAAACCAAATATGCACCCAAAAAAGGTGGTGTTTCTGGGGTAGTTCACTATAATTTCCTGAATTATGGTGAAACTATCACAGTAGAGAAATATTGCCAAAAAATTTACAAAATGCATGGAAAACTGCAACGTCTTTGTCCAGCATTGGTAAACCGTAAAGGGCCGATTCTTCAAGATAACGCCAGGCCACATGTCACAATGCCAACCCTGTGGAAACTTAAGGACTTAGGATATGAAACCTTACTGCACCCTACATATTAACCCGCCTACAGACTTTCAAGACTTTACTGTGAGTCGAAATAAAGATTTTTATATCAGCAGAATAAAAGCGCTTTTTACATTGGCAAAGATGTATAGATTGTGATGGAAATATTTAAAATAAATTTCTTTATTTCTTTATTGTATAAAAATTAAAAATAGTTTTGCCAGCCTTTTCAAAACCTAAAACCTGCATTATTTTTGCACCGGCCACATAACCACCCAAACATTTTTAATATATACAGGGTGAATTGCTACTCGTGCTACAAACTTCTCCAGTAGATTCTTCACCCTAAAATGAACAAAAAAGTTCATATTGTCCATGGTCCGATTCTCAACCATTTCAGAGTAATTTCGCTTTTTATCGATTTTGAAAGATATCACGTCCTGGCGTCGGAAAATCGTGATATCTTTTAATCTAAACATTTCTCTTAAAATCTATAAGCACCGTTGAAATCCCCGTTAATTTTTAGAGAGAATCAAAATCATAATTCCATTGAAATTTTTTAATTTAATTTAATGCCCATTTAGTATGTAATGCTTAAGAAGTTTACAAACAGCTAGAAGGTCAAGGAAGAAAGACCCAAACGTTTTGCCACCTTCATCTTCTTATTGAAAAATTAACGGGGATTTCAACGGTGCTTATAGATTTTAAGAGAAATGTTTAGATTAAAAGATATCACGATTTTCCGACGCCAGGACGTGATATCTTTCAAAATCGATAAAAAGCGAAATTACTCTGAAATGGTTGGGAATCGGACCATGGTCAATATGAACTTTTTTGTTCATTTTAGGGTCAAGAATCTACTGGTGAAGTTTGTAGCACGAGTAGCAATTCACCCTGTATATATATATATAATCATTTTTTTAAATTGAATTTTCATTTTTTCATTGAATTGGTTTACATTTACTAAATTCACTAGTTTCATGGTCCACTTACCAATTAATATCTTTCAATTAATTAAGGTTTTTAGTTGAGATAAAAAGTCAGCGTCATGAGCGGGATTCGAACCCACGATCTTCGGCTAGATACGCCGTTGCTCTACTACTTGAGCTTTCGTGACCTCGATCCACTCGGACACTAACTTCCCTTCTCAACTCCACCTTTTGAATTTGAAAAATGGCAAAAAGGAGGGAACAAAAGGTGGGGGTTGAGATGGGAAGTTAGTGTCCGAGTGGATCGAGGTCACGATAGCTCAAGTGGTAGAGCAGTGGCGTATCTAGCCGAAGATCGTGGGTCGTGACGCTAACTTTTTTATCTCAACTAAAAATCTTAATTAATCGAAAGAATTTACATTTACTGTGGAATTCCACTATTATCAAACCTGCCCACCAGTGCACATTAACAAGGTAATACCACCATGAACCAAGTCGTTACCTTGGGCTTTACTTAGATAGCAGACTTATATGGACCAACATAACCAACACAAGATTAAAATGACAAGAACTTAATAAAAGATATGGACTACTCACAACTGCTGGGTACCAAAATCAACACTAACATACTAAATTAACCGTTTATCAAACATTCATCAAACCTTTTTGGACTCAACAGAGTCAAACTGTAGGGCTCGGCCCATCATCCAACATCCAATGAATTCAATCGTTTACATCTTAATTTCTCCGCTGTATCCACATTGATCCTTTCTACGTCACTGATCAAACGATACACAAGACCTGCTGGCACTCACTGTTCTGGTCTGTCAGACAAATTCACATGACATACTAACACTGCGATGATAGGCAGACCAAAATGATCAGTAACAACCGAACTATACATTCATCACCTGGAAGACATTGTCATAACATAGGCTTAATATCATCAAAATTTGTATATGCAACACAATATTTGTCTTCAATCAGTACCAAAATCTCTTAATCACTTCCAAGCTACTACTGTGTAATTCTTATGAATTAAAAAGATGATTAATTTGAATTATGAATTATAAAACGTTTAAGTACTGTTAAGAAGGAAAATTAACAAATAAGTGAGAGGATCAAAATGCAATTTTTTTTAAATGATACCACAGGTCAGAATTTCAAATAAAATGACAAGAGATATTGCAGGGATCGAACCCAGAACCACTAGGGTTGCAAATATAAAGTCTGACGACCTAACCACTCAGCCACCGTGGTCAAAATTATGGGGATCATATATATTGATAAAATTTTGTCCTGTCTTCGATCACATTTCACAGCAGTCAAAACTCCCTTTAATTGCCATTTGCTTCAAGTGCCATGAACCTGATTTTTTTCTGACTCATGGGTCTTTTTCTTCTATGTACTTCCTATAATGATAATCATTCCTATTTATTTAGAAATCATGAGATGCGGTCTGGTGTGATGTAGGTTTCAGAAAAATATTTTCTTTATTGTGCCAACGTTTCGATCTTTATTGAGATCATTTTCAGGGCCTGGGATTTACAAACATTGTTTATATATTACAATTACATTTTGGATGTGGAAAAGTGAATTTATACAATGCAAAATATATTTTATATATTCAATCAAAGTATTTCTACTCACTCAAAGTGTTTGTCTTCTGTGTAATTGTGCCATTCTTGCGTGTCGTGTCGAGAGTGCCAGTGAGATTTTGCTATTTTGTGTTTATATAGATTGGATTTTGAAGGGGTGGGGACACGACACACAAGAATGGCACAATTACACAGAAGACAAACACTTTGAGTGAGTAGAAATACTTTGATTGAATATATAAAATAGTTATTCAGATATCGTGAGATGCGGTCGGGTGTGATATAGGTTTTAGAAAAACATTTTCTTTATCGTGCCAACGTTTCGATCTTTTATTGAGATCATCTTCAGGGCCTGGAATTTACAAACAATGTTTACATTTAACAAATACAGTTAGGATGTGGAAAAGTGAATTTATACAATGCAAAATATATTTTATATTCAAACAAAGTATTTCTACTCACTCAAAGTGTTTGTCTTCTGTGTAATTGTGCCATTCTTGTGTGTCGTGTCCCCACCCCTTCAAAATCCAATCGTGTTGAGAGTGCCAGTGAGATTTTGCTGTTTTATGTTTATATATGTTTGGTACACATCATTCCTATATTGAAATTTCTGATTTACATATATTTACATTATATTTTACAAATTGTCACATCAAAATCTTGGTAGGAAATACGTTGGTTTTGGGACATAACAAAGTACGGACAGGTGTGACTACTGGAGATTTGCCCAACCATAAAATGTTAGATGAACTTGTCAATATGGTACACTGTTAGAAGTTAATGGCGTTGCAGGATCACTTCTGAAGTATATTGTCAAGAATTCATTTTTCTCACCCACTGTTCCTCTTCTAGTTCACTTTAACTTTTAGTACCAGAACAAAAATCCATTCATTTATATTTATCATCTTCTGGTTAATTATTTATTTGATTTACATTAATAGTTAAAAAGTGTGATTGGTGCACACTGACACGCCCCATAGTTGGTTAGTAGAGGATTATTTATTTTAAATAATTATATTTTATCTCTTAGAGGTAATTAAAAATAGCAAATAAGATTTGTTCCCAGTTCTGTCCTTGTTCTATTGAGTCAGATCCAAATAAACCAAAGGTAAGTTCTGCTTCCACCGTGTGGTAACCAGTTAGTTGCATGTTTGACATGAATGTTTTCCTTGTGTCCAGTAGTTTTTTTTTGCTAAAAAAGTTTAAAACTTAAACTAATAATTTTAGTCAAATTTTCAAAACACATGTCGCATGGCAATGCAGCAGGGAAAAGTATCCAAAGTATGAACCTATGTTTTCCATAGAAAAACTAAGTTGAGCATTTAAGCTCTTTCATCCCTTCACCTATTGAAATTGTCACGACATTAACTTGTACTTTTATAATGACTTGCTTTATTACAGTTATAATTTTTTGTATTATTTTTTTTCCAGTTCGATTTTAATCAGTGGCTGTGCAATCTGCTACGTTTATTGTTGATGTCAACTACATAACTATTTCTTTGTAAGTCGTTTTATTTATTGAAACAAAATTATTTGATTTATATACATCTATGTATGTTAATATACACATAGAAATTAACTTTGAGAATAGAGTTCCTGTAAAAAAATTTTGTGCTATTTTTTAAAAATTGTGTTGATGATTTCATCTGTATAATTTTGTTTAAATGTCTTATAATTTTGTAATATTAGTTACTATTTAGTATATACAAAATATAATTCATATTATTTATTAAAAAAAAAAAAAATTACTTGAAAGTACAAATACTTTATATATAAACGATTATTTAAAATTGATTAATCGGCTTTCGTTTGTTTATACATTCAGTAATTGTGATCAGGGTATTATGTTTTTATCAAATCATGTTCGAAAAATTTTAATCAGATTTCATAAAAAATATTGCTATACCGTACATATGTGTAGAAGCAAAATTGTATAAAAATTTAACATTGTACGATTATGAATTTCCTAATGTAATAATTAGATTAGATTAAATTATTAGCCATTTTGAAAGGGTTTGAATAATTTATTTAAAATATAAAAAAAAAGTTTCATTTGAATAAAGCACTCAGCAGAACTTGTACTTGTTGATTTCATTATGTAACCTGTCCCTCAGTAATTTGACAGTTTCGGTATAATTTAGATCATTAACAACATTTTGGTTTTCATGTGGATCGGAAAAATGATCGTACAGCTCTGCAGCAATGGCTTTGGACCAGTCGGGTAGAAAGTTGTCAAACAGAGCCCACTCTGTATAGCGAAACGTTGCTGTCCTGAGCGAATACCCCATTACGTGGATATCTTTTAGCCTCGGCTTGTCGCTGTTCGGGTGGAGTGTGGGATGCGTCCCTGGTCTCGGGTACTGGCTTAATGCTATGTAACTGTCTTTGCCCTGATATAGAAGAAAAACAATCCTATGAATAATGAAACATTTGGATCAATTTTGGCAAAAGTTTACCTTGGAATCTTTCAAGAGTGGCACAAGGCTCTTGCCTTGGGTGCAGGTTGAAATTTCCTTTGAACACAGAGGGCATGACAGAATGGGCTTCAGGCCCGACAACTCTACCAGTGTTGGAAACAAATCGACCAACTCAACGACATGCCTGATCCTATTGTTGTAAATCTTTTTAGCTGGAACTTTTATTATAAATGGAACTCTTAATGCAATTTCATAATTGCTAAATTTGGACCATTCACCATGTTCCCCTAGTGACCAACCTTAGATAAAAGAAATAAGTTATTAAAATGGGATGGAAAAATTACTTCATTACATTAATGAAATTTGAAAGCTTTTAGTAAACGACAAAGCATGATTGTAAATATTGGATCATTATTTGATAACAATTACATTTATTAACAAAACATCAATGTCTCATGATTTGTTTTAAGTTTTGATATTAGTTAAGTACATCGGATGTGCCCACACTAATCATCTTGGTCTGCCTATCTTCGCTGGGTTTCCCCAGGATAGGTAAACCAAGATGATCAGTAAGGATAAAATTACAGTATCCTGTAGATTGCAGGAAAAAATGTTACTTTTTTTTTTACAAGGGTTTGCAACAGCAGAGGTTATATCAACCCTCTGAGTGAAGGTGTTTTTGAAAAAAAAAAAAAAAAAAACATTTGTATGTATGTCTGGTTCGAATGCAGGGCCGCTGGATTCGAACCCGGGACCTTTACCTTACAGTGATGAGCGCTGTGCCAACGCCTAAACCGTTGCAGCCACCAACGCTCCCTTAAGTGTTACTAATTATTGAATAAATGAAAAGAACTGTAGATTCCAAACATGAGCTTTTTTAATAGGCTTTTTAATACGACGTTATATGAACTTCAAGGTGTCAGTTATTTTGAAAAAAACAAAAAAACATTTATAAGTAAATAGGTTTGATTCAGGCTGGATTCAAACTTGGGATCTTACCTTACACTGAAAAGAACTGTGTCAACTGTTGTAGACACCAAACTGCAAAACATGAGTCGAAAAAAACCCTTAGAAAACCGTTATTCTATTTATTTGTACATCATGCATTCAAATTTGATAATTTTATGATTGGAGATTGATAGAGCGCAGAGATTGACACACCAATTCTCCATTTCGATGCGTTCAGAAGTCTTTGTAGTTTACTTTAGACATATTTTTATTTCAAGGTGGATGTTGGTCTACAAGTCGGTGAACATATATTGAAGGTACTGGGTCTGTTGTTGCAATCCTCACTGAAGTTGGCCATACAGACGGACCCAGTGCTGCTTCAATATATATTTATTTCATACTATACTAGAATTTAAGATTTATTTACAGTCCAACTGGTAAAGCAAAACTTATTTGGTTGATTTATTTAAGCCAAGGTAGAAATTATCAGCTGCTTAGTTAGTCTGAAGGTATGAATGAATTAATTCACTACTTTCGTGGTCTGCTTGACCAATTAATACATGACAATTAATTAAGGTGTTTAGTTGAGATGAAAAAAAGCTAATGGCACGAGAGGGATTTGAACCCGCGACCTTCGGCTAGATACGCCGCTGCTCTACCACCTGAGCTATCGTGACCTCGATCCACTCGGACATCAACTCCCCATCTCAACCCCACCTTATGAGTTTTCCCTCCTTTTGCCATTTTTCAATTTTTTTGATGTCCGAGTGGATCGAGGTCACAATAGCTCAGGTGGTAGAGCAGTGGCGTATCTAGCCGAAGATCGTGGGTTCGAATCCCTCTTGTGCCATTAGCTTTTTTTCATCTCAATTAAAAACCTTAATTAATTGTCATGTATTAATTGGTAAAATGGACCACAAAAGTAGTGAATTAATAATTTAAAAATGAAGTACACTTCACTAAAGCTCTCTGTCGCCATTTCAATTGTCGTCGAGAATCCAAACCAATTACACGACATTTGAAAAATGGCAAAAGGAGGGAAAACTCATAAGGTGGGGTTGAGATGGGGAGTTGATGTCCGAGTGGATCGAGGTCACGATAGCTCAGGTAGTAGAGCAGCGGTGTACCTAGCTGAAGGTCGTGGGTTCGAATCCCTCTCGTGCCATTAGCTTTTTTTCATCTCAACTAAAAACCTTAATTAATTGTCATGTATGAATTAATGTTCCAACAAATATATAGAAACAAATAACAGGTTTTTACATATTTTTGTCATATGGCCAGCCTATTTCAATACCTTACATAAAAAGCAAAATGCTTTGAAAATCTAATTACATCGTTTCTCAAAAAATTAGTTTTATGTCACTGTAAGGAGAAAAATAAGCTTGGTTGAAGTTTGATGGAAGTGTGGAGTTCTTGACGCATTTGACACACTAGCGGTTTTGGGTTTGAATCCCAGCATAGCCCTGTTTAATTGATCATAAAATGAAAAAAGTATCATTAGGCATAAAACACAGCAGACTAGTAAAAACAACCTGAGGCTGCTCCAGGCCATTTGAAGCAAACCAGGATGTCCTTTTTAGTGGTTCAAGTAGGGATAAACCACACCGACCAAGTCAAATGTTTTGTTTGCTTCAGTCTGCTCCAGTCACAATGGATCCACATGTTTCATGAGTACCGGTTTGCTTTAAACATAATTATAAAAGACAGCATGTACAACACATTTTCCAAGACCCTTACCCTTATCTTTTTCTACAGTTCAAAACTAAGCCAAAGGAGCCAGAAAACCTCACATTTGCATTTTTTAAAAGTTTAATTCCAGAGATAGATTAATTGTTACAGGTGACGAAACGAAAATTTAATCGGTTTGAATGATGTCTCTTTCAAATAGTTCAATATATAGCACCAGTTCATCAGAAGCCATACGACCAATTAGTAATGGAACCAGTACATCAAAATATTTTGGATAAACAAATGTATAATATTGATATATGTCACATAATCAGACAGTACACCAAAAAGAAGTATTCAATACCATGGTTTGTAAACGACATGTTTTGCATGGTTTGATGTTCCAGTCGTATTCAATTACAAACATTTTGTTTTGTTTTGCTTCGACCAAACCTGATGTGTTTTGGGACAACCCAGTGGGTGGGTTGTTTGTTAAGCCCTCCTGTATGATATTGATGTGATTGGGTCCGTGGTATTAAATTCTATTGAGATTCTCAGAAAATATTTTGTATTTTCAGGTGCAAAAATTAGGAAAAAATACTGTTTTACATTTCCCTTCTATTTTATAATATAATAATTCAATTTTAGAAAGTTACAATGGAGATAGCTGGAAATATTGGATACCTAGACGTTCACAGTCAGTGTTCTGTGAGATGATACAATGATTTTGGTTCAATGTCTGATAACACAGCTAATAAGAAGTTCTGAGGAGTGGTCCTAATAAGAAAAATAACATTGGATCACAGCTTTTACCTTACATATATTGAATCTGAGGGACAATCGAGAATTATGCCAATTTAGAAAAGTCATCAAGCTCTTTGGATTCAAATTAAAAATGATAAAGTTGCAAACTAAAAAAATGATGGAAGTAAAATGAGTTGGTGCGCTGTAATGTGAATTTCAACTGATACAAGAAGTTCACTGAACTTTGTTACTTCTCAAGGTGTTTCTGGTGATATTGGCCTGATCTCTTGATGCAACTTTCACGATTCCACTTTTGTTGACCAACTATGTGGTTTTGCCAAAGATGTCTTATTGTCTGGTAATTTAAGGCAAAAGGCAAATGTCTTAATTTTGAAGGAGTGAATCCACCAATTTCCATTTATTTGATAATACAACAAAATATACCTATAAATATACTATAAGTTCGAGTATTTTTGCACTATTACATTAAAAAAAAACCAAAAAAAAAACCCCCAATCAACTGAGATGTTCACATGTTTCAAATTATGCTTCAACTTGAAATGAGTGACAAATTCTAGTTGATCAACTAAAAAGTTGAACCATAAAACGTGCCTTCAGCAATCTGGAAGTAGGCAAGAATAATCCGTTGCGGTACAGGTAAGTTACAGTTTAGATAAGGGCTGAAAGATTCTGTAAATGTTAAAACTACAAAATGTACCATATCACCTTTTTTTAAACTCTTAAACTATACTTTTTTAGGGGCGTTGATGGCCGCAACGGTTTAGCTGTTGACATCACTGTAAAGTAAAGGTCCTGGGTTCGAATCCAGTGGCCCTGTATTCGAACCTGACATACAAATGGGCTTTTTTCAAAAACCGGCACCCTGAGGGTTCATATAACGTGTAAGTAAATATAATAGACATATATACTTTTGGTTTAATTATGTTACCATGGTCTCCTAAAAGAACGACGATTGTATTTTTTCTGACTAGACTTTTTAAAACTTCACCAATTAAATCGTCTATGTAAGTCACTGCTGCGTAGTAACTTTGAATTATTAATTTTGCCTCGTTGTCTGTAATGACAAATTTGATTACAATATGAAAGGGGATTAAATGAATTTGTCATAACCTGGGATTTTTTCAAAAGGGAACGACAAATTTAAAGATTTTATATCATCGCGTTCCCTCAAATCAGTCCACGGGTTCCAAGCTACATCTGGCAGACCTTTGGGCTTCCGTCGTACCTTTGGCAGAGCGACCTTTTTCAACGGGTGATATTCTGCATCAAGTAAAACATTTTAAGAGCAATTAATATTTTAAATGACTTAAAATTAAAAATTACTTTTGTAATGGTACGGGTATTTCAAAGGGATGTGCGGTTTATGGAACCCCACTGCTAAAAAAAAAGGTGCACTTTGGTTTTGAAATTGCTTTAGCGTTTTAATAGCTTCTTGAGCAATTTCAATATCTGGCAATGTCTTTCCCGGTTGAACCCTTGTTACAACAGGGCATACTATATTCCTGTGCAGTACAAATGGATTTTTCTTGCTGAAACAGACTTTAGCTTCTTTGAATTTTTCTGTCATCGGATGAAAAGGCGTTTCAGTCCAACTGTACAGTTCATCATCTGTGAAGTTGCTGCTTATACCTTTGATGATACATACATTTAGATGTTTTATTTGTAAATAATAAATATTAAAAATTGCCTTTACCAGGATGAAACACCTTTCCAATTGATTTAGTTTTATATCCGTTTTCCTTAAAATACTGCGGCAGTGTGGTGTAATTTCCAGAAAACTCTCTCCAATAGTTGTAGAAGTCGTAGAGTCGTGTTGTATCTGGACGTCGACTCGTGAGGAATGAATTTCTGCTCGGGGCACAAATTGATTGCTGCAAAGCACATTCACCGCTAAACTCGAATAAAACAATTGCATCCTTTGGAGAATGAAATACCTGTACAAATGCATTTTCAAATATGTAGCTGTTTTTCGCTAAATTGTCAATGTTTGGTGTGTAGGCTTTTTTGTCACCATAGCAGCCCAAGGCCGGTCGCAAGTCATCAGCAATAATCAGAAGTACATTCATTTTACAATAAATTTCAGCAGATTGAATCAAAATTAATAACAAAAGTTTGAAAAGCATTCTTGCTTTTAGCACTTTTTATCTGAAATAAAACAAGGCTAACAAATAAATTGATTTCTCAATGGAAAAATTAAATTTCTAAAAGAATGGTGCCTTACAGAGATAAATATAAAATTTTAGTGCATCACTGCATCATCTCCTGCTTCACTGATTGAAATCAAAACAATCAGAGCCTGTAGTAACATAATTGAATTGACATATCATTTAAAAATACTAAAACTTAAATTTATAAACTGATTAAAAACAAAAACAATTTTTTTATTTTATTTTACTGTTTTTCTACAATAGAGTTAGAATGCTACAAGCAACTTCATGAATTTTATATTATAAAATATAAAATATTAACAGTGGAGAAGATATCTATTAATTACACTCTAAATACCCCCACTTGAAATTGTAGGTATGTTAAGAGATTTGTCAGGAAGGATTTGTGATGAAAAGTGCTGGGCTATGGGGTTTGGAAGAGGGTCTAAGTTATACGGAAGCTGTTACAGAGATTTGCTGGTTTGTTTCAAGGAATTGGATTCGAAGTATGGAAGTAAGGTTAGGAAGTAGGAAATAAGTAGGCTACTTGGTCAATGGTTAGAAAGATTTTAGGCTGGAACAACTGAATTCTTTGAAGATTGGAACCCTTGGTTGATCTCCACAATTCAATTCCATATATCCCTTTTGGCTGTAGTAATTTTATGTCCAGTATTTTGAGTATTTATACTGTCTGCTTAGTACAACTCAAGTCCAAAATAACAGAAGAAATTAGTTGCAGGGAGAAGGACAGAGTTGTAAATTGGAGAAAATTTGATTTTGTCAGATCTGATCCTCCATTTCTTGGACCATTTTTCCAAATGGAGAGATGGTCCTGGAGGTTTCTGAAAGCCAATACTGGACCTGGGTTAACTGAAAAGTTAGCAGTATCATCTGCATATGTGAAGAGTACTGCATCAAGATTGATAGGAATATCTGGATGGTGAACTTAATAAAAAATGGGACCAAGAATCTGCCTTTTGAAACACTCACTTAGGCATATAGATTTGGGAAAAGGGTGTTCCAATTTATACTTGAAAGTATCCATTGGACAGATAGGAATTTAGATAAGTGAATGGAAAGAGGCTCTTGAGTTTCCTGGGCAACCCTCGGTGTTGCACTTGATCAAAGGCTTGTGTCAAATCTAGGAAAGCACATGAGAAGCATTCCTAATGCTCAAGGAAGATACAATGTTTGTCCACCACCCTGTGGTATTGATGGTAGAGTGATGTCACCGGGACCCAAATTGATGGGTTGGAATAACATTGGGGCTTTCAAGGATGGGATATAGGTGTTTCAGGAGGAGTTTTTAGATATTTTGCCAAGTAATGGCAGCCAGGGGGGCCGCGGTAGCCGAGTGGTTAAGACGTCAGACTCTCGGCTAGTAGATCCCGCGGTCGTTGCCTCTGGACTTTTTCTGACACCTAAGGGGACCGGTGGCCGCAATTGAAAGAAATTGACACGGCACTCATCAACGGAAGGAGAGGGATCGGATCTCAGCAACCCTGAATTTGTTTCCAACCCCCTTCAAAAATGAGTTTCTTTGATGGAAGAACACCGGTACACCGGGGACTCAAATTCACAATTGTGTTGCGAGCCCCCAAAAATATGGAGCCAGGGATAAAGTACAATAAGCTGTACAGCTGCAGTGCTCAGGAGGGAACTCCTCCAGTTCTTGGTATCCAATGTAAAAAAATAAATTAATTAATTAAAAAAAATAAATAAAAATAAAAAATGGCAGCCAACTAATAGAGTGATTGTAAATAATGCTGAGGTTTAATAATGGATATTATACTATATTAATAATTGATAATTTCCATAGGACTGGGAAGTTCATAGTTCTAAGAACTAGGTGGTAAATGATGGTTACAAAAATTAAAGCTTTTTTAAGGAAGACTTTGGATGTTTGTGGTGAAAAGGTCAAAACCAGGGGTAAATTTTATTAGAAGTACCTAATGAGAAATTTGACCTCATTAAGTGGTAAAGGGCAGTCTAGGTCCATTAGTGCAGTAAACATTTTTAGCATTAATGCCGGTACTTCACCTGAAGGGCACATGTCATGAAAAACCTGCCAATGCTGGCATTCAGTGAGAGGGATTAAGGGCAAGGAAGTCTTGAGGCCATCGTCGATTAAGGTGACATAGTGAATTTTTGTGATGGGAATGTATAGAGAGGATTTGAGAAGTAGGGTTAAGCTGTATCGAGAGCTTAGTGTGAATCTTGGAGTCGGGAACAAATCAATTCATTGACAAAAATTTTAGGCCATTGTTGGTAATGAGTTTAGTGTGCAGTAAGAAGCTTTGGCGACTTTTGAGTTTCAGTCAAAACTTCCAAGATTTTACATTGGAAGGATTGGATACGCTAGATGTTAGATGGCTTAGCAGAACCTCACAGTTCTACTCCATATGTCCAAAGCGGTCACAGTAAATTTGTATAAGATTAGTTTAGTGTTGACGATCAAAACAGATTTCGGATCAAGTTGTCCAAGTATTCTGTAAAGTTGTTATCTCTGAAGTATTGTGCGGGGATTCCACGTCTGTCTGCTGTCTAGGTATCGTCCTAACTATTTGACTTTAATGGAAGTCAGTATCTCTTTGATGCTGATGTACAGTGAAGGCAAGATTGTTATTTTCAAGTGAATGCACACTGAGTACATTTTTCTTCATTCAGTCTTGTTCTCCACTTTTTGCACTAATTTTCATTAAGCTCAAGGTGTTCTTGGATGTTGGAGGTAGCTTGAATAGAATTCAAGTTAGATGACAAAATTAAAGTAATATCTGTGTAGGGGTGATAAATGGTATTGGGATGTAGTTCAGCAATATATATGATATAAAGGATAGGACTCTCTTGTGAGACGCTGGCTTGTATCAATATTATTTCTGAGAACTCATTGTCATATCTAACACGAAACAACAGTTGATTAGGTAGGATTCAGGACAAGATAAGGAGTGGGAAGGAAGTGTTTAAGACCCTGTCAAAAGCTGCACTACATCTAGGAACACGCCCAAGCAATAATTTTCTTTGTTCTCGAGGTCAGATAAGCAAGTTGCAAATACAAAAAAAGGTAAAAATTGGATTTCCATACTTTTAATTTTTTTAATAATATTTACATTTTTTTATAATTATAATTAATTAAGGTTTGTAGTTGAGATAAAAAAAGTCAATGGCACGAGTGGGATTTGAACCCACGATCTTCGGCTTGATACGCCACTGCTCTTCCACTTGAGCTATCTGAGGTCACGATAGCTCAAGTGGTAGAGCAGCGGCGTATCAAGCCGAAAATCGTGGGTTCGAATCCCGCTCGTGCCATTGACTTTTTTATCTCAACTAAAAACCTTAATTAATTATAATATATTACTTGGTCAAGCGGACCACGAAATTAGGGAATTTTTTAATAATAATTTTTTCATGTTATTTTAACATTGATTTTGAAATTTTGTCTTTTACAAGATTGCTAAAAATAATTTTTTTATTAAAGAAATGTAAAGGCAATTTTTTAGAAAGATTTTTTGTCTTTTTAATAATTCTTGTAATAATGTTATCTTTTAACATGTATGTAAATATTATTATTATTTATTTTTTTTACAAGGGTTTGCAACAGCAGAGGTTATATCAACCCTCGGGTGTTGGCATTTTGAAAAACAAGTCCATTTGTAAGTATCTCGGATTCAAATGCAGAGCTGCTGGAATGCCTAAACTGTTGTGGCCACCGACGCCCCTTGTAAATATTATTGTTTATTTTATATTACAATAATTTAGGAAGAATTGTCATTTATTTTTTTAAGTACATTTTTCATTATAAAACATATCTGAAATCAGAAGACCTCTGACCAAAGAGTCAGATACAAAACACTTCCTCTAATTTCAACCCGCTGGGTTATCTCTTGGGTAATTGCAGATAATAATGTTTCATAAAATACAATTGCAGTCTTGTTATAAGCACATCATGCAATTTCAAATATACTAGGTTTTCATAAAAGTTAAAGTTTAATTAAAAATAAATGAATTTTTTTAAACTTAGGATTTAACAGTTTCTTTTATAATTTAGTTTAATTAATTATACTTTTAATCTAAGGTCTTGGTTGAGATGAAAAAGCAAGTGTCACAAGCGGGATTCAAACCTACAACATTCGGCTCAATACACCGATGCTCTAACCACTTGAGCTATCGTCACTTGGACCCTCTCCGACACCAACACCTCATCTCAACCCTCAACCTTTTGAATTTTCCCACTTTTTGCCACCTTTGATAAAAAGTATAATTAATTAAAATAATTAATGCAGTCAATTATGATTAGGAAATACATATATAAAATTAGAACGTTTATGTTTATGCACTTACTTGAACTTCAAGGAATGTGTTATGCCCGAGTTCTCAGTTCAAATCTTTTATCGATATTTCTACAGCACTTTTTCTCAGGTTTAGTGCAATTAGAAATTGAATCTTTCCACCATCATCCCCTATGCAGATTATATGCCATGAGGTATATATAATTTTCATTTCATCTAATGTAAAATGGGCCTGCTAGCTCGTTTGAGATGAGTTATCACTAAAAAATTATTATTTTTAATTAACTAGCTATATAATTCTGTTAATAAAGTAATGGTACAAGCAAATATTTTATATGAGACATTATTTGCAAGATATAATTTTTTTAACCGTCACAAGATGTTGCATAATCAACAGAAAATCAGTTAAAATAATAATATATTAGTGATGACGATGGTTTTTGTTAAAAATTTAATCGAGATTAGAATTTAGGGCCATGATAAATGCTTTCTTGACAAGGTTGGTGGTTTTTATTGATCACCCAGATGGGAACAATGTGACATACTCCATAAATCTGGGAAACATAACTTTGCGATAGTTAAGCAGTTGGCTGAAGGGTGTCACAGTACAGACGAAAGTGACGTTATGTCCCTCACGAACCAAGGAAACCTAACCCTGCAATAATTACACAGTTGGTCAAATAAATAAGAATGTTAAAGGGTTGTCGCAGACCCTGATGGGAGCTATGGATGCTCCCATGAACCTGGAAAACATCAAGTTGAAATAGTTAAACAAGTTATCAAATAAATAACCAACATAGAATTATTTAGTGCTGAAAGGTGGTCACCAGGCCAAAATATGTAGCGAACATCATAAACTGGGGTCGAGTCAACCAGGTGTGTGACACCCATCTCGCCAGTCCATGACAGCATAGGGACTCGCTGACTTTTGATTTTACTTTCCACTTCTACTCCGGTAGAGAAACTGGTGTAAAAAGAGATGAGTTGGAAATCAAAGACCAAAGACTCATCCCAGGCAGTGAACAGCCGATCCCAGAAGTCGATCTTGAACAAAAGCAGTCTGTGACTCAAAAAGATGACAGCCAGCAAGGACCGCCCATTTTGACACATCAGGTCAAGTCGATGGACTAAAACCAGGGAAAGACGCTGGGGATACTTGAACGCTAATCATGGTGAGCACTGTTTGGGGCAAGTACTTTTGTAAATAGACTCATCCAAGATTTAGAGTTGTGGCTGACTTTTTAGATTGATTAAGATTTTGTTTTTGTGTGTTAAAATAAATGTTGAAAAATTTACCCTCTGGTTTATTAAATTCTGGAACCCTACCGTCCCTACAAAAGAATAAGTAGTGAAGCGCTTACAACGATTACTGCCATATTGCTTAGAGAAAAGCAAGAAAATATAGAGAGATTATTTGGCTGTTGTATCATCGCCGCTTAAAGTACTATATGTCCTAATGTGAATTGTATGGAATAGGGATAAAAGAAGCCATAAGGCCTTCTGCACCTTGACCTGAGAAGATCTACTGTGCTTCAGGTCGTTAATCAACCTCCATAGCCTTGCCAGCGGCTCATTAGGATTTTGCATGTGGCTTTTCCTGTCCTATTTCAACTACTGCTTCCTGGCAATCTGCACAGTGTTTCTTCTGTCTGTACTCCTATCCGGTGTTATCTTAAGTTGCAGTGCCCTGTCAGGAGTCCAACCAGAATCTGATATGAATTGTAACAAAAAAAATTGAAAAACTTGTCGATAACATTTAAAGTCAAGAGCCATGAGACAGCTAAACCCTTAATAATAGTTATTATTTAGAGATCATGAGATGTGGTCTGGTGTGATGTAGGTTTAGAAAAACATTTTCTTTATCGTGCCAACGTTTCAAGCTTTATTGAGATCATCTTCAGGGACTGGGATTTATAAACATTGTTTAAATTATATAAATACCTATAAAATGTGAAAATGAACTTATACAATGATGTACACAATATAGAAATTTTAGGTTTATTCAAAAAGTGGGAACAAATACTTTGAATAAATTACAATTAATTAAGGTTTTTAGTTGAGATGAATAAACCTAAAATTTCTATATTGTGTACATCACTGTATAAATACATTTTCACATCTTACATGTATTTGTATAATATAAGCAATGTTTATAAATCCCAGGACCTGAAGATGATCTCAATAAAGATTGAAACGTTGGTACGATAAAGAAAATGCTTTTCTAAACCATCTCTAAATAATCGTTAATTAATGGTCACTAAACACCACACACCTTTATATTAGGCAAACATTACCTCCACATGTTATTGTCTGATATCACTGTATTATTTCTTTTATTACAATTTAAAAAAAATATATATAAATAAGTCAGCACGTAATTGGGCCTGCCTTGCTATAAAAGTTGACACATCCAATGAGATTTTTCTGAAATCGAATCTTGTCAAGCATTTTTTTTGCTGTAGAAAAATCTATTGCGAGGATGTTTTTTAAAAAGAATATAGTTTTTTCACTTTTACCCAATACAATCTGAATCCCTGACCTGTCTTATTCATTTTCATGGCTATTGTTGTTTACTTCTATCAGCTGACCTGCTCAAAACAGTCCACCATTTTTAATGAGTGGATTTAGTCAGTTTCGTTTCACTAGATTTTAAAGCCAAGCGTTTAAAATATATTCTTGCCTTTTCTGATTAAATTTTGTGTTAGATTTAGTTTCTAATTGGTTTAAATTTGTGTATTTGTGGTTGTTTAATTTTTGTGTTGGTTGGTTGTTTAAATCGGGTTTGTTTGGGAAAGCTAGAAGGGAGTGTATTTGACGTCAGCTGGTCCTGTGATGTAATAAACGAAACAGCTGTGCTGTCAAGTAAAATGTTGCAATGACAGTTTATTTGCGTCTTAGTGATGTCTGTTCGAATGTTTGAGATCGGGTCGAGTTATCGTTAATCCGGGGGAAAGGAAACCGAGCGGGGAACTTAGAAGGCGAAGGTGAGCGAGAGAGAAATAGAAAAAAAAATCTCATCCGCCTTCGAAGAGCGATCGGAAAAATAGCGATGGCTTTTCTCCGCTTTGTTTACTCGGGGCGATTCGCCTGACACGGCTCTCGTTTGTTCGTCCCCGATCGACCAAGGTCGTCCCGTTTCTCTTTCGCCCTTTCAAAAGGGATCGGGACGTTTTCCAGGTGTTCGCCGATCGAAATCCCTAGTTCCGAGTCTCAGACGGGACTTTTTCGGTTTCCGCATCGGAGAAAATGTCCGCCGATTCGACGAGGAAGCAGGCGTTCAACGGGCAGACCGTCCTCCCGCAGCCCGTCAGCGATCCTTCCATCATCGAGAGCGTCGCAGGTTTCATCCAGGAAGTCGTGCCCCAGGTAAAACTGAATTTGACGCATTTTGAAATTCGCAGTGGCCAATTTGACGAAAGACCCCGCACGTCAAGGTCTCAACTTTCGAAAAGTCGCACAAAAGAATTTTACTCAAGGTTTTTGAAAACAAGAAAAATCGAGTCTTTTTTTTGTTTCCTGTTTTGAGATGAACTACCCACCTTGCCGCCCCCCGCCGAGGTCATCGTCAAATTGCTCCGCACTCCCTTTAAAATTTGACCAGAGCTGATGAAAGAAATTCTAAATTTTCATTGTCATAAGACATCTTGAAAATGAACTAACAGACACAAAAAATCAAATTTATTTCAAACGTGATAATTTTAAAAATGACGTTTAAACAAGTTTTAAATTTTATGTATAAATTTTGTATAATGATTTTAGTGAGAATATAGGTCGAAAATTCAATTGTTCTATCATGCGTTCTTCACTCATTAACTAACTAAACATGTATCTGTTTTCATGTAGGTCGTAATATTTCATAAGGCCTGATTTGAATACTTATTTACTCAAATATCTTTATTCAGCTATTGACAATTTAAGGGTACTATATCAAATAAATTTCACTTGAACGTTTCTTTTTAACATTACTTTTACAGCTCTATTTCTTTTTTTGTAGTTTTTTGTTCTATGTGTTGACTCTTGTTGTTATTTGTTTGTATCTCTTTTCATGTAGACAGTACACACTCAGTTATCAGCAAATTTAGTAGCCATGTAATATGTTGTTATCGACAAATTAAGGATATTATATCAAATAAATTTAACTTGAAATTTTGCTGTTACTATAAATACTTTTACAAATTCATTGATTAGATTTATTTTGTTGTAAATTGTTAGCATACTCTTAATTAAGTTGTATCTTAGAAGGCAGCATAGTGATACATTGAAAAATCAATTGTTCTGTCATCTGTTCTTCACTCGTTAAATGACTGATCTGCTGGTATCTCTTTTCATGTAGGCAGTAGTATTTTATAAGCCTTGATGTGTAATACTTAAACATTTTCACTTAGTTATCAATAAATTAAGGTATAAATTTAATTTAAAATTGTACTGTTATTTTGAAGTGTTTTGATTTACTGTTTTTTTTCTTCATCTAATTTGGTGCCAACTATTGTTGTTATTGGTTTGTATCTCTTTTCATGTAGGCAGGAATATTTCATAAGCTTTGATTTGAATACTTATTAACTCAAGTATTTTTATTCAGTTATTGACAAATTGAGGATATTACATCAAATAAATTTAACTTGAAATTTTCCAGTTAACGTACTTTCACAACTTTATTTCTATTTTTGAAGCGTTTCAATTTGCTGTTATTTTTCTTCCAATTTGGTGTTGATTCTTGTTATCATTGGTTATTATCTCTTTTCCTGTGGGCAGTAATATAAGCATTGATTTAAAATATTTTTTTTATTCTATTTATTTTCAAAAGGCATGCGACAGCTTGGTCATTTGAGCTTTGAGCGCATGCGAAATATTACAACACACATTCAATACACATTCACAGAAATAAATACATTCACACGTATACATTGCATTCATTCTATTTGGTAGAAGGAATAGTCAATATTCTTCAATCGACCTGCATACAATAAAAAACTAATCTAATTGTGGGTCGATGATGTACTTATCTACCGTCGACCCAAGTCACATACACAGCTCGAGGTGTGATGGGGATGCTATTCCACCATCAGCCCCTCCCCATTCACTGTAATAAATACACTCACTCATACAAAACATATTTTAACGGCTACTTATTTATTTCATCCAGTTATTAATAACAAATTAAGGTACAAATTTAATTAAAAATTTCATGATAATATATGTGTTTGTAAAACTATTTCTTTTGAATCCATTATATTTAGTGGTCTATTGAACAAATTACTTCTTTCAATTACTTAATCTTTTGATGTAAGGCTTTGGTCGAAATGAATACGCTAGTGCCATGAGAAAAATCACAGCATATTTCTTTTGATTTTTTTTTTAATTAGAAAAAATAATGTTAATTAAGTTGTAAATGTATCTTCTTCCACCATGTAATACGTAGTTATTGACAAATTAAGTATATTATATGAAATAAATTTAACTTAAAATTTTGCTGTTGATAAAAGATACTTTTATAATTTCATTTATTTTTTGAAGTGTTGATTGTCTTTTTTAAATTTTTTTTTCTAATTTGATTTTGGCTTTTGTTGTTAATAGTTCGTATCTCTTTTCATATGTTTCATTTGTTTCGTCTCATTTTTCAAAAGCCTAAATTTGAAATAGTTATTTGAACAAGCATTTTCATCCAGTTATCAATAAATTAATGTATAAACTTCATTGAAAATTTTGCCGATAATATACATGCTTGTGAAACTATTTATTTTGAATTTTTCAAAATAAAAAATAATATCTTTAAGTGAGATATTGATAAGTCAGTTGTTCTGTCTTCTGTCCTTCTCTAATTAAATGACTAATCAACTGGTATCTCTTTATGAAAAGGTCGAAACAATTGTCATGAGGTCAAAAACATTCCGTTAATAAATAAAATTCCATGCTGCACCATATTTCAACAATCTACAATACAAATAATAAAATTATAAAATAAACAGCAAAAACATTTAATTATTGTTATAAAAAAACTTATTTAAACAAGCATGTTCATTCAGTTATCATAAAATTAAGGTATGCATTTAATTTAAAAATTTGCTGATAATATCCATGCTTGTAGAACTATTTCGTGTCATCTTCAAGGCATAAAATGTCTTGTTATTCAAGTAGTGACAGTGTTGAGTGTTGTGAACAATTTTATTTTACAATTATAATTTGCGAACACAACAATTTAACCATTTTTATTTTTATTTTGGCTGTGACACCCACTGGTAGTTGGGCATGAAGCCTTCCTGTATCAGAGGAATTGCTTTTTAAAAAAAATCGATTAATTTTCTATTTATTTAAAAAATCTTATGGTTGCAGGCCTACTCCAGTGTGCTCCCAGGAGAATCGCGTGAGGCAATATCGTGGGCCAGATTTGAATCATGCGACTTCAACGATCCAGAAAACTACCCACAGGTGACTGAATGTGAGAGCGAGAGTGTCCCACCACTTCTTTTAGTCCTTGGCTATGGGACTGGAGTGCAGGTATTAAATCTCTTGAAATAACAGTATAATTAGTTAGGAAAAGTGGCAATATCGTTAAACAATCAAGGCATAGTTGAACAAATAAATTATTTAAACACATAACAGGAGGCGAATATATTCACCTTTCTGCTGATATTCTCAATGAGTCATGAATTAATGATTGTATTCGTGACTGTGTGGAATATTTGTTTGTTTTTGTTTTCTTTTTCACTTGCATTTATCTTCTTAAGTGATAATACATCCATATTAGTTTTTTTATTTGTTGTCTTATCATGGATTGTTTTAAAATGTGTCACATTTCCTTAGCTCCCTTGAGATATTGCTGTGAAATGATAAAAGTTGGTTCAAAAATGTATAGGGGGACAGTTTATCTTAAATGTATTATTTTAAATAAATACAAAATATTGTTTTCATGTTTTTAATTACTTAACAGGAAGATGGGTTGGAAATGAATAGTCTTTTACACAATAAGTATTTATTTTGTCAGGCGCATTTCTGTCTAATTTAATGAATTTTTCATTTTTTACAAATACTTATATAGAATAAGTAGCCTCTTCCCACTTTCATTTTTCTACTCTCCCTTCCACACTTAATTTCCGTATTGGTGTTTGTTAAAAATGAAAAATACCAATCCGAATAACCCGTTCTTGAAGACTACTCACCAAGTCCATAGTCTCCAGACATCCACTTTTAAGTTTATTACAATGTAGAAAAACCATCAAACCATATTAAAAAAAAGGTATACAACTTTAAAGCCGTCGTAATTATTACTATTTCATTTTGGTATATTCTTTATTATTAGCTTAAATAAAATCTAATAATGTAATTACCGTGTTTCTATATAATTTGTACCACTTTTGTTATTTAGTCACTGAAGATGGTCTATATTAGACCGAAACTAGTCTTTACAAAATAAATTGTGGAAAGGAATATTTATTGTGGAATTCCACAAAATCAGGATGGATACCATCAAAAAATAACAGTATAAAATCTTAGTTTGCAAATCAAGATTGTAAATTTTTATTGTGTAGTCTAGCTCAAATCAATTAACAATTAAAACAAAAATCAAGTAACAATTAATTTTTTAATTATTATTTTTATATTTTTATTAATTGATAATTAATAAACTAATGAGCGCAAAGGCAGGATTTATAGATTGTTTTCGATAATATATTTTACTATAAGCTTTTAACCTAAACTCTTTTAAAGAGGGAAAGGTAGGATTGGGATGAATTGAAGATTGATGGGATTTTTACTGTAACGAGCGTTGACCTTGTCTATATTATTTGAAGATCGTGAAATGCAGTCTGGTGTTTGTTTTCTGTGTAGATGTGTCATTATTGTGTGTCATGTTGAGAGTCTCTCACACGGAAAACAAAACTTTGAGCCCTGAAGATGATCTCAATAAAGATTGAAACATTGCCACGATAAAGAAAATGTTTTTCTAAAACCTACGTCACACCAACCGCATCTCACGATCTCCAAATAATCATTATCTAACGGTCACTAAACACCACACACTTATCTATTATTGTACTTTGCAGCAAAGTTCATAGTATTGTGTCTTAATTAATATTAAATTAAATTTGCATGATAAAGTTTGAATTGCCCTTGACTTTGAGTTCAGTAATTTATCATTTTGAAGATGAGGTATTATTTTGAACTGAATGTGACTGTGCTTTGGAAATTCTCTTTGTGGCTATTAGAATTTAAAGTTAGTTTTTTCAGAGAATTATTATTTTTTTTTTTTAACGATACTCCATCTTGGCTGATCCATAATATTCTGCTGCATATCTAATTAGAAATTAAAACAAAACTTTGTATGCGATTATGAGGTGTTTTCAAAGAAGTATTGTCTCAACAGGCAGAACAGTTTCTATTTTGATCAAGATATTCTGTGTGGTGTGGTTCCCGTTACATATTTGAGTCTAAAGTTCCCAAATAAGTTCGTTTACCATGTTCAGGGAAGGGCAGTCATATGTCAAGGCCTGAGTTTATTGTCACAAAGCAATCACGGGATGGACAAGATGTGTCTGCACATGCTTGTAAAATAATGATAACTGTTTTATCAGGATTAATTGTTAACTTTTGATCATGAGACTAGTAAACTAGCAGTAAACTATTCAAGAATGATTGAGCTTATGAGAAGCAGACATCTGATTTTGTACTGACAAAATTACTGCATCATCTGCATAAAAAAACTTCTTTTTTTTTTAAATTGATTCCAAAATATTTATACAGACATCATATTTTACATTATTATTATTTACTATTATTAATACGTACAATTATACAACATTATTTACAGTCTTACATTCATATTCCTAATGAATTCGTACAATTTGCAGTACACACCTAATTTGATGATATTAGATCTCATAGTTTTCTTTTGCATTTGAGAGTTTGTCGAACATATCTGTGCATTCTTTTGTTTGCTTCTTGCAGTGTATATGATGTGTTCAAGATCGTCATATGTTACGCAGACCTCACAGTTTGGCAACGGGATTATATTCATATATTAAGATATCCCTTGCACAGGCCATGATTTGATCTTAGTATTATTATTGTTTTTGTAAAATTCCTTCAATTAATACAAATCAATTGCTTTGGCGAACCAAGGTTGCCTGTTACCAATGGAAAAATATTTTTAAATCCCACACTTTTAATATTGCATCGCAATCTTTTCTGGGTGCAGATGTCTTCAGGGAATTGCCTGTTGTGGTGGCATCTTTGGAAAACTGATCTACTGCATCATTGTGTTTGAACTCAGTATGGCCTTTGATCCAGGTGATTACTGTTTTGTGTTCTTTAGGCAGCTAGTTTGAAGATGTCTGTAATGATGTAGTCCACGATGTACATTGCGAAGTGTGACACTCTGGACCGATATGTCCAGAAAGGGACTGTTTACATGGATTGACTTGTTCCCAAATTTAAATAAAACCCCAAAAATATCCTAGGGAAATTAAAGTGAAATAAAAAGAGAGATAATTCAATCTCAAAAAATTTGTTTAAAATAATATATATTTTTCAGAAAAACATTTTCTTTATCGTGCCAACGTTTTGATCTTTATTGAGATCATCTTCCGGACTCAAAGTGTTCATATTCTGTGTAATTGTGCCATTCTTGCGTGTCGTGTCGAGAGTGCCCTCGTTTTTCTGAAACCTACATCACACCAGACCGCATCTCACGATTTCTAAATAAATATCGATTAATGATCACAATACAATAGAACACAAACACAGATCTCTTCGTCAAATGCAAAGAACTTGTTTGGAATGGGACAGCAACACAGTAGGCCGGATGCGCACAATGGACCGACACCTGCAAAATATTCTCGGCAGCTGATTTTTGACTGAATGTGCAGGCACGGTACGGTGTTGGCCGGTGACAGAACGGTGTAGTGGGCATTTTCTAATACTAACTGATGTAAAGAATATTTATTTGCATGTGTCGGTACGGTTACGGTCCTAGTATGATACGTTCTAGTGAGTAAAGACCTTAAGAGTATGTTTAGGAGCCCATCACTGTTAGCCAATATCTTGGGAAGACCTCCAATGCTCCCGCCGGAGTCTGTCCTGGAGGGTTACTCCTGCCCCCAGCTAAAGCATCAATCCTGGGGGGTTGACAGTACATACGAACTTTGGGGAAATGGTTGCTGATTGCATACTATATAGGTTCTGTGGGAGTGAAAACGTTACAGGACCTTAAATACACACCCTATAAGTCCATTTAGGAATGATCCATCAGTGTTAATAAAATGCCCATCTGAAAATTTGCCTAAAGATAAGTTAGTATTTTTGGGTGTCTTGGGTTTTACTCAGATTAGTGTATGTTTTGGAGATGTATGTAGATATTGTTGAAACTTTCAAAGTTTGAAGAAAAATAAGTTGATGCTCAAAACGATTCAACTGATGGTTCATATTTGGCTAGGTTGGTGAAAACAAATGTTAAAGGTGTTCTTTCTTTTTAATCCAGTATTTATATGTGAGTATCTTAAAAGATAAGAGAACAATGCTTTGGTATTGTGACTTTCTGGCCCTAAGTGACAGTATAAAATGACCTGTTAGCATTTTTCGCCTATGGTCAAGCAAAATGCATCAAAAAAACATCTTGTCTGCACCAATTGTTTTATTCATTTTGTTCACTTAAATATTGTAAAGAGAGACCCTAAGGAAATCCACTATTACGTTCTGGCACTATTAACACACATTACCAATATTAAATCACAAGAAGTGAAAGAAGTTATTTAGGCAATCTCAATTACATTATTTAAATAACAAAGAAACAATTTGGAGATTTACTCTTGTGAATCTGCTATGTGGTAGTTTGGACATTTTCGATCATTTTGGCCTACCTAGGCAGATCAGAATGATATTTTGTTTAAACAAGTAATAAATGTTACATTTATCACAAGTTTGATTTTAAATTAGATATGGAGCATAACTGGCAGTGGAGACGCATCTGAAGTCCTTTCCTGGTCTCAAGGCAGCGTGAGGACATTACGACTTCTTAACAAGCCTAGAGATGATCAAGACCCATTTGCGAGCAAGAGGCCCCTAGTTGCGATCGTTGACAGCTCTGGTCCAGGACCACAGTTTTGCACAGTCAATTTTGTTTCATTGAAAACAGCAGAAATAGTAAGTTTGGATATTTCGGTCTTCAATATATTAAATTAAACATGTACTATTTTTTCAGATCAAAAGTATTAAGTTCAAAACACCCATTTGTGACATTTTCTGCAATAAAAAAAGCATAGTTATTACGTTTGTGGAGAAGATTGCCATATTTGATGTCGGGACATTTGAGGATCGTATGACAATAACGACATGTTACCCAAGCCCTGGCATCCATTCCAACCCTGTCGCTCTTGGCCATAGATGGCTGGCATATGCTGAAAAACGTTTGACCACTTGGCAAAGGAGTTCCGGGGGCAGCGAAGGAGATGGAGCACAGTCGTACACAGCCACTGCCATACATGCAGTCAAGTATGCTCGCATTCACTTTTTTCATAATTTGAAATTAACATATTTTTCACCTGCGCATGTTTTGTTTTAAAGGACCTTAGGTAAAGGTTTAAGGGATCTCAGTGGTAGTCTGAGTGGTAATGTTCCTCCGCCAGTTAACAATAATACCGCCCAGCCTGGAGTTGTCACTATTGTCGACATCGAGGTAAATGTCGATGATTTTCTAGATTGCATTTGAAAACAAAATTTCATCACAAAACCATAACGTTGTAGACAAAACCGACAAAAGAGGACGATGTTGACAACATAATTGCACATTTTGTCGCACATGTTGGCCCGATTGTGGCAATGAAATTCGATTCTTCTGGCCTCCTCTTAATCACAGCAGACAAACATGGCCATAGATTTCATGTTTTCAGGATACACCCTCATCCCGTCTCGTCCCAGCTAGCTGCTGTTCATCATCTTTACATCCTACACAGGTTTATTACTTAATAGTTTTCTTTCAATATTTTGTGACTTATTTTTAATTGTTTTAAACTAGGGGTGATACAACTGCAAAAGTACAAGATATAACTGTTTCTTGGGATTCAAGATGGGTAGCAGTAAGTTCTATTAGAGGAACAACGCACGTCTTCCCAATAACACCATATGGTGGCCCAGTCACTGTTAGAACACACACAACTCCAAATGTAGTTAATAGGTTGTCAAGGTAAAATCGTAATCATTAATTTTGTTTAAATGATCTGTAATGTATTTTTGTTTTTAAAGGTTTGAGCGAAGTGCTGGATTGAGCGATGGCCGGGGAAGCCCGTTACCTGAAGTGCCGAGTCAACCGTTAAATCCTCGCCTTCCACCATACCCACACCCAACAGTGCTCTCAGCACTTGCACAACTTAGAAGGACGCCTGCTGGTGAAGAGTCTCCCCTAGCGGCAACTTTTGGAGCTGCCCGAGCCTGGATACCTGGCCGGCCAAAAGGGAAAAAACCTGTTGCAGAATCTCTCTTTGTCATTTCTTCCGGTGGTACTTTAATACAGTACAATTTAGATCCAAAATGCATACCAGGTAAAGTAATACATTTTCAAATAAAACTATAAAATTATAAAATGAGTTTTAATTTCTAGGCGTGCCCAAAGATAAAATCAGTTATGATACAAGTATAGAATTAGAAGTTGAAGCAAATGCAGAGTGGGCCTTACTTAAACCCCCTTATAGCAGCAACGTTCAGCCTCCTCTCATGCCAAATAACCCACTTTTGGTTAATAAGTTACCACCCAAAATTGAAAATATGTCTTCAAATGATGATCGTTGGCTGTCTCAGGTATGCTGCGATTACCATAATCCTTTTTTTTTCTTTTATTTTTTTATTGCTGGCTCCTCGTGTATTTTCAACCTTGCATTTTATCAGGGCTTTGTGATCTTTTATTTCCCAAATTTTTTTATATTTAAATGAAGATTTGCAACAGTAGAAGTAATATTAACCCCCGGGGGGTGCTGGTGTTTTTGAAAAAAGCATATGGTTGATTGGATTTGAACCGTTTACAGTAATGAGTCACTTTGTTAACACTTAACCACTGTGGCCATTAACACACCTTCAGATGTTGTTGGCACTGATAAAATTAGGCTTAAATTATATGTCTAAAACATCTAAGTTAGGTATTCAGGGTACTCACTATTCCACTGAAATCTCACCATCGTTCATGCTAATGAATATATTCATACAAAACGCAATCTTTCACAAAATGTGCAGTTAAACAAAAAATGCTTTCACCGGGTACTTGATATGATGCTGTTGTCTTACCCCTTTAACTTTTACTATGGTAGGTCTCTAGGGTAGTCAACACTACTTTTAACCCTTTGGCAGGCGCATCATAACTCATGTGACGCCCGTGGCACCAGCACAATTTACTTCAATTTAATAAATTATGTGTGGCGATTAGTGACCATTAGTCGATGATTATTCAGAATTGCCCAACAAAGAGTGGGCACTCTCAACACGACACGCAAGAATGGCACAATTACACAGAAAACAAACACTTTGAGCCCTGAAGATGATCTCAATAAAGATCAAAACATTGGCACGATAAAGAAAATGTTTTTCTGAAACCTACATCACACCAGACCGCATCTCACGATTTAATTGTTTTTGTATTAATTTTATAATTTTTTACGATAATATAGAACAAAATTACAATACCACAAATGTATTATTTCTTATATATTTTTTTAAAAATATGTATACAAAATAAAATAATCTTTTTACTTAGTGATTAAAAAGTCGCTTAAAAAAGATAAGATAAAAAGACTGAAAGATATAATGGAAAATAAATATGGCTTCTAATAAGGAAGGCTTTGATTTCTATGCCATCGGTTTATTTGATATCTCTTTCAAGTATACATTTCTCTGTGACTAGACTAATTTGGTAATTAGTACATTGCACTATGTTTTCAATCCTATTGGGAGTAAATAGAAGTTCCAAACACTGTACATTTGTTTTGGCTTTCTTTTCCTTCGGCTTTCATTCCTGTTTTTGTTGACCAAATGTCGATTCAATTTTCGTCGATTTTGAGGAGGAATTTTCTTGTTCCATTTAGTACAACTATCTTTTCCAAAAACTACATCGTTTTCATTTTCATCATTATCAGAATCATCACTGTCGATGTCAACCTGTTGTTCTGTGTCGATCGACTCTTGTTACTTGCACTTCATTATCAAAAGTGACATCGGATTCGGAGACATCGATACTGGAATTGAAATGTTGTTTGGATCGGCTGGGGAAATGGGAATTTCGAACATTTCCTTTAAGGCTTGGACACTTCTTTCATCAGGGACAAATGTAAACCAACGTTCACACATGTCTGAAAAATGATTTATCAATTTACATTTATTTAGTTGAAAAAATTATTTCATAATTAATAAAGTAAAACAAAATGTAAAAAGTGAGGAAAAAGGACAAGAGAAATTAAAAAAGGCATTAACATTAATTACACATTAAATTAACATTAAACAAAAGTCCATTGTATTTAGAGATCTGATGGACCAAATTACTTCTTTCAATTGATTAACCTTTTTACGTAAAGTTTTGGTTGCAATGAAAAAAATTAGTGTCACAATTGGCTAAGGCTAGCTGAAGGTTGTGGATTTGAATCCCGCTCGTGAAACTAACTTTTTCATTTCAACCAAGACCTTACATAAAAAGATTAAATAATTGAAAAAAGTTATTTGGTCAATCAAACCTCTAAATATAATGGATTAAATAAAAATGTACTTACTGTGACAAGTTCGTTCACGTGGCGCTTCAGAGATACCATTGAAGACCGATCTAAAGGGGTTGATCAGTGGAAAAATATTGAAAAATAGCAAATAGTAAAAAGAGGATGGTAGGGAGAGCCCCAGTCCCCTCCCCCAAACAGATTTCAGGTAGTAACAAAAAGAAAATTAGGTAGAGCCTCGTTGTGATAGCCAGAGGGTTAAACATTCACACTAATAAATACATTCAAACAAAAAGAAAACTTTTCAAATTCCATTCTTTCAAGTTATGTGTTACATGTGTTATATTGTATTAAACTAATTACAGATTTATGTGGTCATTTATATGGTGGTCCAGCAAAAACAAAAAACAAAAAAAAATTGGATTATAGTACATTCTAAATATAATAAAATGCAACCAACCGAACTATCCTATCTCAATCCAGTCGGAAGTTACGAATTTTTACATGTTTTTTCCGAAAAATCCTGACCTTAAGCCATAAATTGGCATTTTTCCAAGATCTAGAGCATCCGTTCAAATTTTTAACCACATTTTTGTATTCTGCATTAAATTTCCTATAAGAAGAAGCTATAAGCTTAATCTCATCAGATGCTGATGTATGTTTATTAGGTCAACCCAAAATGAAGAATTTTAAAAAAGGAGAATCTTGATAAATTTTCAAAAAATTACTGTTTAAAAAAACATATTTTAAACAATACCAAACATCAAATAATAAACTTTCTTCCAAAGTTCCAAAAACATCAACCCTTCAATGGTAAAATCAACCTGGAATGTTAAAAAACCTGGTTCTGTTAATTTTTAGTGAATTTTTAAGTTGGTAAGTTTGTGTTATTGAGATAATAATCTGTTATTAAATTTTTAGGTTGAGATTGTTACCCATACCGGTCCGCATCGTAGGCTCTGGATGGGTCCTCAGTTTTCATTCAAATCAATAGACCCTCTTCAAAGGTAATTAATAAATTAAAATCACATTGCTTATACATTCGCTATAAAATTAATTGGTATTTCAGTGATGGAGACGTGTACAGCGAAAACCTCAATCCCGTTAGGTCAACGCCTGTCAACATGCCGTTAAGACCGTATCTTCTAATAGAAGGTGGCTCAGGTGGTTACTTGAATCCATATCTTAAGGTTTATTGAAAAGCATTAAACCATATTTTTTTTTTTTCTTCTGGTAGGAGGAAGTATCGACTCGCCTCATTTAACAGGGTACGGAAGTGGAAGCGAAGAATTGGGACACGGTGAGTCCAGGCTTCGGGAAGATCTAGCTGATGCAATGATGGAACCGACAACCCATAATACAGGTCAGTTACAAATTTAATTTAAACAACAATTCGTTTTGTGTCCGTGTAAATGTTATTTTTGTAATTTTGTTAAAGTGTAAAAATATAATGGGTGACCAATGAAGATGTTCACCCATGTAATTTCACAATGCCCATGCAATGCTTTTTTAACCTTTTTTTTTCTTTTTTTTTAAATGACATTCTGACATAATTAAATTTTATATCATACAGTAGAAATCTCCTTTGGCTCATCATTAGTTAGAAAGGTTTAATGCAATAAACAACTGAGGGATTGTGAGAGGAAAAACTTAGGACACCAACAATTATATCTATGACAAAACCCTTTCAACTAAGACAATTGGAAATGACCAAACTACTAGTTAGAAATTCACTTTAGCCTTCTGGTCATGAAATTTACATTTGTTGTTGTTAAAGAATTGTTTTGTCTACTTCATCTTTGAAATTCAGCTCCATGATTCATCTCATATTTGATAATTTTAGTTCTATCAATCGCTTCAGTTTGAGATTTTCAAGTCCATTGAGTTGTCTATGAGTATGATTCGATTTCATTAACATTATCTACTTCATAAATTCAAGCACCTACAGTACATTGAGCACAAACTTATAAACATTAGACGCTTTACTTCAACCTTGTCTCAAACAATTAATCAAAATTGCATACATTGGTAATCTCAAACACTCTGGATCGAGGTATGGTCAAAAACGTTGAGTACACGTAAACGTATGTACATATTTAAGATTGTTTTGGCCTGATGATGACCTCAAAATAAGTCAAAAGCTTGGATGTAACAACTGAATTTGCTTTTTTCTTCAAGACCATACATTCAACCAGAGTGTACGGGAGTGAAAAAGGGTTTGTGCATCTAACATTGAATACATTGGTAATAATACTTACAAAAATTAACATAGCCTTTTGTTGAAGTTGTGAGGAGTGGTCAAGAATGGAGTATTTTAGAAAAACACCTCTTCATATTTTTGCCGATGGTTTCACCTTTATTCTGATCATCTTCAGGGCATAAGTGTGGTGCTGTTCGTGTGTTGTCATATTAAAAAAAATGCACACTTTATGCCCCAAAGAAGGCCAGAATAAAAGTCGAACCGTTGACAAAAAAAAATTTATAAACTGCTTCATTCTTGACCGCTCCTCACAACTTCAACAAATTATTGAACAACCGGTCACTAAAAAACAAACATTAGTTGTTGGAAAATGAACATAAGTTGTTTGGACGTCTTCATTGTGACACCCTTTATATTGATTCCAAATATAGTTGTAAATATAAAATACTTGTGGTAAATTAACAAGTGAAAAAAAGGATATTAAAATGTAGGCAAAAAGAAATATTGATTATAACAATTTTTTAAATTATAAATTTGTTACATAAGTATCACAAGAATCTCAAAAGCTAGGATTGCACTAACATAAATTTCACTGGCCATGCCCGAAAACAGCAATTTAATAAATATCAAATATTTGATAATAATTGCAAATATATTTTTAAAATTATTGAAAAATGTTACAAATTGGTTCATGATTTGCTATATTTTTTAAGAAGAGAGTTGATCGATAATTTTCTATGTATGTATTTCCTTTTTTATGTGACATGTGATAAAAATGTATGTAATTTAAATATCGAAAATAACTCGAGGTTTGGTTCTACTGCAAGTCGGTAGGTTTCTTCTTGAGGTCTACAGTTGGGGGGGGGGGTGTTTTATAGAGAAGAGTAAGAGGTTAAAAGTATAGGAACCGGCCTCTTTATGACCTAAACCATGACCTGTATTAGTCTATTGTGAATCTGCTTTGTGGTCTAGAGCTCCTCATTAAGCTTAAGGCTTTTTACCAGATGCCAAAGCTTTTTCAAGGGTTCGTGTGTATCCCTCAAGGTCGGACTACTACAAACGTCTTTGCATCAACAGAGGTCTGGCATCTCCTGGCAATATCTGCAAAGACTTGTTTCTACCACAATCCTACTCTTATTCAAGTGCTAACTCGTTCTAGATTTAGTAGTTCTTTTAGTTTCTATAATGGTCCTTGATGAACTTTTTCCCATGCCTTCTGGGCTATTTTACCATTGAACAGAGTAATACTTACCTTTAATCCATTGTCTGTTAGATCCACATTTTTATGGAATTTTAATTTTTCAACTGTTACCTATCTAGGTAAACACAATCACTCAAATAAAAGCTTTGTTCTAATTATACCAAAACTTGAGAACATAAAATGATTATTATAGATCACAAACAATACCAAAAAAGGTAATTTGGATTTAGATGTATATAAACTCAAGACTTGTGTACATACATACAAACTTGTGCAGAGCCTACTGCTTCTTGCAGTCCACTGGCCATCTCAGCTTTGGCAACAGGCCTCAAGAATCACCGACCCCGGGTGTTAGCAGTCCGGGGGCAGACCTTGGTCTTATCCATCCAGCCACCAGGGTTGAGCTTGAGGAGGATGCTGTCAACAGCTAGGTCAATTCAGCATCCAATCCATGCAGTACCAAACCCATTCATAGTCACGTTAATTATTAAATACATTCTCTCTAGACCATTCATTCAATTAGGGTGGTGGAGTACTTGATATTCCTCCATCACACTTTACCCATATACTAACCTGGATACTCTGCCATCGACCCTCTCACACCACACATTTATGCTAATAAATGCATCCACTATGTACACACTCTAGGTACACAAAACACTATCATTATTATATAAAATAAAACAACCCTGTTTACTCCAAAATACGGAACAGAGACCCAGATACTCACTGCCATGCTCAAGCATGATTTTCATATCGGGTGGCATTCCTACATGCTCCCTAAATGGAGCCAAGGAATTGCACCCCTCAACTAGATGGGTCACATCGAGCAACCTTTCTCTGTTGTAGACAGAAAAAGGTGAGCAACTTGTTTTATGATTAAAAGTTTAAAAATAAACACTAATTCTCTTCACTACATAGTACATAAGTAAAATAAATACATAAATGAGTCCATTTTTATTTTTGTTTGCTTTTACATGATTTGTTTGTAAACAAATCAAGGAAAGACAAAAAAAAAGGCTAATTCCACATCACCAAATACTTCAAAGATACTTAATGATTTCTTGAAACTTGTTCAAATTTTATAATTGTCTTCATCGCCAATAATTAAGTAAGCTTTGTTGTTTTCGAATTTTCGCAAATTTGATATCCATATATATGTTTTAGTTGGTCTTCTATTTTGAAATGTATTATTTTTATGAAAAGTGTGAGTGGGATGAAAAATTAGTGACACAAGTGGGACTCGACCCCGCTGTGTTCGGATCGAGTGGTTCGAGTACCGTTTGTGACACTAATTTTTAACCATTAGGTAAAGGATTACCATGGTTAATCTTAACCAAATTTTGCATAAAAATGATAAATCAATTGAAAATTTGATGTGCAGTTGGATTGATTTTTATTTAGGTCCAGCTATTTTCACTGTCTGCTTAAGACAATAATCTTGGTGTTAAGACACGAACATTGAAGTAATGGCTATATGACTTAAGATGACAGAACAATTAAACGAAACAATACAAGTCTTTTGCAGTAATTAGAAAGTCCATCTTCAAGGGGGAAATATTTTGAAATAAAATATCAAAAAATTTCTGTTTAATTTTTTTTTAAACAAACTTTAATATTATTTTAAAATAAAGTTGGATCTTGCATGTGTGTTAGCATTGCTATCATAATGAATTTTGAAGTTTGACTAAGCTTGTTTTGTTTTGTAACAGGGAAAGGTGGGTGATGGTTATTACTGTAGCGCATGTTCTCCTTTAATCCTCAAGTTATTATTTTTTTAAATTTTCCCAAAAAACCTCAATATATGTTATTCTTCTCAGTAGATAAATATATAGAATTTGTACATACATATAAATTTTGGTGTTTTAGTTATGTTTAAATAAATGTAACTGGGCAATGAAAATATAGAGTCACACTTCACTAGCCAGCACAAGAATTATTTTTATTTTATGTATATAACGTATATATTCTACTTTTTCTTATGTGGCGGCACACATCTATATAATTTATTTGTTATCTTTTCTATTTTCTTTTGAACAGCCTTCCTAAATATAATTTCCTCTTCAAAAAGATAATATAAAACAAAGAAATTCCTTGTCTTTTATTTTTTTAAGAACAAGATTTCACACCAATAAATAATGTTGGTACGTTTTATGTTTTAAAATTACATTGCTTCCTCTGAATCCCCCTACCATAGCTTAAAAATGCACTGCATGGCTTTGAAATTTACCTAATATAGAATATATTCTTTTTCACTTCTTGGATGCCCTAATCAAACCTATAGGTGTGTGTCGCATTTTTAACAAGTAACAATATTATTAGTTTTTTCCCTTTACGAGTGCCATTCTACTTTGACATCGTTTACTAAAGTAGACTGGGACTTGAATTAATAAGGCTGGTAGTGACTCTCTGTTTTCTGTATCAAAGGTGTTGTGGGGGGTGTGCAGTTGAAGGCAGCCATTTTGGAGCGACAAGTCAATCCCCTGGGTACTGTCATTACATTGCCTTCGAATGAGCAACTACTCCATCACCAGCAGCAACACCAACATCACTACCACTCTCAACCAGCATTGCCCGCACATCCCGTCCAGCCTGGACCTTCAACTTCAAGAACACACCAAAAGGTAGATAAAGAAGAGCTTCGTGTAAGCAAACATTCTAACATCAGTGTGGATCGTGTTTGTATTAATCAGAATAATGCTAAAAATCAAAGTGATTCGTTGTCTGAAACTACTAGGGGTTCTGGAAGTGTTGAGCAGTCCACGCTCTTTAGTGAAGGTAATAAAATGGTAACAGACCTGACAAAACAGGATGACACAGAAGGAGATTCCCCTTTGCAAGTGAAAACCCAAAAAAGTGAAGGTAAGGGGAAAGGAAAATCTAAAAGAAAAATTAGAAGTCCTAAACTAAGCCCTGAAAATGAAGAGATTAGCAAGCCTGTGAAAGATAATAATTTTAATTCAAAACATCAAATTACAAAGGATACCCCATTATGTGTAACAGATGAATATTCTGACCCTAAAAATGTTGATTATGGAAAAAATGATGAAACCAAAAATCCAGAGGAATCTGATGAAAATCTAGCGATTTATAATCAAGATGAAGTAAGTGATAATGATCAGAGTAATAAAGAAGAAAAAAACATTGCCAGTTTAGAATTAAAGAATGATTCAAATACAACTGACATATTAACGTACGACACTCATGATGATCACGGAGATTCAGAATCTACCAGTGATCCTACAACTGCAATAGATATTAGTGAAACAGATACGAAAAGTGAGATGCTTGTTTTGCGCACAAGTTCACCTCCAAAGTCCACTCCGTTTAACCAAGACTCAAAGCCAGAGGACAGGGAACGCACAACAGATGAACAAACCATAGAAGTTGACAGTGTAAATCAGGATTCACAGGTTAAAAACAAAATTATTAAAACAGAAGAACTAATTCAAGAAGAAAATGTTTTAGCTTCAGTAGACGTTTTGTCTGATAATGAAAACGACTCTGAGGTTAGTGAAGAAGTTGATTCAGACAGTGAGGAAATTGAATCGGAAGAAGCTGTTCCAGATCCATCAGATGTAAGAAGTAGCAAAATAAAGGAAATTGTGGCGTGTACAAGCTCTTCAGAAATCCCAGTGGAGCAAAGAAGAGATAAGTTAAGGATGATCGTGGATGATACTCTCAATCAGGCTATACCTATTGCTTCAGGATCTGGTGATGATGGTGAAACCTCCGTAAGCCAGAAAATCCATCCTCACAGTGATTCTGAAAGTGTAGTACGGAAAAAGTCAGAAAAGGTTCAGCTCCAAAGTTTCCCTTCCAAATCATTAAAAACTGATATGTCTTCTCGAGGAATAAATCTTTACTGTAGTGCTGAAAGTGTTGAATCTAAGAAACAGAAAAAAACATGGAAAGGGAAATCATTTGCAGATGAGAAGAGCAAAACTACATCTAAATACCCAGAAGAGATTGTCAGAACAGGGTTTTCAGGTCAAGAAAGTAAATTTCTTGGTGATTCAAAGAGTTTTGAATTGGAAAACCCACAGAAAGAGAAATCCCAAAAGTTGAGGTCCAAGGAAGGAATGCTAAGTATGAAAAACCAAGACCAGGAAATTCTTTATCCTGATGCTGAAAATGTTGAGTCAAGGATTTCAAGAATGGAACAATCTAAAAAGTCGAGGTCAAAAAAAGAAGTTGCCGCTTCTGATCAGGGTATCTACCTACTTCATGGTACGGAAAAAATCCCGGTGAAGAAAACCAAACAGGAGCATTCACAAAATGTGAAATGGTCCGAATTGGTTGCATCAGCCTCAGCTTCTGAAGAAAAAACTCCGAAAATAGATATCTCCTCTGGTCAAGAAATTTGTGAGCCGTGTGTAGTGGAGAGCAGTCAATCAAAAAAACAAAAAAGGAAATTGTTACAAAAGGAGAAATCTTCAGTTGTTGACTCGACTGTGGAAAATAAAAGTCGCTCTGGTAGCGAAGAAGAAATAATTGCAAGTGATTCTTGTAGTCAAGTAGCTCATGGGAATGTTTCAAGAAAACCAAAACATTCTGAAAATGTGAAACTGGCTCCATTTGATGAGTGCTCCCAGAAAACTGATGATTCTCATCAGGCCAATGTCGAGCCTGAAAATGTTGAAATCAAAATGCCAAAAACGAAACAATCCCAAAAGGTGAAATTGTCTGAATTTGTTGAGCTGGAGCCAGGCTATGAAGAGGAAACTGCCCTAATGCATTCTTCTGCTCAACTCGAAAGCCATCATTCTGACTCAGAAAGTGTTGAACGGCAACACAAACATGACCAATCCCAAAAGAAGAAATCAGTGGATGAAAAGGAAAGTTCGTCTTTCTCTGACAATGAGAAAGAAATTATTTCAACTGGTCAGGAAATACAACCGTGCCATGATCCCAAGTGTGTTGTAGAAGTTAGAAAATCCAAGAAGGATCGACTCCAAAAATTGAAATCCACAGAAGTTGCGTTGGATGTAATCGAACGTGAAAAGAAAACAGGTACACTTGATGTTTCCTCTGTCCAAGAAATTCACAATGATCCAGGAAGTGAAGGCTTTCAAAATTCAAAAAAAGAACATTACCGAATGTTGAAATCTGAAGATTCAGTGTTGGATTTGAAAAAGTCCAGTTCTGACCACACAATCGAAAAACTGGCTACAGATACACCTGATCAGGAAGCACAGCCGCACACTGCTTCTAAAAACGTTGAATTAAAACAATCAAAGAAGGAGCAATCTGAAAAGCTGGGAATGTCTGAAGTTGACAAAGCCGAGATAGCAAACGCAGAGGATGAGAAAGAAACATTCATTACAGAAACTCCTACGGGTCAAGAATTTCATCTCCACTGTGATCCAGAAAATTCAGAACAGAAAAAATCCAAAAGGGAGCGGGCCCGAAAGTTAAGAACTGTTGAGTCAGAGGCAAGTAATAAATCTCCTTCTCCGGTAAAAAGTGATCACAAACCAGATACAGATTCAAGTGATGAAGCATTGGGTAAAGTGACAGAAAGTAAAACTAGTTCATCAAAACAGCCGAAGCGTAAACGCGGAAAGAAACCAGATGAACATACCCCTGAGCATCTGGTGGTTGATGTAGAAAGGGAACAAGTAAAATTAAAGGCTAAAAGTAAGTCTGAAGGAACTCTGGATATTGAAAAATCAGATTATGAGACGTGCTCTGAGAAAAAGTCTGATAGCTCTGTAGAATCATTTCCTGATCTCAAGAAAAAAGTTAGTGATTCCAATGGAAATTTTCAAGAAGTTAAATTGTGGAGTAGCATCGTTAAAAAGACAAAAGAACCGCTTAAACCCTCCAACAGTGCCGAGGATAGAGATTCGGTTTATGAATCATGTAATGATGAGGAATTCCCGGTAGTAGAACCACCTGTGCCTTCTGATGGTACTACTTCCGAATCGAGCAAAAATGAAGATATAGCACAAGATAGTCTAAAAGCCGAGTCTTCTCCTAGTACCACTGATAAAACTGATTCAGGTGAATTAGAAGGTACCGCCAACTCCCAGAATACTAAAAAGGTGCGCAAACAAAAGAAAAAAAGGAGATGATGTAATGTCAGTTTCTTTAAAATTTTCAAAAATATAAAAAAAATTAAAAAACATTTACGTTCAGTGGTAAAAAATAAGAAAAAAAAATCCTTAAGCATGGTGTGTGGTTTAACTGTTATTACGTAGGTTTTCTTTGTTTTAACGATATTTCTTTCTCTTCACAAATTATTCTTGAAAATTCATTCATGCACTGTTTAGTTTGTATTCAAAGATGAGCTATATTTTTTAAACTATGGTTTTAATTTGTAGACTAAGTAAGTCATGATATTTTATGTGCTATTTGTTGTAGTTCATGTTATTGGGTTGTCAGGAAAATAATGCAGGATTTTGGTATTAAACAAAAAAAAAGAAACTAGTTACTTTAAAGCAATGTTCTTTAATCAAAATAATTTCCCATACTCTCAATACATTTCTCNTGAGTAATCCTGTAAACGTAAACAGAATATTTTATATAGATTTTTTTTAATGAAAACTTAAAATCCTGCATTATTTTCCGGACAACCCGATATTTATTTTACCAATAGAAACTAATTTATAACTTATTTTGGGCTCAGTATAAATTTAATTTGTAAATAGAAAATAATTCGGGATTGTGCTTTCAAGTAAAACAAGCATTATTTGCATAATTATCAATTTAATCAAAATGGACGATGGAATATTTTCCAAACAATTATGCTCAAAATTTTAATTAAAAAGAAAATTTTCAATTTTACTCTAAACAGTATAATACCGTTAGTCTTACAGGTTACAAAGTCAAATTTAAAAATTAAATTGAAAAGGACTTTATTAAGTGCTACTTTTTAAACATGTACCTAATATAAAATTAATTAATGAAATATATAGCAAGTCAATAAATTTGAATATGGTATAAACGAATTGTATTTCAAATGTATTGGACTTTTTGCTGACTCTTGTGAATAGAACATTGGTAAATTTATTGGATGAAGTGTGAAGTTTTGAGTGTATGTATATTTATTGTAAATTTGTATAAATGAATTTATGGTAAGAAAAAACTTCAACAAATTATGTGCCTATACTCAATTTAAGTGAAAATATGACATTTTTGGCTCTCTTTTAGTTAATTTGGCCATCAATTTTTTTTTGAAAATGTGATGTAATGGAGTGATATAGTATTCCTACAAAATCATATATATATAATAATTATATATACAATTGTTTTATCATCAAATGTTTTAGCATTCAATGCCTGATTTTATTTATTTTGTCCATTTTAAAATTTATTATTTTAAGCACTTCTACCTTTTTTTGGAAAATAAAAAAAACAAACTCTTTAAAATTTTAAAACTGCCATTAGATATTAGGTGTGAATTGTAATGTGTTAGTGAATGTTGACCAGTTAACATTGAATCGTTGTACCTTTGGGCTATATTCGGGAACAAAATTCATTATTTATTTACAATTTAGAAAAAAATACAAAAAGCCAATAAAAAGTAAGGGTCTACCTTTTTCTGAAATTTACGTTCATAAATCCTTCTTTTTATGTATTTTTGTTGCATGCTAATTTCTCTGTAAGCATGACCATTGTAATTAGATATTCCACCTTTGTTCTAATTTATCTTCTGTTTGCAGTTCAGTATAGAATGTGTTCTCCAAAATAAAACAGAAATGGATTATTGTTATTGTATAACTATATATGTGTTGTACTTTATTTTATATTTCTCCTTAGCTTTGATCCTGTTTCCACAAATTCCTACTAATCCAACTCTAGGCCAAACTATTGAAAGTTATTTCTGATTTACATTTTGAATCATTTATCTTACATAATAATTATTATTTTAGGATTAAAAAACAAACAAAAACAACTATGTAAATCAACAATTCAATCAATCCCAATGCAAATTTAATTATCGGTATAATTAATACTTTTAGACTTGCTAAATTTAGTTATGGACACAAAAACAAACTAGTATCTTTTACTGCTATAAAACAATGGACAAGAATTGTGGTATCTAAAGTTAAACTAAATTCAGGGTTTTATGTTCCAATTAGAACTTCAAACCAATATAATGTTAATGATTTTTTTTTTTGGTAGGTTTTTATTTGAAGATAGTTGGTTTGAAAAGGCTTCTCACCTTTGTCACATCCTCTGTTCAATTATTGTTGCTACTGTATACTTGTTAAAAAGTTTTCTTCACAGTCATCTCCATTTATTTAACCTAATTAAATTATATTAGATAGTCTGTTTGATATGGGGGATCGCAGTGGCCGAGTGGCATTTGCCATGTCAGTGGTTTTGGGTTTGAATCCCAGCAAAGCCTTTTGAATTTTAATTAGTAACAATATGTAATAGGTATTTTAAAGTAGTTTGACCCTTTGCCCTTGACACCCAATGGGTGATATTAGCTCTCAAGTATGCTGTACTAATAAATATACAGATCAGGTGCCATACTATTATTCCAGGGAGTATTCCTAAGAAGTAGATAGACCATAAAAAAATAAAAATGCTTACATCAAATTTAGAAACACAAAATAAAATAGACACAAACCCTCTCCATTGCGCTCAATGGTCTTGTACAATTTCTTCGGGAACCTCTTAAAGCCCTCGGTGATTTCTCCAACTTCCTTCTTGTTCTCTTGGACCCACTCGAGATCCTCTAGAGGCCGCGTCTGGAAGACAATTTTTCTTTTCACATACTTGCTTTTTCTCTCTGTCCTATCGGAACCATTTCTCACATCTCACCAGCTCTTCTCCTGTTGAGCACTCAGCTGGGCCCTTGCCATTCTCCTTGCTATGCTATCCTTGAGCCGGCCACGACCGTGAAAAAATCTTCTTTTTTTTTTGTCTTCTATGGCCTTGCTTCTATTTTCATATCACAATATTATTAAACCGATATTCTTCTTGTTGCCCTAGTAATTTGAACTGACGTTTAGTAAAACTGGAATTACTTAATATTAAAAAATAATGGCCCCATTCATGAAAACTTATTTAAGAAATGATAAAACTACATGTTCTCATTGAATTGAGGAATAATAAAAATTTACAGTTGAATGAGAAATATGTTTTATGTGATTTAATTATTAATTCAAATCAATAATTTTGATCAAATATTTTGTGTGATTTCCTCCTGATGGCTTCGGAGTGATTCGATCCTTCCCGACCATCTTAATACTGATACTGCCTATCCTCATTGGATTCTGTCAGACGTATATCGGCATTTCACCATCTGTGGCAGACGAATGGCAGTACAATAATTTTCACACTGATAATTTATTACCTTTAAATGTTTAAAATAACACTGACACAGACCCCATTACTCACGACCTTTTTAAAGAGACGTGACTGACTTACAAACACACCGAAGATGAAAAAATGCCTAAAGGTGTCTGACCGACCAATCCAACGGTGATGGGCAGATCAAGGTAGGTAATCGGGAAGGATCAAATTATAGATAAAGTATTATTGGTTTACTGCTTCTTGTCTATTGTTTAATCTATTGTACCACAGTCTTCTTTGTTAAAAACATTAAACATTGATTTTCTTTGTCGTCCAACTGGTAATTTTTCCTTCCACTTACATATGCCTTTAGGGTTCATTTTTTTCAGTATGGGTTTAAGTTTATTTTGCTTTTTTTTAAATAATTACGAAATGTCAGATGTAAAATATTTATTTTCAATTTTTTCGTATTAATAATTATTTTATTACTTCAGAGCTATTTTATATGTTTTTTTAATTCTATCTAGTAATTGTATCAGAGAATATCACCAAACCAAACCTCTTTAGGCTAAAATAAATTGTGTGTTTGGGTATTGCATGTCTGCAATTTCTTTAAAACAATCGATTAATGGTTTTTTGGAAATTGATTTTATTTCATTTTTATTTATGTTGTGAATTGATTTATTCTTGAGCCATTTATGTTAATGCCATTTTAAATAAAATCCTATACTTACAGAATTTTTGGATGGGCCAAGAATAAATGTTATTATATAGAACAAATCATAAAGAAAACAGATAAGAAGACTAATGATTCTTGATGGTTTATTAGGGGGACTATCGGGGAATGAGAAGTTGGACGCAATACATTTCCCATTTTAAGCCATAAAACAGTAAAGTGAATTTGTTGTGTTCGGTGAACGGTTTAGGATTTTTCTTCCATACGTGATTAATGAAGAAATCCTTCGAAAAATAAGGTGACACCATAATTTATTTCATTTTAAACATTCTTGGTTGTATAAAGATTTAAACTCAAAAAGACAAAATGTGTTCATATGTGTCTTAATGTTTTTTTTTAGACATGAATGGTTGTATAATTCAGAAGAAAAATTAACAAGAAAATAAAGTTACACTTTTTTCATCAGAAAATATAGAGATTTGTTTCTGATTATTTAAAGGAACGTTTTCAGGTGGAGCACAGTCTCAAGTGAGCATTGAGGAGGAGCTCAGCTCGAGCAGCTTTAGTTCGGCGAGCCGCTGTTCACCGACGCCATCATGCACAATTGAAAATCTCCTCGTATTTCCAACGGATTCAGTCTGACTAAACAAATGAATACTGCAGTCTTTTAATTTGTAATGAGATAGTGTGTTATTACATAGATGATAATAGTTTTTAATTTGCATTGAGTTTGTTGAAGGGCATGTATATTTTTAATTGAAAAGACCACCAATTGTTGAAGTGTTCAAACATTTTATGTTTAATTTTTTTTTTTGGTCTCATTTACTATAAAAAGATTCGGTCTTTTGTTTTGTATTTTCTGTTATTTACTTAAAAGTACCTGTGATTGCAAAAACTGTTGGAAGATCCATCAAACATTTACTTTCGCTTTTTTAGAATAATTTATAATTAATGAAAGTTACTTAAATTTTGAGTGAAATATAGTTGGAAATTATCTTTTTACTTTTGAGCGAAATCTACTTGTAAATTATATTTTTAATAATTGAGTTTTTTTCTTCCTGTGGATATTTTGTTAATTTTTTACACAGTTAATAGAAATGAAAAAAGCGGCTCTTTCCAGTTTTAACATTTTATTTACATTGTATTAATTGTATTAAGCACCATTAGTTGGATTGTCAAAGTTGTGCCAATTTGAATACTCTACAAGTCATTGTTAATTCATTTTAAATTGGCGAACCAAATTTCTGTTACATTTTGAACTTAACAGATTTCATATATTTTTATGAATAAATAGTTTTTACAAGGCATGTTTGTTTTATTATAACAGGCTTCTTTAAATACAATAATTCAATAAACATGGAAGTCGGAAAGTGTTATATATATTTATCAAATAGTTCAATATTCTGGTCAAAAGTGACTGAAACATATTTTGTGATACTTGTAATATATGTGTATTATTCAATCCTGGAAAATTTAGTGGACATATTTTTATAGACGAATACCATCAAAACATATGTTAATGTTAAATAACCCAACAAATGAGTAAACCAGTCAAACATTCCCTTGACCGCTATCAATCAAATAGCTCAAAATGTGTTGGTTTTTGAAAGGATAAATTATTAATTGTTAAATTAGGGAATTTGTAAGTTAAACATTTTTACCGTGATTTATTTTTTATCTTGTGATAACATTGTTTTATTCAATTTATTATATAATTATTTTATTGTATCAACAAGTGATCTATATTTTCTTTAATAAAATACTATGTTTTAATAGTACTCAATTGTAATGGTTTTTGTTTTCTTAATGTAAAAATTATACATTATTTGGTATCATGTTTATCCTTTTTTTTTAACCCTACCCTACTCTTTTGTCAAACTAAAATTTAAAATATTTCATACGTAAAAAACAATAAAAAGAAATAAATGTGGACTAGCTCTTAAACTCAAGCTAAAATATTAATTAATCTTTATGTAAGGTATTTTGATTGAGATAAAAAAGCACAAGTTGTGTCACAAGCAGGATTCAAACCCACAATCTTCGGCTAGATACGCCGCTGCTCTACCACTTGAGTTATCGTGACTTCAATCCACTTGGACACTAACTTCCCATCTCAACCCCACCTTTTTGAATTTTCCCTCCTTTTTGCCATTTTTCAAAATAACTTACATAAAGATTAATTAATTGAAAAACGTGATTCGGTCAATCGGACCACAGACTCTAATGAATCTAAAATATTAAGTCAAACTATTTCAACGAATTTCGGTTAATGTGGGATAGTGTAATTGCATTCATTAATATAAATGGAGGGTATTATTCAGGTCTTTCTCTTTTCTCTCTCTCTCTCTCTCTCTCTCTCTCTCTCTCTCTCTCTCTGCTCCTTGGCCTTGAAGGCTCTATCAGAGATTATTTCTCAGCAATATAATTTTTGTGCTCTGCTTGACAGTCATTCCCAGCTCATCCGAGATTTTGGCCGCAAGTACATTGCGCTTGGGATGGACCAACGTGTAGGTATCTCGATCGGGGGTCTGGAGCGGGTTTAATTACATTTTTTTTCCCATTATAGTAGCATCCATACATGTATAGATTATTGATGATTGGTAACTAGTTCGTATCACGTTTGGATTTAGGCCAGCCTTTTTCCTCCAGCATGCTGTTAAAAAATTCTGTCGATACCTTTATATTTACTAAATTCACTAATTTCGTGGTCCGCTTGACCAATTAATACATTACAATTAATTAAGTTTTTTAGTTGAGATAAAAAAGTGAATGGCACGAGCGGGATTCGAACCCATGATCTTCGGCTAGATACGCCTCTGCTCTATCACTTGAGCTATCGTGACCTCGATCCACTCAGACATCAACTTCCTATCTCAACCCCACCTTTTGAGTTTTCCCTCCTCTTTGCCATTTTTCAAATGTCGTGTAATCGGATTGGATTCTTGGCGACAAATGAAATGGCCACGGAGAGCTTTAGTGAAGTATACGTCATTTTAAATCATTAAATTCACTAAAATAAATTCACAAAAAGGAGGGAAGATTCAAAAAGTGCGGTTGAGATGGGAAGTTGGGTTCGAGTGGATCGAGGTCACAATAGCTCAAGTGGTAGAGCAGCGGCGTATCAAGCCGAAGATCGTGGGTTCGAATCCCGCTTGTAAACTAAAACTTGCAACTAAAAACCTTAATTAATTACTTTATATTTATTTTTAATTTCTTTCAAAGATGGCTGAATGCCAACAAATTTCACTCTAGTTAACCATTTGGCTCTTTCTCCTGATATAACTTACACCTTAGGGTAACATGGTCGACATCCTCTACTTCACCTTGTCATGAGCATTCTGGGCTATCTTTTTTGGCAAAGAAATATAGCTTTCCAGTGCCTCTGATGTCTGGGAAGCATTTGTAGGTGTCGTCCTTTGCAGCTTGCATTCCAGCGAGTTCGCCACTCGTTTATGGCCATTAATGTGCCTCCTTAGGTGTGCTGATTGGTATGTTGGGTGTCTTATTGTTGTTTATGTCCCATAATGCACATTGTTTTTCTATCGCAATGTCTATGGGAAGCTGCCCCGCGATTACTTGTAGTGCTTCTGTAGATACCGTTCTGTAGGCTTTAGTGCAAATTAGCAATGAATTAAGTTGGGCTGTGATATCGCTTTTGCTGAGCTCAAATTTCTTGCCCATGCAGGGCTAGCATATGTCAAGAGGGAAGCACAGATTGCCTTGTACATGATTATTCTATGCTTGTAAGGTACAGCCCCAGGTTGCACCGCAGATTCTTTTGGCAATGGATCTGGTTTTCATCGATTTGGTGTTTTCCCTGAAGTTCAAGTGTTCCCCTATTATTATGCCAAGGTACTTTACTGTGCGAGGGCATTGATGGTTATTCCTTCTGTCCGCACTACTAGTGGGCTTCTCATGTTTAGCTTGCCTTTTAATAAATTGAGAGCTGTTTTTTCAATAGCTTCACTCTTGTGCACCAATTTTTGACCATGCTGTTTTGTTACCAATATTCTCCTAATCGGCTTTTGCGCGAGCCTCTACGACAGCGATTAGGTCATCGACATATGCTATTGTCAGTATACCTGATCTACTTAGGAAGTCAATTAGGTCATCGAAGAGAAGAGGGTTTTATTCCTACTTACCTCGAGGAATATCGAGTACTCTGTTGTGGAGAAAATGTACTTATTAGCATGAATGGAGGTGCTTATCCCTAATTACGTCAAGGAATATTAGGATCTCTGAGATAGTGTGAAAGTATTTATTAGCACGAATGGAGTGACTTTTTCCCTAATTACCCTGATGAATATAGTGTCTGTGGTAGTGTTAGACTATCATGTTTCTGTTTTTGCGTATATGTGTTATTTTGTTCGCAATTGACGACACCCTGAATTACTGAGGTATGAGAGAGGATAGCAATAGGATAAAGTAAAGAAAGTTGGTTACCGTCCTAATTGGGTGGATCCTAACTTAGCTGCAGAAACAGTAAAAGAAGTTAGCAAAAAAGAAACTACTTAACAAAATTGTATTTATATTTGCACAATTCAGTACTTATATACATAAATAATAAAATATGTACATTTTTATTTACATTACAATACAATTAATAAAGTTACTTGAGGCAGGTTCAAAATGTACTTCACGTTTTTTGAAACTGATGGATCTAAGAATTTGATTTGTATTTGGTCTTAAAATTGAAATAAAATACAATAAAGAAAAAAAAATTAAATTACAGCCTTAAAATATCAGTCAGTTTAAAACTTGTCAAATAGTCTGTTTCATTATGTGCAAATGTGATTCCAATTGATCCAGTATCGAAACGTTTCTTAAAGAGTATAATTTCTCAAGGGTGAATTACTTTTCGTCGAGGAATTCCCCAGCGATTGTGAGTCTTATTAGAAACGGTTGTGCTTTGCAGCTTAAGAGGTCATACTGTGACTCCCAACTGTCCATTTTCCTCTTGTTAGCCCTTATTATCTCAAGGAGCTGCTGTGGATCGAATTTCGGCTTGTGCGAAGGCGAAGCGACAAGTTGTTTGACGTATTCGGGAAGAGTCATCAGGTCGGACTTTTTATCTACGTGCTCTTGTTCACCCGATTCCCTGGCTTCCGACAAGTTTCCATTAGCCCATTCTGGCGCTACAAGTGGGTTTTGCGATGTATTTTCCGTCGTCATACCATCGCTGTCTTGGTGAAATACAGGTTGGTGTTCTTTATTCAAAATGGCATCTTTTATATTGTCAACGTTTTTCTCGTCCTGATCAGAAACGTCTTCAAAGTCTTTGTTTTCCTCTTTTGACGTGGAAAGCTTCTGCAAAGCTGCGAGGATCTTGTCGTGGTTCGTTTTAATCATGCTTAGTAACTTGTTGAGATTATCTTTTGTATCTAAGGACCCCTCTGTTTGCTTTCCATTCAAATCTCCTTTCTCCGGCTTGTCAAGTTTTTGAGGTTGGTTTAAAACATTTGGCGTTTCTTCGAGGCTTAAGTCTTCAATTGGCCAGACTTCCGCTGTGCCTTGAATTATATTAGATTCAATTGGTTTTTCTGCAACTTTCTCTTTAAAAACAAAAAAACAATTTAAAAAAATTATATGCACAAAAAACATTTGTATTACCTTTTGATTTCTTATCCTTTTGCTTATTCTTGAGACTTTCACCTTTAAAAGTGAACCTGTCGTTTGAAATACTTATCTGACTCCAGTCATAGCAACAACTTAATGCGCCAGGATCTACTGGATGAGCTTCTAAAAATCAAATAAATTCATTTTGCTTTTTTTTTTTTTGCAAAAGTATTTATGCCAATATAATATTAGTAAATTGTAGGTTAAATTAAAAAAGTAAATAAATAAAGTAAACATCTGGCACTAAGAAGTGAAAAATTCACTAATAGGTGTCAATGCTGGCTTTAATTTCAATTTTTATACTCGGTCAGCAAAATTTTGAAATTGCTTTTCTAATGTATTAATCCTGTCTGTAGTTCGGCCATCTGGCTGTTTGAACACTTTAGCTCCCCTGAAGTACATCCACGATGTGTTAACCTCCTTGATTTGGACTAGAGCAGGGGGATTACGGTGCACAGGGGATTTGTAGAATTTTCTGCGTCTACTATTTTTCAGGGGATTTGGATTTGGAATTCTGGATGTGATGATGGCCGGGATATTTGGTTGAGCCCATTTCAATGTCGTACGTCCAAATGTTAATAAGTCTTTTGTTGTGAAGCACCCGTTGAAAATCATGGTTTGTCACGTCAAGTAAATTCCTACCTTTTCAGACTAGCTTGTGGATCCCACATTAACCTGTCTATGTACAGTCCAAGGTAGCAGAAAGAAATGTTATATAGGTACAGAGCATTATTCCATGTTTAAAACTTACAAACCTAGTGCATTTGTAGCTTACCGGTATTAAAAATGTATCCGCCGGAGTCTAAGACACACTGCTTGCCTGAAGGGAGAACATGGACGATACCATGCTGACCTTTGTTATGTATGAAATTGTCTGGATCGAACAATAAATACAAATATTTTGTGGTCTCCGCTAGAAAAAATGACTCCATTCTGTTTTCTTGGGTGTGATCCCTCGTGTCTTTGATCTAAAAATAATGTAAAATTTAATCAATGTGCAAAATATGCTGTAAAATTAAAAAATTACAGTTGCATATCCGCACTCAGTTTTTGCGCTATGCTGAATACTTCTAAGTATATTTAATCCTATGTCAAGCATGAAAGGATCTCCTGTCGCTCTGTACAAATACATGGCAGATTCAGCGAGCTCAGGCCTCAGCGGGTAGCTTTCCCTGTTGGTCCCAGCTTGCCCTTGCGCGATATTGTAGAACTCAGGGGTGAACCCGTATTGCTTCCAAACGCTATTGTAATTATGCATAGAGCGAAGGGCACTTTCTACATCGCCTAAGAAAATGAGAAAAAATAAAATTTGTTTTATTGGGTATAGGAAAGTTCTAGTAGTTAAGGTTTTTACCTATTAGAGTTAAAACACCTGGCCAGTAAGCTTCAAGGGACTGGAAAACAGGTAAAGTCACCTGGCCTTTGCTCATTGAAGCCCAGACGTACCAATTGTTCTTTTTGAGATATTTGTCTATCGGCTTCCTTGCTTCGTTGAACATAGCCATCAGTTCTGGTCTTTGAAGCAAAATTGATCCTTTTACTAAGTACTCAAAGTACGAATCAACACCTGCGCCAATTCCAGAATCCCTTGCTATCCACTTTCCACTATTAACATCGATATGATTTCCATATAGGCCGATTGAAGATCTATGTTCATAAAGGACTTTCAACGCATTTAAAGCAACCTAGAAAACAGTTGACGTGTATGTTTTGCATTAAAATTTTTTTAAAAAGACATACCTCTTCATAAACAGGATCTCCCGTTAATCGTGAAATGGTTCCAAATTCAACAATGAATGTCCCGACCCCTGCAGTACAAGTCACGGATGTTTCTCCTGTTGGTACACCATGACGTAAGTTCACAGTTCCATACGGCATTCCTGTTTTGGTATTGAAAGCTGGCAACAGCCTCCTGGCAACGTCTTCAGCTAGCCTTAAAAGAGGCCCATTGCAAGGCCAACCCGGTTCAACTTTCACACCTGCCCTGGAATTGGAAAAAAACATTAAAAAAAAGAAGAAAAGAAAAGCGGATAAATTAATACCTTTGGGAGAAAAGATGCGCACTTAGCAATCCGCCAACAATGCGGATGTTAGTTTCAAAAACAGATACATTAATATTGGCATCAAAATTTGCTTTTGAAATCACAATATCGACGACCCTCCTGAACTCTGAATAATTGCCCATTACTACCAGGGTATCCAAGGCATCAATCAAAGTCAAAGAGTAACTGAAAATACTCAATTTAGACAAATTATAGGAAAGAAATATATTAGTAAAACAGAATAAAAATTCTGATTTAAAAATGTTTAAAAATATTTCTTTCACTGTTAGTGTGCCATAGTCAATCATGAAAATAATTGATCATTTGATCCTTATTGATCATCTTGTTATGCCTATCCTCGTCTGGTTGGTCTGTCAGACATGTTTCAGTATTTCGCCATCCTCTGTGTGTCTGGTAGAAGAATAGCACTACAAAAATGTAACACTTTCACCCTTCTAATGGTCAGTACAGAGTCATTTAAATGCTACTATTTAAAAGTACACATGCACCACAACCCTCATGACCTTATAAAAGAGACATGACTGACTAACAGACACACTGAGGATGGCAAAATGCTGAAACAAATCTGACCAAATTAAAATTTCTTGTCATCCTGAAGTGTTGAACTTCTCTATTTGGCTCTGTAAAATGTGTTTCATCATTTCACCTTTTTCAGCAATGGGTTGTTACTATGTAAAATAAGAAAAACACCCACTGAAGATGGCAAAATGACGAAACAAGCCTAGCATCCAACCTGGTGAGGTAGGCAGACCAACATGATCAGCAATGACAAAATTAAAATTATTGTCATCCTGAAGTGGTTTTATCCTCTGTTGTAATCTGCAAAAAGTGTTTCAGCATTTTGCCTTCTACAGCGAAGGATTACTATGTAAAATAAGACATGGAGATGGTAAAATGCTGAAGCATGTCTAGCATCCAACTTCATGTAGTAGGCGAACAACATGATTAGTAATGACCAAATTAAAATTTCTTGTCATCCTGAAGTGTTTATATATCCTCTACTGTGCTCTATGAAAAGTGTTTCAGCCTTTTACATTCTACAGCGAAGGGTTACTATGTAAAATAAAACAAAAACCCACTGAAGATGGCAAAATGATGAAACAAGTCTAGCATCCAACCTGGTGAGAGGTAGGTAGACCTAGGCCTAGTTGATTATTAATGACTACATTCCAATAATACATCAAAGGTAAGGATGTTGTGAATTGTAAGTTGAATTGTAATTATCATTACACTAATTTTTTCTGCATATCATACCATTCAGTTATAATTACGAGAAAATATGTGTACAATTAAAAAAAAAAGTTATCTAACTGATATTATTATGTTGGGGTACAATAAAATAAAAAGTTGAATCTTTAAGCATTGAGATTAATTTTAGAGATATGTTTCAACTGTTACAATATCAAAATCAAATACCTTCCCCAAGTGTCAACACCGTCACATGTCAACGGCCTCAGCTCATCGTAAGGGAACGCATACTTTAAGTAGCCGGAGTAAGCATGGTTGAACATATCCCTCACCTCTTCCCTGGGGTAAAAAAAAAAAAATGGAAAAATTAGTCTAGCCCAAAACTAAAAGAATCAAACAATTTTCTTTTTACCTCAGCTTGAGCAGGTCCTGCCTCGTATATTTCCGTATTGCATCTGTGTTAGTTATAGCGAAACTATTTATCAGAGACAAGACAAAGACAAATCTGCAGCAGTACATTTTCGAGGTGGTCAAATAAATTGTTTACATGGCTTGTTGACACTGTAAATGATAAGTGATAAGAAGAAGCAGTCTTACAACCTTCCTAATGCGTGGCGCTGACTATTTTGTAGGTGATAATCCTATAGTAATTTTACTAATTATAATTTATTTTACGTATATTATGTGATAATAAATAAAATAATGAAAATGTATATGTACATTTATAAACAATATACCATACACATTACAATGTACATGCACCATGCTTAGTAGTTGGCATATATATTACAGGTAATAATCATGTCGTCATTTTTAGTAATTATAATTTATTCGAAATTTTAAATAATATATTAAAAATATATGTATTGGGGCGTAGGTGGCTGCAATTATTTAGGCACTGACATGGCGAAAGCTCGTTAATGAAAGCTAAAGGTCCCGGGTTCGAATCCAGCGGCCCAACATCGAACCCGACATACTTACAGATGTACGGCACCCCGAGGCTTTTTTCAAAAACACATATACCCTGGTAATTGAAATACCCTCATAAAAAAAAAGTATAAACAATTTACAATCGGTACAATATACAATTCATTGTAACTTAAAAGAGTGACGATTGGCGTGTAATTTGTAGCTAATAATCCTACTAATAGTAATTTATTTCAAGAACATATCTATAACGGTAATAACTAGAAAAAACCACATTTTTATAAAAAAATATGCAATACAATATATACAGAGTGGCCCCAATCGATTCAGCCACACTTCCAGATCTTATAGGAAATTGAACGCTGAGTAAAAAAGGTCCTATGAACGTGCGTCCGCAAACCCTTCAGTTACGAGCTACAGGCAAAAAACCATGAAAAACCACCTTTTTGACCTTATTCGTGAAATTGTTAGTAAACCGTTAGCCTGACCGTAAAACAGCTCGAAACAACATCTGTAGAGAATTAAGTTCTGCCTCGAATGAGATTAAAACCAGCCTGATCGGCCGAAAATTTCATTTTTGGCGATTTTTCGAAATTAGGAGGTGAAGGGGTACACAAAATTCACCATTTCTGACATTTTTATCGAAAATTCACAACTTGAACTGTTTTCTGATGGGTACCCCCTACTGAATGAAATATTGTACGAAAAATCTGAACGGCTTACCCATCAGAAAACAGTAACATTCGATTTGGGTGAAAAGCAGTAAATTAGCCAAAATTCGAATATTTCATGAATCGGACTGGGGTTGGTCTAATGTGACGGAGAATTCGATCACCAACAAACGAGGTTTGTAACGTAGAATTTTTTGATAGGGTGTTCAAGTGGTGAATTTTCGATAAAAATGTCAGAAATGGTGAATTTTGTGTATCCCTTCACCTCCTAACTTCGACAAATCGCCAAAAATGAAATTTTCGGCCGATCAGGCTGATTTTAATCTCATTCGACGCAGAAATTAATCCTCTACAGATGTTGTTTCGAGCTGTTTTACGTCAGGCTAACAGTTTACTAACAATTTCACGAATAAGGTAAAAAAAAACGTGGTTTTTCATTGTTTTCTGCCTGTAGCTCGTAACTGAAGGGTTTGCGGACACAGGTTCATAGGACCTTTCTTACTCAGCGTTCAATTTCCTATAAGATCTGGAAGTGTGGCTGAATCGATTGGGGCCACCCTGTATAATGCATGATTTAAAAAAAAGGGTGAATGGTGGGACGGATTGGCCGAAAGGACAAACTGACTCTCGGGACTCTAGCCGGTGCGCTATTCTGTGACAAACGGACCAAAACAGAGAGGGGAAGCATACAAGGATGAAAATAAATTGTACTTTAGTCGTTACCGACCATTTTGGCTGCCTGCCCGCACTGGGCTGGTCTGTCAGACGAATTTCGGCATTTCGCCATCTTCAGCAATACGATTTTGTCTTAGTTTACATAGTAACCCATTGGTGAAAAGAGGGAAATGCTGAAACACTTGTGGTAGACCAAAACGGAGATGATAAGCACACCGGGGCAATAAGTAATTTTAATTTGGTCCTTCCCAATCATTTTTATGTGCCTATGCTCATTCCGTTGGACGGTCAGGCGCGCATTTCGGCATTTCGCCTTCTTCAACAATGGGTTTTTGTCTTATTTTACATAATAACCCATCCTGAAGAAGGTGAATGCTGAAACATATTTGACATTCAAAAACAGAGAGTGTAAGCATACCAGGATGAACAGAAATTGAACTTTAAATATAGAACAACATACTCCACCATTTATCATTTCTGTTGGTCTGCCTGTCCTCACTGAGCTGGTCTGTCAGACGCATTTCGCCTTCTTCAGCAATGGGATATTACATAGTAACCCATTACTGAAGATACAGAAATGCTATTTATGCTATGCTAAAAAAATATGGAAAATATCACTTGTGACAGACCTTGTAAGTATAAGCATATCAGGATGAATAGAAACTGAACTTGAATCCTTACCGATAATTTTGGTTTACTGGGTTGGTCTTTCAGACGCAGTTCGGCTTTTCAACATCTTCAGCGATAGCTTTTTTTTCTTGTTTTACATAATAACCCATTGCTGAAGATGGTGAAATGCTGAAACACTTTTGACCGACCAAAACAGAAAGGATAAGCATACCAGGATAACCTGAAATTGTAATTTGATCGTTACTGATCGTCTTGGACTGTCTATGCCCGCCGGATTGGTTTGTGAAATGTGTTTTAGCATTCTACCATCTTCAGCGATGGGCTTTTGTCTTATTTTACATAGTAACCTATCCTGAAGAAAGTGAAATGCTGAAACACATTTGACAGACCAAAACAGAGAGGATAAGCACACTAGGATAGTCTGAAATTGTAATTTGGTCTTTCCTGATCATCTTGATTTGTCAATCCTTGCTTGTCTATATGGTAATACAACGATAATGCTTTATAGCCCACTATTTAATAAATTGATCGATTTGTAGGTATAATTGAACTCAGGGTGGAAGGTACTTTACAATCTAGACAAGCCGTAAGTTTCAGTTAGTTATTACCATAATAGATGCTAATTCATATCTGGTCTTAACAAATTACAAAGTCAAAAAACAATTTCACCTGGGAGTCGAATTTACTTTGCCTAGCTCTTCACCAGGGCATACCTAACTTGTTGCTGGGGAAGCATGCGCGAGAAGTGCAGATCCAAGTGTTTAGTCGGCGGACCCGTGAATCCAGTACCTCTCCAGACAACGTCAGGATCTCATGTAAGTCACCTTTCTTGGTACTTGTCGTAATTAAGCTCGCAAAAAATTATTTATACATTTAAGAAAATGTCCCATTTTGTTTATTATAGCTGTTTATGTAAAATTGATGGCTTTTTGTTATGACTTTTGATTTTAACTTGATTAATTTTGCTAACGGGCTTGTAAAATTTTTGACAGTGTATTTTATACAAATTTTGGGTTTTTAGTACAAATATAGAACCAACGTGCGTAAGAAATCCGAAGAGACAGATTTGTAAGTTGAATAGGAAATAAATTGTTCACTTTATAAAAAACATTGTTCTTTTCAGATAGATATTTTGGAATTTTTATTTTGAAATGATTAATCATGGACAATGGGAATCTTAAATTTAATTACAGTAGTTTTTTAAACCCTCCCACCAAAAAAAGAGAGCATTTTTACCTATTTCCTTTTGGTTTAGGCTCTTTCCTTTCTTTTAGAGTAGACATTGTTTATTCGGCTCACAACTGTCTTTCAGATAAAATAAATAAATACATGTTTGCTCCGAAGAGGATGCCGATGGACTATTTACTTTGACGGGACCTTAGCCTCTATAATTTCGTTTATGATTTTTGTCTCATCTTTAATCATAATGAACGAAACTATTTTCGCCTTGAGCGGAATCTTTTTTACATCCCTGGTCTTTTACATTTTATAGTTTAACAAATGGAAAATTAATTACTAGGAATATCGATCATTTGTAAGAGTGGTAATTTACGAAATGACTGAATGAAGCCAATTTTAAAGCAATTTTTCTCATGAATTAGTAGTTAAAAAAAAATCCTGATACATTTTAACATACCTTCCTGTGATGAGGTCACGGGTGGGTAAATTTTTTGAACAATTTATCTATTTATAGTTCAATAGTACCTATCATCTTTGTTGAATTGATGAAATGTTTTGTACTAGGTACCTTTATCATCTCTGGCTAAAGTTTACGGTTTAACAAGTGGCACCCAGGTTTTCATACATAGGAATCGAGAGAATTGATTATCTAGTAGATTTACATATTTATTAAATAGTTAATGAAAATGTAATCAGGATTTCAAAGGACCAAATTCGATCAGGAATCAGCAGTTCATAATGCAGGGTTGAGCCTCTTCTCGCAAATCACCGGCAATTCCAGCTTTTGTAATTTACATTAGATTACCGGTAGGCTTCGAGAATCAACCACCGCGGTGATCACATGTAGTAAAAAGTAAGTTTCCGTGTGTCAACCTCGCATGACCTTAATAGGGTGAGGATGACCCTTCCTCTTCGAGTCAGATCAACGAGGGCCACCTATCGACAGTGCTCTTGATACGTGAGAGCTTTTCTGCCGATCCGACCCGACATAATAACGAAATCTTGCTAGATTTCGCTTGCAATGGTCTAGGGATTTAAACATGTTTTAAATTAAATAGTAAATTGCTTATGCTAAACAAGTTTCTTAACTTGTTCCTTTTTTATAATTAACCATGAACAATTATGATCCCAAATTATATCTCCAGTAAGTTATCAGACATAAAAGCAAAAGATATTTTTGGCTATGTCCTTTTCATTTAGCCTCTTTGACGAATATTCATCTTGGTAATATAAATTGAATTGGGTCGGTAGGGCAAATATGACTTTTATCTTAGCTGTTCTTTAATCACACTGAGCGAAATTTCCCTTCGGGCTAAGTCCGATGAATTTGATCATCCTCTTGATTTCTTTTAAATTGAATTATTGAATTACATAGGACTTTTTATCATCGTTTTATTATCGATCATTTTATTGGGTTGTCCGGAAAATAATGCAGGATTTTGGTATTAAACAAAAAAAAAGAAACTAGTTACTTTAAAGCAATGTTCTTTAATCAAAATAATTT